TAACGGGTGGTACAGGAGTAGAGTCCTCCGGTCAACAGGGCCATCCCACTCGGCTTCTGCTATTGGGAACAATTGGAAAAGCAATATCCGACCCGATCGGGTTCCTATAGTTACCGCACATGTTGAAATTGTGAGCCCTTCAATGGATGATTATCAATCTCGGTTTGGCCGTTACCTTGTTTGCATAGAGAAAATTACTGGAGACGCGGGGCACGGAGGGGTAGTGATCTCATCGACCTTCTCTTAGAAAAAAAAAAACTACGGGAGACGATAGAGACAGACATACACAGGGAACTAGTCCCGAGCAATTCCAGTATGCATACTCTGTCTATAGGTATAGTGGTGTTGTCTCTAGCCATGGCTTACGATTTTGCTTCTTTGACTCAGATCGCATGGCCATGCGATTCCCTCGTAACCACCTCAAACTCCGGAAATGAAGCCAACTCCCACGGACTTATCCACGCATCGGTGAACTATTCTGGTGTTAAGAGTCAACGGAGAAACTGCTTCACTTGCCGACTGCCCGGCTTCGGTCGCGCTATTCCCGTTGCGGACTAGAGTGGGGGTCGCACTGTCCACCCCAATGCAGAGCAGGACCTTGTACGGAGTACGGAGGGCCGAGTCAGTTGGTCGATCTACGGAGTACCTCCCGTGGAATTGCAATTGTTTTAGTTACTACATAGTTTCAAGATACAGTGCATCCCGAAACTGGTGCAATAGCCTACACTCTTTGATGCCTTTCCTGCCCCGTGCGCCAAGACACACTAGTCTATATTGAGAGCTCTTCCGGAGTGCTCCTGTAAGTTACTTTCGTTTTGTGTCGTCCGTAAAATACATGGCATTTCCAGACACGTCTTTAATTGTAAATTTCATTTCATCTGACACCTCCCAGACAGCCTTGCTCGGGAGGCATACCTAACAATCAATCACGAGTGGCCCTGAAGATGGCTCTAAACCTAGCTCCTTCCAAGCACGAGCTTATCTATGACAATATCCTGTATAGAGAAGTGGACAGAAATGACAGCCTGAAGCAAAGGGGGCTAAATGCCGTTTTCCGGTACCAAATTTTATTATCGTTCGATTTAACATTTGGGATAAGATATCCGGGGGAAGCTAAACCAGCTCAGTTCTAATTGGTGCATTAAATGGAACCGCTGATGATCTAGATATAAAGGTAGGTAGTTCGTTTGATTGGGATAGAGTTCTGCTAAAGATAACCTTAAAATCAAAGGCTGATCGAGACCGGTCCTGAACGTGATTTGAACCAAATTCTGGTTTTTAGTTGCTATCTTATAACGAAATTGTGAGCGAAAAGGAGAATTCATGGCCAACGAGGCAAAAGTGAGTTCCCCTAGGATATCACTATCATATAACATCACTTCTCCCTTCCCATAATTTCCGATGAATCTGAATTTTTATTAAGCTCGGCCGGTGGTTATCTCATAAGCGTGCCATATGGATAGTAAGAAGCCTCAACTGGGCACATCCTGGCGGCCTGTGAAGTTACAATGTATCGATTCCTCTCTCGGAGTCTCGCACGACGCTCAAATAGCGCCCACGCCAGGACCGCCAACATTGGTGCCCGAGAAGTACGCCTAAGCCCGCGCCCAGCGCAATCTCCCGGCTCGATGAGCCCGTGGGGACGGCTGACGTCGTATTATTCGCTGTAATTTTCTTCATGTTGCGGAAGGAGGTGACATTTTCGAGCAACGTTCCGCAGTATATAACGCTGCTGTCGGGTAAAGTACATAATTGTTTTCGTGCCGCATGTATAGAAAACGGAAGTTTTTTCATTCAATAATTAATAAAGAATATAACATTGCTTGCGCAATACAACTTCAAGAAGAACAAATATTCAAGACTTTTTGACGCCGTAGCTTATCGTTGTTTTTTGAGTCATATTCGACGGGATCATTGAACTAGGCACCCGGATTTCCCACTGTCGCCTCTCCCGGGTTGGCAGCTTGTTGCGCGAGACTCCTAACGCCACAGCCATCACTGATGCAAACATTCCGGCCGCAACAACTGTTGGTTGCACATAGCTGTCCTGATGAACAATCATTCTGAGATTGGCAGTCGGCAAGTCCCGCACACAGTGTCCCTCCAAAAACGCAGGTTCCGAACCCAGAGGTCGTTGTTGCACATACGCATCCCGTCCCACATGCTTGGTACGTGCCGCAGCTTTTCCCGGGACATCGACAAGTTCCGGAGGAACATGTGTAGTCAGTTGGACACTTAAATTAATGTAAGCGAAATCTAACATCGATATAGGGGGTCTCCCATAGAACACATAACGTACGATTTTGCCACACTGCCCGCAATTTTTCGTGTCTGTGCCCGTATCTTTGCACACCTTATTACACACTTGCTGGAATGGGGAACTTTTGAATGGTCCACAAATATAGCATGGCCCCTGTCCGGTTATGGCCGGGGCAATACAGGTGATAGCCGGGTTTTGGTAGGTTTTAAGACACCAAGTAGTGCACTGAGCAAGGCTCAAAGGCGAAGTTTGTGGTATAGGCCATACAGGATAAACTAGATTTGTGTTAGGCATATTATATCAATTGAAAAACTTAAGAGTCAGCTTTGGCAGTGGGCTCACCCAGAGCGAGGGTAATTAGAAGCGTTTTGATGGACATTATGGAGTTTTCCAGGGTGAAGTAGAAGTGTGATAGTTCATCAGAAATATTGCAGCGCTAAAGGTGAGAACCTATTCTTTTATACCTCTGTAAGTCTATGCATTGTACGGCACTTGCATCTATGCGGCGAAGACCTGATGCTATCATTTCTATCAACTGACTCTTATTATGATTTAATTTTCCACGGGTGAGAAGTAAATCATTCTATGATCCACCTACTACCTTGGTTCTTATTTCGTCGCATGAAGACTAATTTAAAGCCCAGATTCAAGGAGTCATGTGTAATGAGATGTTTATAGGAACGGCCTGGCCTCTCTTTAGTGGCGAAAGCAGATGCGCCATCCTAGAACTTGTAAATTATCTGGACGAGGCCTATATTATGAAGACTACACGCAACTTTAGATAAATCACTGGAATGTTATGACTAGACTGTTTGAGCCGTATGGTAGGGATTGCTAGTTAGTTGATTGTAATACGTGGGTAGCCCGTCGTATCCTCAACCCAACTCATAGGCACGAGAGGGACACCTATCCTATTCTGGATCATTCAAAGGATGGCCTATTTGTGTGTCAGTGTATCATTTAAATCAACTGGTGCGCCTGGATCAACCATGTAGCTAATGTATAACATACAATGGCCTTTACTAGTGGCACGAAACACAGATGAGTGCAGATGATACACCCAAAGAGTTTGGGTCTAGTTCAGTGGTCCTGTGGTTGGATCGCGGTTATGTGGAGATACCAAAGATAATTTGTTGTTCTTATTAGAGCTAGATTTATAGTGGTAATTGACTAGCTTATAATTCCATAGTCCGTTTTCTATAGCCTTGAATGAACTCAGTCTCTGGATGCTATAACAGCAAACGATTTGAGTGGGGTTAAGTAAACCTGGACAGAGCCAACCAAGAAATGACCACTGTTCCAAAAGCCACTTATACGCTACACTATCTCTGGATCATCAAGACCACGGTAGCAAACAATCGCATTAACCTCGCTCGTGTCCACTGGAAAATGTGGTGGTCGTGTGTTAGCTCCCAGCAAGCGTGGTACAGAGTGTCGGGTGGGGAAAGCTGTGGCTGACAAGCTGGGTATGATGATACGCAGGTTCATGAGTGGTCTGCAAGTAGGCAAATAATGTAAGTTCACTATTTGCAGGGTCTGGTGCCGAGTAAGCCCCGCCGACTGTCACTTGGACAAACGGATTGGCAGAAGGAAGTGGCAGGTCGCCAGATTCTCGAGGCTCTCTCAGGTTACGTGTTTGACTTTTTTGCAATTCTATGGAAAACTCTCGTTTCCTTGGATCTCCAATACACGCACTAGACAAAGCATTGTATTTTAATACGAGTAAGTGATGGTATTGGGCCTGGTACAGGAAGATTTATATTCCGAGATTGCCCCTAATGTAGGTTAGCGTTTCTTGGCATTGGGACCGAGGAATCACTCAAAAGAATTGACAGTAGTTGCACCAGTTGCGGGACGTGCTGCAAGTCATGTCCCACGAGCCTCTTTACTCTCTGCTATCGCTACGATTTCACAAGAGTTTGATGCCTGGGTGGTGCCTTCTTATGTGTCAGACACCCAGATTGATAATAGCTTACTCCGTACTCTCTCTTCCCCGTTCTTCCAAGCACTTCATCATTACCATGCAGCGCCGTCACTCTTAGTAAGCTTCCTTCACGAATCTGTGATCATATCACTAGTCTGACCCATGAGACAGCCTATAAGATGCCTGACAGAGACAATCTTCTGTCATGTTACTCTTCTATTGCGCGGAAGTCGAGCGCCTTTACGTAGCCACTTGCTTGATTCAGTAGGCATGTCTTCCAAATTACATGTGCTGCATAGCAAGTACAAATAGACTAAATGACCCGATCCGACTTTGAGACGTGAGTTTAAAAGGAAACAAGCCTGGATCTAGTGCTAGTTTTACCCTTGTTTTCAAGGATAATGCGACTCGACTCGACTCGCTCCAAGAAGCTTAGATATGAACTGGATAATGAAAAGGTCTGACATGAGTGGAATTAGGTTTAGGATCTCCAGAGTTACATTGAGGATGACAATGCTGTTGATGAGATGTGTACCCAGCTACGCCAATCTAGTGGAAGGGCTCGGCACGATAGGGTTGTCTCTTAAGTAAGGAGCTGATACATACTACATAGTCAACATATTCCATAGCAGTTGCAAAAATGCCTGTCTTTGGGGCTGCTCCTTGGCGTATGTAATTATAAGCCGGACAGGGCTTATATTTCACTGGGTGCCTGATCTACCCAATGGCCTTATAGACCCTAGTGCTGAATTATAGTGATCGGGCAAGGTATAAATCAGGTAGTTCATAGGAGATACGCCGATAATAATTGTCCATTTTCGGTTCGTTGATTAAGCATTAAATTTTTCATTGAGTATCAACTAATTCTTAGATATCGTGTCGCGTTCCCATTCACGATTCAACACCGAGTCCGCACTACTCACATCCGACAGCCCATCTGTATCTCGCCGAGCACTGGTATGCGCCGGCATCGCATTCAACTCCACATCAGAACTATTTCTACTTGGTGTAGTAACAGTGGTAGTATTCTTTGATCCTGTCCACTTTCTGTGTTGCTCACTGATCTGTCGAAAGCCGTCGTTGGTAGTGCGCGACGAATGAAGTTTGGTGTTCGTAGATGGCTGCGAGCGGTCTCTCGATACACCACTTTTGACCTTTCCGAGAAATCCCTGTACGAGCGGTTTGAGGAGTGGGAGGCTGCCGCAGATGATGGCAACGTCGAGTTCGAGGCAGGTCCAAATGGATTCCTTGGCGCTGGAGGCTAGACGAGGTTAGTAAGACCCAAAATGCTATGAGGTATAGGGGAGGGGGGGACTGACAAGCAAGGTCGGTGAGTACAAAGTTCCGGAACTCGATCAAGCGCATAAGGCTGAAGATGCAGACACTGTACCGGTTAGTCGATGATCAACAAGAATGTCCTATTGCGAAAGCCATACAGTGCACCTAGAGAAAATACCAGGGTTACCGCTAGCTTCTGTCGAAAGACCATCTGCAACCTCCAAACAATAGGAATTGGTAGACAGAGAACGATGACATCTTCGACCAATGCGATTGAACCCATGGCCTGAAAGAATTTTACTTGTCCTTTCATGCAGTGTCCTTTTAAAGTCTTGTCGTAGTAGTATTGTACCGGTGTGCATTGGAAAGTATTGACCAATAGTGCGGTGACGGCCCACAGGGCGATGAAGACGATCAAGCAATTTGAAATAACGGAGAATGTACGGACAGACCCGAGGAGGCGTTTTAGGAAGACGACGATGGAGATCTTCACAAATGCCATGGACGGGGCCCAGAATTTCTGTATCATCCACGATGCCTGCACAAGGTGCTGTCAGTGTTTTTTACCCCCACCAAGGTTAGCATAGATGGACTTAATACAAATTGAATCCGTTCCCGCCTGTCAGGTGGGAGCGATGCCATTCGCAGACCGACTCCATTAAACGCCGCTTCAAAAAGTCAGCATCGAGAGTAGGAACGAACGGTCAGGAAAAATACTCACTCTGCACCACAAAGGCAGTAGCACAGTAGGAGATTATGAGCCCAATTCCCATTAGAAAATCTTCTAAGAGCAGCCCAATTGCAGCCATTCGTCGAGAGTACAGACGCAGCAGGTAGACAAAGGTTGCTATACTAGCCCCTACAATCGGCACAATAGTCACAACATTTTTCCAGTACGTATTATGTTCGGGCGCCATCCTGCAGAGAGGGACGCAAGAAAATCGATCTGAGATCTGAGATCCGAGAAGAGCGGAGAATCTGGTTTAAGAGGCTGAAATACATTGTAGGCTCTGCATAATTCCCGGTTAAAGGGCCATGTCGCCATGTGGTGTCATTTTGGCTCTCTTCTAAATACCCATGTCACTCCTTTCTCGTTGGCTGATGTTTCAGAAGAAGACCCTTCGTTTGATTATCAGTTCTCGAAAAGGGATTCCAGAAAAAGGTTAAATGCACACTATGTACGAATTCTGCAGATTGTATGCTGATCATGTCTCACTTTGAGAAAGCCTCATTCCACAACAATCGGATTTAAAGACATTGAACTAGTTTAGCGGAGAGTTCGGAAACAAAATCGGGGTGACCTCGGAGAATAGCAGTTGCTAGTAAATTAACAATTACATGGAGCATTCCTTCCTTAATCGTTTGTTTCCCCTGGCCCTCCATCTCACCGCCGTCACATGCAGCATATTCTTCCATAAAAAAATGGCGTCGTTTTTGAAACTGGCCGGGGTTGCCTCCTTGGTCGTATTTAGTAACCCTGTCGCAGGTTCAAGAACTCATGCTCCCTCGGATCATGCTCTAAAGACCTTCAACGCGACGGTCAGCGGACGCGTGCAGCCTCTTCACCCTTTCTCTCTGCCCTGCTTCTCCAATTACAATGGGCAACCAGTAGCTCGCGATAATGCTGCTTGTACCACCATCCAGGCTAGCTACTCGGACCCGTGGCTACGAACAAACTCTCCCAATGGCTACATGAACAACCAGGCCGAGATGTGGGCATCTGATCCTGGTGATCAGTGTCTGCTCGATGATACCAATCCCGCTGACCCTTTGGCGTACGTGAACGCCACCTGCCAACAGGGAAATGTACCTTCTCATTATCTGGAAGTGAAAAGCCCAAGGGACGTGATCGAGGCTTTTCGGTTCTCGAAGAAGTCCGGAAAGCAGCTCGTCATCAAGAACAGCGGCCATGACTATCTCACTCGCAGCAGTGGGCGTGACTCTCTGTCCTTGTGGATGCGCAACCTCCGGTCAATGCATTATAATCCAACCTTCGTCCCCCATGGTTGCAACGAAGCCGCTCACGAGTATCGTGCCATCACCGTCGGTGCGGGAGTCAACTTCAATGAAGTGTACGCCTTTGCGCAGCAACACAATGTCACGATTCTCGGCGGCTACTCGCCCACCGTTGGGGTCTCTGGTGGCTGGATCCAGAACGGCGGTCACTCGATTCTCAGTCCTGTGTACGGTCTCGGTGTTGACCGCGTACTTGAGTTCAAGGTCGTAACTCCGGATGGTGTCTACCGAACTGCCAACGAATTCGAGAACGCTGATCTATTCTGGGCTCTACGGGGCGGCGGCGGTGGAACATTTGGAGTGGTGCTTGAAAGCACCCATCGCGTCGAGCCCGCTGTTCGCTTCGTCTCGGCCAATATCAAATTCCCCAGCACTGCTACCAATATGCTCCCCTTCATGGAGATTGTCGTCAACAACACCTTGAAATGGGCGGAGGAGGGCTGGGGCGGTCACATCACCGGCAGCACTCTCGTCAATGTCTCCCCTCTTCTCTCCGTTGATGAAGCCAAGACCTCTCTGGCAGATGTAATCGCCTATGCCAAGGCAAATGGGGGCTCTGCCACGATCGAAGAGTTCACCTCTTGGTACCCGTTCTACGAGAAATACGTAACGACCAGCTCCGTTGCCGTCGGTGTCACTCGCTTCCCCGGAAGCCGCCTGATCCCACATTCCGTCTTCGAAACCACCGAAGGCCGTGCGGATCTCATGACCTTCTTCGCCCTCATCCAGTCCATCGGTCAAACGCCTTATATCCCCGTCGTCGGACCGGTGCTGTACAAATACAAAGAAGGATCGACTAGTGCCTCCCCTGCTTGGCGTGAGGCCGTCTGGGAGTTGGGCTCTGGTGCCTCGTGGGCATGGAACAGTACCCTTCCCACCCGAATCCAGAAGATCGCGACCATCCAGAACATGACGGCCATTATTGAGGGGATTACCCCGGGTAGTGGCGCGTATAGCAACGAGGCAAACCCATTCACCACCAATTGGCGAGAGGCATGGTGGGGTGATAACTATGAGAAGTTGGTGAGAATTAAACATCGGTATGATCCGGACGGGTTGTTGAGTTGCTGGAAGTGTATTGGTTGGGATGAGTCGCAAATTGCCACTTCGTCATTTGCTACACTTCTCTAATCTCGATTGTTTGTAAAATAGCGCATATATACATGCATAATATTACTGTAGAGGTACATTAATCTTACAAGGTATCATCGAAGTATCACTTCTGGTCAAACGACAGACACTTGAGTACTTGTGATGGTGAGATATACTCAGGAATCTACCCGCAATGGAAGTATCGAATTGACCAAGTCTAGTCGCCGATTGCTCTTTCTACTACGATCTCCTTAAGAATTTAGGAATCATAAGATTTGGGAGGCATAAAGAAACTCCAATCAGTCTAATCGCAGTTATAATTTCTCAGCAACGAGTCGATCATGTCTCGAAAAGTTGGGATGTCTACGTTACATGCAAAGGCTTCCTCTCATTGGTCAGGTGTTCTCGGCGGTCAAGTCGCATTATGATTCTGCCCATCTTTCTTCCAATGTAAGCTTTTTCTCACCTTCACTCGCCTCAACACTAACCGCCTCTTTGATTCCCACCGCCATAAGCCATATCCTCCAAACAGTCAGCCCCGAGTGGGATATTAGGTCTGAGTGCATTTGATACCATTTTCACTCCGGTCCTGAAGGTACGTTGCAGCTACTGCTCTGCACAATAGCTCAGCCTTCTGTTGCGGACACCTCATTCATCATGTCCTATCCGCCACCTCCAGGTCTCAAACAGACTCCCGCCTCTCTTCCCCCTCGACCTCCTCCTTCCAACAATGCTTCGAAACCATCGGGCTACAGCGCCTTCACGGCGTTCCAACCGCGCGCCGTAGCGTCCACCCAGACACAGTCGCAGCCTTATCGCACCCAGAGCCCATCCATCTCGGCACCGCCCGTCTCAACTGCTGGGTATGCATCACCTACGACAGGCTATGGCAACTATTATCAACAGCCGCAACCCCAATCCTACCAGTCACAACCTCAGTCCTATCAGTCCGGTCCTTCCTACTTCAGCCCGAGCGTCCCCCAGATCCAGAACCCGTTTGGCTCCACCCCGAATCAACCCCAAGGTGCTCGGCGAGGACAGAACCCTGGAATGGACCCAGAGACCGAAGCCCAGATCGCACAATGGCAAAGTGCCTACGCCAACCCTGCCGAGGAGGTTGGCAAGCCGCAGGGCTCTAGTGCTGTGACTCCCGCCGTCGGTACCCCCATTCCCACACCCCAGCCGGAGCCTCAAGCCACAGTTGTCAGGTCTGGTGGTGGTGAGAAATGGACCGACTCGACTCTGCTGGAATGGGACCCTGCCCATTTCCGCCTGTTTGTTGGTAACCTTGCGGGCGAAGTGACCGACGACTCCTTGTTGAAAGCGTTTGTGCGTTACCCGTCGGTACAAAAGGCACGCGTGATTCGAGAAAAGCGGACCCAGAAAAGTAAAGGATATGGCTTCATCAGCTTCAGTGATGGCGATGACTACTTCAAGGCCGCCCGTGAAATGCAGGGCAAGTACATCGGGTCTCATCCCATTCTACTGCGACGTGCCAACACCGAGGTGCGCCCGGTCTCGAACAATAAGAATCAGCGGAAGAATTATGGCGGCGGTGCGCGTGGAACGGGGCCGAAGGTGAAGCAAGATGGCGTGAGGAAGCCCGGAAAGACAAAGGGCGGTCTGAAGATTCTGGGTTAAATAATCATCAACTATTATTCTGGAAAGATATACTTTCGAGACCTACATGCCGCTGAATCCCCTCTCTCCGAGTGATTTGTAATGTAAACACAGACGCCTTGACTGGGCGAACCTGTGCTCACTCCCTAGTGGACTTGTACGTAGTAGCATCTCGTAGAAAGAGAATCAACCACGGTTTCCTTTGAACATTGTCGAATGAGCATGGGTGCGCATTCGCACTTGGTGCCGTTCACCAGTCGCGGCCGATGCGCCAATCCTTTCATCCTCCAATGGGCGGGGGACGTGGAGGAAAGCAGGCTGGCGATCCGCTCGACGGGTGGGCCTGCGCGGCCAATAGGGCTGAGGCCTTTAATGGCGGCGCCAAGGCGAGCCCCCAACTTTGAGCTCTCCCGCCCGTTCGAGTCTCGACTGCGTCGACTCTCAAGCCCCCGGCTATTGCTTCCCAGCCCATATTTACGGGGGTTCTGGCAACGGCTGGAGCTAATACTACTTTCTACAACCACACCTTGACCCACCTATTTCTTCATCTCTTTCATATCTCCACTGGCTGGAGTGGATGTATCAGGATGGAGGGCCAGGCCGACCCCGCGGTCAAGCTCGAACGTACCATGCCTCACGCTGCTCCGGCTGCGACTACAGGAACCGCCACCGGGTCGCGCTCATCCGCGCCGCGAGTCCGTCTTAGCTGTGAAGCATGCCGCCAGCGCAAGGTCAAGTGTGATAAGCTCAGTCCTTGCACCAGCTGCGTGCGCCTGGGCTTTGTTTGTGTCCCCGTTGAGCGAGCTCGTCTACCGCGCGGCCGCACCAGGAAGCCATCCGAACGGTTGACTGGAAACAAGGAGCTAATAGACCGAGTAACGAAGCTGGAGCAGCTTTTGAAAAATGTCGCGGCCGAGCGGAATGTCGAGTCGCTTGTTGAGAAAACGCCGCAATCAACGACCGCCAGCGCCGAGGATAGTCTTGAGACGAAGATGACCGATGTTGAGACCTGGCGCACCGAGAATGCTCAGCCTAATATGTTCGTCTTGCCCCACCGGCCACGCCCCTCGACGACCTACATGGCTAGTTCGTTTTGGGAAGATATCATGCAGCAGGTAAGCACTGTATTCGAATATGATCCCTGCATTGCTTGATGAAAGCTCCATTTGTTACGTTCGCCGTCCAAACCCGTCTTATTTAACACTCCGATGTAGACACAAGAACTCCGTACGGTCTTGGATGACCGCTTGGAAGACGAGGAGGCAGAGGAGGAGGCTAGGAGTCAACCTGGCTTTGGAGCGTCTTTGGTCGGCTCCGAGACCTCAGAGAGCATGTCCGGGTCACCTCAGTCGTACAAGGGACTCACCATTTCGCCACAGACGAGAAGGCGGCTGTGCGAGATCTATCTGTACAATGTCGATCCGGTCTTCAAGATCTTGCATGCGCCCACGCTGCGGGCCTTTCTTCGAGACGACCAGCCGTATCTTGATTACGATCCTGATCATATTGCTCCCACCACCTTGGCATGGGCTGTATACTATGCGGCTGTCTGCACAATTGACGATTCTCAATGTCAAATCTTGTTTGGTGTGGACAAGAAGACGATCACTGCCGATCTACAAAGGGAAACGGAAGCTGCTCTGGTAAAAGCCGATTTTGTGACTACCAACGAGTTGACAGTTCTGCAGGCCTATGTGCTATCATTGGTAGGTCATGAGGAGACCTCATACCCTGAGGATTAGCCCCTAGTATGAATGTTGATACTAATCCTGCCTACTGTAGCTCGCCGCTCGCTGCCAAGATCAAAGCCGACGGGTGTGGACCATGCTGTCCATGGCTCTTCGTGTGGGTCAAGCTCTTTGCCTCCATATGCCCTTTCCTCCCTTCCAAGTCAGTCCTTTCGAGCAGGAGCTACGACGACGCACATGGCAGGCCATTGGTGTTCTCGACCTGGCTGCCTCGCTCGACCGAGCCTCTGAACCAATGATGCAATCTGCTTGGCTAGATCATGTCCGGCCGGCAAACATCAATGACGATGATATCTGGCATGGCATGGACGTGCCGTTCAAAGAGCACCCGGAGGGTACTTTCACCGATATGACAGAGAATTCTCTTATCGCCGCAGCGCAGTCCGTGGCTCGGTCGATCGGGTTCACCGATTTCATTGAGCCTACGGTCAGATCGTCGCAGAAGCGGCAGGAGATTCTTGCAAACTTCCGGAAAACGGCGAATACGCTCTTGGCTGGGTGCAGACCTGAGCTATCGTCTTATCACCTCTACGTGTCACGAGTAGCGCTAACTATCTTCGGTTGGCTACAACTGGGATGTGTGCGACCAATTCAACGTGGAAGAAACTGGGTTCCCCCACCTGTCGAGGGCGATGTACTCCTGAACCTGGCTGCTGATAATCTGCAAAAATTGATGCAGACAGCCAGCGACCCTGCGATGCAGCCGTGGAGGTGGTTTGGATCCATGTGGGTCCCCTGGCATGGCCTGGCGGTTGCCCTCGCCGAACTTTGCGTTTGCAAGGACCCGGCGACGATAGCCAAGCACTGGCCGGTGGTGGAGCAAGTATACCAGCAATCGAGTTTCGTCATTGCAGATTCCCAACACGGGATGCTCTGGAAACCCCTTCAGAAACTCATGAACCAGGCACGAGCCCACCGGCAGCAAATGCTACGCGGCGAGTCTCCCAGCGAAGGAATCGGCCATATCACAATTAGCGATCTACCGGCCATGGAAACAATGGCTCCTCCACCTGCTCCCCCGCCCGTCCACGAGCAGTACATTCCTCCACCAGATGCCCTCGCCGACCTTACGACCACCTATAACGTGGGCCCGGAAGCGCCGAACCTTATCGATGCTGCTGGCCAGCAACTGGATCCTGCCATGATGATGGCACCACCGGCATTCACGCTTGAACCATGGCCAAGCGTCTGGGACCAAATGGATTTCGTTGGAGAGTCGGGAATGGAGTCCGAGGCGGATAATAACGCGTGGATGAACTATTCAAGCTTCATGGGTGATGTATATGACAGCGTCGAATGCATGTTTTTACCCCGACAAGGATGATGGAAACGCATCTGTTCGATTCAAGTGCGCGACGGGTGGCCTGGCGGAGTCAATTGGATTGGAGGCTCCTTGCGTGGGATTTTTTCCCACTGGCGTGGCACAGTATCGGTCTATGTCGGTCGAAATAATTCTTGAGATGGCCTCCGGAGAAATCTGGTCATAATGCATAATGAAACAACCTTCTCTATTCTGAATATTCGGAACGCTCTCCATACGATCCATCCTCAACAGCCTCCACCGCCACCGCCAGCACCCAGTCCCATTCCCAACCCGACCCCCGATGTAAACGCATAATCCCCCGCATGCCTCATCTGCCTACTCCGTGACCGACGTTGCTTCTCCCGAACCGACACCCCCGTCAACAGAGCCAACCGATCAAACTCCTCTCCAAACTCCCCACACATCTCAACGCACCCAGGAACCAACGAATACGAGTTCGACGAAAATATCGCCAGGGGTTCATCACTAGAATCTTTGACTAATTTCAAATTCCCCAGTGGCGTAGCATGCTTCCCCAAAGAACGTGTCTTCTTCCATAAGAATCGACCCATTTCACCATATAGACTTGTCTGGAATGCATATCTGGGTGACAAATATCCCTTTTTGGACAGAGTGACTTGCACCCCATCGTTGTCTAGATTGTCGGCGTATAGCAGGTCATTCTCGACGAGCGAGATTTGGCAATCTTGCGAGAAGCGTTTGTATCGCGATTCACCAATGACGGCGCCCGTTGCATCGAGCCCTAGGTGCATGCGTAGGTCGGGCTGGGATTTGTCAAAGGGTGAGTTTTCGAGGAAAAATGATTGCGTATCGCCGGTGATGTCTGTGGCTGTTACGTGGTAGTGGTGACAACCGGGTTGTTCGGTGATGTGGAATTCTTTGTATGACATATCGGGTTCAGATTGTTATAGATTGTTATTCACGGAGTGTGTTGTTTATTCCCTGGTATTTGGCGGCAGGTAGATCGATTACTTCTGGGTCATAATGATTATCATTGAAAAATTTCGCTGTCCATGTGTTCTTGATGCTCGGAAGCTGCCGTGGAACGACTTCATCGCCACTCTGGCCCCCGAGGTATCCGATCATTCGTGGCGGTGACCCTCGAACGGCGACGTCATATGAAATTCGCATCCCTGAATCGTGTTGCTACGTTTTCTTTGGTTCATGCGGGGAATGGAAGCTTCCATAAGGGAGGTGTGCCCAGGCTCTGGTTCCAGAAATTGTGAAGTTGCAAGGCGATTCTTTTACCATAAAATGACATTGAATATGTATAGTGACCACCTTAATAGCTCTGCTGTTGAAATCGGGCATTTTCAAAACAAGTGACCCTCCAAGTTTTCGATTTTTAGATATCCTGCAAAATCTTAATTGTCATTGATGAATAGGAATCTTATTGTATGTTGTAATTTCTCGCAGATATAAGGATGGTGAAAACCTGGTCCGAGTGTCACAATGTTCTGGCTTCCCCGCCTCCTTTTAACTTCATCCCCGACGCCCCTGCCCCCTGCTTGTAACATAGCAATAGGCTATTGAGAATCATGTCTAGCGCAGCAGAGCCCGTTCCTGTCGCAAATCCACCAGTGGTGTCAAATAACCCTGACCCCAACCCGTCAACAGTATCGGCCCCAGTAGCTGATGACGTCAAGGTGGCTGATACTAACAAGTTCGATGAGGGCTCATCAAACAATGAGCCGCCATCAGTGGAAACAATCCGAAAGGTCGAGGACTATGAGGTATTCGATAACAAAGGCGAGAAACATTTGTTCAAGAGCATCTACGATGGACCCGATACAACGGGGCGCGTTCTGGTGATTTTCATCCGCCATTTCTTCTGTGGGGTAAGTCACCCTAGGCTTTTGTAAGAAATCTTTATTGATCATTTACTCTAGAGCTGCCAAGACTACGTTCGCGAACTTGCAGAGTCTTTCAAGCCCGAAGAGCTACTGCAACTTCCTAAGGCAACGTCCCTCGCCATTATCGGCTGTGGCGACCATGGCTTAATCGACTTCTACGCCAAAGAAACCGGATGTACATTCCCCATCTACGCCGATCCAGCCAACGCCCTATACGACGACCTGGGCATGACAACGACCTGGGACCTCGGCCCAAAGCCAGAGTACATCCGCAGAAGTATGGCTCGAGTTGTCGCAGGCTCGATCATGCAGGGGCTCAAGCACTTAGGTAGCGGACTTGCTACGAAAGGAGGAGATACCAAACGCGTGGGTGGTGAGTTCTTATTTGAACCGAGCGGCGAAGATGGAGGGAAGAAGATTACGTGGTGTCATCGGATGACGAATACGCGCGACCATGCTGAGATCAACGAGTTGGTAAAAGTGCTTGACGCGGATGGTAAGATATTGTTACAAAAGGCGTAAAGTATCACGGTGGAGGATCATGTTGTTCGAGACTTTGTACTTTGAGATTGCACGTTATGGCCGTACGCAGGTTACAGACAGACGAGTAGTTTCACCTCGGAAGAGCATTTAATTCGAGTGGGAGAGCAGGAATTTCCTTAGTGGCATTGGAATACGCCGAGGGATCTCATCCTATTGTGAGATAGTTTAACGATGCAATTTAATCATAACGCCTAAATACCCCAGAAGTTCCTCCAAACACTTCAAATATTATCCATCAAAAAAGAGAACTTACTATATCGCTAGTAACACCATTGAAATTGCATCCCGCAACGACCTCAAGTGCCAAAGCTGTTCCGTGCATAGACGATCTGTCCTGTTTGCCTCGACGGATAGAAATTCTGAGGCCCCAACTCCCAGGGTGGTCCTTCGGGTTCGTTAATCTCCATGCCCGTTTCAAAAGCATCGCCTTTTGGATCATTCTTCACTGAGTCATCCCGGGGGCTTGAAATCGTGACATCTAGATCCTCGTAGAGTCGTTGATAGGTACAAGGTCGCCCACGATGATTACACTCTGAACAAGGATTTTCCCCGTTGCAAGCCTTTCGTATGCTTGCACAGCCGTCACAAGCACGCTTATGCTTGCCCCCTCGGTGACCTTGGGGCATCTCGATGCCATTTTCGAGGCGTGTCTTGCATGATCTCCAATGTCTTCGTAACACGTCACTTGGTCATCATCAGCGATTGAATCTCATCGCGCACAATGTAATCGATTTATAAACAGCAACAAGGGAATAGATTGACCCACCCCCGGCTAAATAACGCGCCACAGAAATGGCAAGCGTGGCTTCTCTGTGTTTTATCTGTAACGGACAACTCAGCCGCTGACACACGTGATGGTTAATAAGAAAGTCTGCATGGACACACGCGTAGCCGAATGGCGTTTCAAATGATCGTGGCGCTTGAACGTCGAGCAGCACCGATCACATTTCCAGTGTTTCTCATCCGCCGCGGCCTCCAGGCGTGAGGGCGGCGGTGAATGTTGCATGCCGAGCGTTCGTTCGGGCTGCTAACCCGTTTTGAGGAATAGCAGGCGAGAAAAACCAATCGACGAGGTCCGGGCTTGCTAATGCCCCGACGTGATTCGCTCCGAGCCCGATGGGCCGAAGGGTAGCTGGTCGAATTAGGACTCTTCAAAAGCGAGGGATCCAGAAGGGATGTTGTATTGGGGATGTGGATGAATCCCGTCGAGCGAGGTGTTTCGGTGCTGGTGTCGCGAATCCCCCACGCCCGCGCCCACGCAGCGTCGGATGAGACGGAAAGACTGAAGACGGCATGGAAGTTCCAGATACACGTGAGATGCGCTAATGAAGATCACCAAGTCATCCGAGGGGTTAGGATCATGGTTAGCGTCTGGGGGTGGCAACGGCCGTAATAGGTGGTAGAGATGGAGAGTGGGCGAAGGTGTGAGAGTTTACGCCGAACGGTCCACTGGCAGCGATCCAACTGGCGTAAATTGGCTAGCCGTCGCGATTCCCCCACTTCCGCGGTCGCTTTGATGCTCGTTTCAACGCGAAAAGGGGGAATGGACCAAGGCTGGCCTGAAATGATCCGAGTGGCCCAATGCGGGCATCAAGTACTCCTTCCATGGGCCAGCTATCATATATAAGATACGACACGACCTATCTTGTCTCGATCGATCACTCATTCATCCAGGCTTCGCTCTATCGACTCAACACGAATAATATACACCATCAAAAAGATGACTATCGTCACCGAGATGGCACCTTTGGCTGTAGTCGATGATTTGGCAGATTCTCAAGAGCATTGGAACAACTGGCCAAATGCAAAGGGAGTAAGTGGTCGTGATACCTAGACTCTGTCCAAATTTTCTAATCCAGTGTACAGTTCGATCCTGAATATGAGCAACGCACGCCCGTGGAGCTTGCAGTGACTGGAAGAATTCCTGCATACGCCGCTGGTACCTTGTATCGCACTGGCCCAGGCAAAAGCCAGGTCGAGACCGAAGAAGGCCAGACGTTCCATATCTCGCATTGGTTCGATGGATTTAGCCAAACGCATCGATTCCAAATCATCGACTCGGGGGAATCCGAGTCCACCAGAGTTCTATACAATTCTCGCTTCGCAACCGACGAGCTGGTTGAATATGTACGGAAGACCGGATCTTTGGCTAGGTTGGGCTTTGGCCAGAAGCGTGATCCATGCAAGAGTGTATTCAACAAGGTTCAAAGTGAATTTGAACCGCCAAGCGGCCCCTCGGGCTCGAACGTTGGCGTCACTCTTTCAGTCAATATGCCCGGTCTTGATGTCCAGCCAGAAGACGAGTCCACAGAACGCTGGGGATCCGCCAAGGGCATTCGCACCCTGTATGCAAAGACCGACTATAATAAGTTCAAGAAGTTGGATCCGGAGACTCTCGAGCCTATCGGCCTCGCTTCCCAGGAATCTCTCCATCCTGAATTGACCGGGCCATTGGCAGCATCCCATGCTCGATCGGACCCCAAGACTGGCGACATGTTCAACTTCAACCTTGAACTCGGCCAAACTTGCACATACCGCGTCTTTGGCGTTTCCGCTGCGACGGGAAAGACTACCATTCTCGCCACTTTCCCCGGCACGCCTGCCTATCTTCACTCCCTGCTCATCACGGAAGACTACGTCTTGCTCTGTGTGTGGAACTCTCATGTGAACCCGTTGGCCCTCGAGAACAATTCCTTCATGGACTCGATCCTTCCAACTGATCCCTCTCAGCCAGCAACCTGGTATGTCGTGGACAGAAAGAACGGAAATGGCTTGGTTGCAACGTACCAGAGCCCGGCCTTCTTTTGCTTCCACACCATCAACTCCTGGCAAGAACCATCAAAGGAAGACCCAACAAAGACGGACATTGTCGCGGACCTGGTCAGGATGGACAATACTGAGTTCATCTCATCCCTCTATTACGACAACTTGATCTCTTCACGATCCAGTGCAAAGGAATTCGCCGCGAAGAGGGGAGATGCACTGCGTTCAACTATTACTCGTTTCCGCCTTCCGGGACTACCATCCTCTCCCAGCTCTGATATTCTCAACGCTACCGTTGAATGGTCTTCCTGCAAGTCCTTCTCCCCTGAGCTCCCTACTATGAACCCAGCGTTTGTCACGGAGAAGCACCGCTACGCTTATGCCACTACTTTCCGAGGAGAAGCTACATTGACCGACGGGATTATGAAATTCGATTGCGAGACTCAGGAAACTCGCTTGTGGGCGCATCATGGCCATTCGCCCGGTGAGGCAATCTTCGTCGCGGACCCCGCGGGCGTGAGTGAAGACGACGGTGTCCTTCTTAGTGTTGTTCTGGATGGTCTGGCTGGGAACAGCTACCTGCTGTGTCTTGATGCTCACGACCTAACTGAACTTGGTCGAGCGAGTATCAAGGGTGTCGTCGGTTTTGGCTTCCATGGACAGCATGTTCCCATTGTAGGCTTGCCGACTGGTGACTACTAGGAATTTTCTTCATGTATTTCTATCCAAACTCAGTGGAGCTTATCAGAATGCAAAGAGCAACTCTAAATTACTCTGTCTTAGCCACGCTGCAACCTTCTCTGTCTGTAAAGTCCTTTCAGAATAATTGTTAAAGCTTCTTTCCGGATAGCCCAGATAACAGATGTCTCGATTCATCAACAAAAGCATGACTGATGAGATGACTTTGAAATTGGATGGTCGCAGGTTTCAGCATGTGAAGCTCCACGGTATATAGTTAGATTTTGTTTTGCTACTACAACAGCATATGAACATCTTTCTAGAGCGATTGACGCTTGCGTGTCATAAGGACCTGAATTATTAGTTAACATATATTTAGTGGCAATTCATTAGTATTTGGAACATGGTACTTCTGTCCACTAGCAAAAAGATAGGTGGTGCAGGTACCATTTTCCCTGACTTATACTGTAGATTCGATCGGGTGTTATGCCGTATTACAGAGACCACACTAAACCAAATAGGGCTAGGAGGGGAGGATCGACTAATAAGACAGGGATCACTTGACCCCACTCTGGTCAACTTCCTAAAACGGCAAGGCCTAGAGTCATTGGATTTCTCATCAAGTTACTTCTCTTGGCCATCAACTACTAAGGTTTACATTCTCACTTCAGCGCATTCATGCATCGTCAATTAAACTCCCTGGCCTATTGAATCTCTGCAGGTAGCCTTTGAGACATCAAGCGCTGATAATTCCCTTCAATATGCTCGTTCAACTTCTCCAGTCGCTTCAGATATCCCTAAAGGATCTTTTTGTTATTCGTGGTGCTATAACACTCATAATACTGCTTAGCATCCCCTTGGTCTTTGTGATACAGTCTGGAAATGTCCAAAAAACACGCAGAAGGTTGAGAAGCCTGCAAAGACTCGGCTTGACTACCAGCAACATGGAAGACCAGTACAATCCCAAATTCGGTCTTCCGCCAGCAGCCCCAGTGGATGGACCAGCACGAATCAAAGCGATATATCTGCATCCCATCAAATCTTGCGGACATGTCGAGGTAGATCGCGCCTTACTCACCAAGGCGGGATTTATGTTCGACCGATGTTTCGCCCTTGCAACGAGAATTGCCAACAGCGACGATCCTGCAGCCTCGAAATGGCGATTCATCAGTCAGCGCACGAAACCTCTCATGTCCCAGATTAAGATCGAGTTATGGCTTCCGCATAAGAACAGCGATTTGCATGATCCACTAGTACAGTCAGGTGGATGTCTGGTTGCGACATTCGAAGACCCTGACTTGCCGAGTTGGATCAATCGTGTTGAGACATTGCTCTATACATGGGGTCTCTCAGCACGCCCACAGATTTCCTTCATTGTGCCTCTCAATGTTACGTCTTCCCAGGCAGAGGAATTCCAGGTCAAACTGAAAACATTCGGCATTCACAGTCGTGACGCAAGAGGCCTCGACATGGGCGGAATACCTTCTATCGCAACAGCTCTGCCCAAATTGAAGAAGTTCTTGGAAATACCGCAGGACCACAGCCTCACGATTTTCAGATGTACACCGGACACCATGACACCTACGAATTTGAATCTTGCGCCACTTGAACACATCGGTTCACCATCCGTGCATGGCTACACAGATCAACAACCCGTCAACATCAACAGCCTATCATCTGTTCAGGCGGTTTCCGCCCTCCTTCCGACTGAAAATCAACCGATGAACGCACTTCGTTTTCGTGCAAACATCTGGATCGAGAACGCTGCGGCATATGAGGAAGAAACATGGAAACGCTTCCGTATCTTATCAAAGAGTAACGATACGAAGCCACGAGCAACCGTTGAGCCGACATTGTCCGTTGTTTGTCGAACCTCTCGATGCACAATGCCTAATGTGAACCTGGAGACTGGAAGATTCGATACGGAGAACCCTCTTCCTGGGAAGAAGAGGGGCAAAGCTCAGCCAAGCACAGCGTTAGTGCAGTATCGTACGGTCGAGACGGGGAATAAAAGTGCTCTTGGCTACTTGGGTATGCATTGTGTGCCTGAAGATAGGAGCTTGAAGGAAGCCGAAGGGCAGGAAGCGGGATTGTATGTTGAAGTTGGTGATGAGATTGAAGTGCTCGAACGAGGGGCACATCTCTATGGGTCGACGGCAAACGACTATTAAAATTTTATAGTTTCTTTACTAGATGCTTCTAGAATATGAATATCAAATGGGTCAGGAGATAGAGAGAATGAAGATATAGACAGTTTTGTATAATATGGACGATCTATGGCTGTATCCTCCAATGCGGATCCTCTCCTGCGGTCTGAAAAGCGGGGTGCTTCAAGAATCAAAATCTATCAAAATTCAACCCGCGTCCAATTCATTCCCTGCAATCATCCAGTAATCCAATTGAAACCAACCCCCAATTCATCAATTTCCATCATATCCCATCCACCAAAATGGCAACCGGCGAACAAAACCTCTCCGTGCTCCTCGCAACAATGGAGCCCACCCTCGACTCCAAAACCTACGTCTTCATCACCACCACGCAAGCCCTGCACTTGCTTCCACTAGCCACTTTACAACCAACCCTGATCGCCCACGAAGCCGAGGGCACGACTATCGTGACGACGGAAGACCTTGCCGCGTCACACGGGCTTGAGGGTGTCTTCCCTTGCAAGCGGATCTCGCTGACGGTGCATTCGAGTCTGGAGGCTGTGGGGTTGATTGCCGCTATCACGAATCGGCTTAAGGATCACCAGATTAGCACTAATGTGGTCAGTGGGTATTATCATGACCATATTTATGTACCTGCCGAGCGAGCGGAGGATGCAATGCCTGTTTTGGAGGATTTGATTGAGGAGGCGAAGAAATAGATGCGTGTTGTATTATAATCTCTAGATCTGTTCAATCAGATGAAAATGGCATATTAGTGCAGAATTTGCACTGCACTAGATGGATCCAGTGGCAGTCTCCGAAAGTCTTGCATGTCTAATGAATATACTGATACCATACGGTATTCTAAGAAATTGAATTTGATCAAAATTGACGGTTCTGTCTATTGAGACATGGCCCTCCCCTATTCCATTCCTATGGTACACGCATTCATCGATCATCGAGGCAGACATCAAACACAAATAGAAAGAAAAGACACGATAGACACCGAGAGAAAACGCCCAACGCCCCACAACGGCGGGACCAGACTACTATTGATACCATTCTATCTTCCTCGACCAGAGACGCCAGAAAGAGAACGACCACCGACCACGGATCTCGTGGGGAAAAACTCCGCTGTGCTTAGAGCGTGCAAGGCTGGTTAAGCCTAAATGGCGACCAGCAAATTTGATGGAACAACAACCGTCTCGCTGGCCCGGTCCTGTCGTAGCTCTGGGTTTATATGACCATGGAGGCGAGAAGGGGCGGCTGAGCGGGCGGGGTATTAGTTGTACAAGACATAGACGCGGGGAAAGAGGATGAGGAAAAAAGTGGTAGAGAAAAAGGAAACAAGAAATTAATGAGATTGAAGATCATGTTCGTCAGTAGTCGTCCTCTTTCTCGATGACCATGAGAAGCTCGGTCAACTCCTTGCGCAGAGCACGGTTCCGGTCCCAAACCTCCACAATCTTCGGGCGTTGGCTCACGAAGCATGCCTTTTTCCACGATACATTGCCGTATTTCGTGGCAACCCGTTGAGGTAACCCTCGAGCAATGTTCCGCAAAACGAGTGCGGCCTTGTAAGCTGCTCCATAAGCCTCGAGCTTGTCGTTCACTGGCGTGTCCATGTAGTACCATTTGCGTACAATTCTCTCCTGAAGAATCGGACGCTTGGTGCTGGGTGGCTGAGCGTCGGCCGGACGATCTTCGGGCAAATGAGAAGAAACGTGGCCGGCAACCATCGCAGTATTAGTACTAGGTCCCGAAGCCCGGAAACGCGTGCAGCCATCCCACTGACAAGTGTGGATAGGAGTTTCAGCAGCTTCCATCTTGAATTGACCGGGTGTCTCGGTGGTTTCCAGGTTCATGTGGTCCGCAAACACGTGGTTTCGGAGATCAGTTGGGGATTCGAAAGCGCGTTGACACATCTGGGAAGGCTTTGAGTTATCTGCCCATTTGCAGTATAGGTATGGGAAGCCTTGGAAAGTATAGGCCGTCTCCAGGGGTCTGATTCCCTTGATGATGAATTTTGTAGCCGTGCCAGGACCGTTGATGACCTGAGCCTGTGCATTGGTAAAAGTGTTGCTGACGTTCTTGATGAACTCCGCAGCGGGGAGAACACCTCCACCGGCGACTCGGGGGTCGGCGAAGCGGCTTTGGTAAGCCTGCCACAGTGCAATCTGCGTAATTTCGCACTCTGCATCTTCAACAAAGCAGCACCGTAGCCATTGAGAGCTCCGCTCCGGTTCCGAAAGCTCCATCAATTTCTCCAACAACTCAGGTGGCACACGAGGAATATCGGCTGGTGGCGGAGCAACCTTTTCCTCTTGAAGAACAGTCTCTTTCTTTGCCGGGCGTGCCTCGTAGGTAAGAAGAGCAACCATACGGGGCACGAAGATGATCGGGAAGTCGATCACATCCATCAATGTCTCGATATTGTCATGACTGAGGGTGTACTGGTACCAGAAGTCCAGCGCACCACTCAAAATATCCTTGTCGAGATCAAGAAGTGTGTGGTAGTATAATTGTTGCAAAGTTGGCTTCGACAGGCTCTCCATGGCTCGGTTTGCGTCGGCCTCATGTAACTCGGTAGAGAAGTGGGTTAATGCCCAAAGAGCTCTCACAATGTGGGCGCGATCTGGTGATTCAAGACATTTGACCAGAGAAATCCAGAGCGGGTCCTCAGGGTCAGTTCTCATGAATTTGGTGACTTCCTCAGCAATGTCCAGCGCATCGTTCTTGATTTCATTCAGACGCGGTTGATTTGGTATGTTCATCATGATGACAAGGAAGTCTCTGAGAAGGCCACTAGCATAACGAGAAATGTAGAAAGCATTCTCCTTCAGTAAAACCATGTTTCTCAGAACCAATGTGGCCTCCTTGATATTCCGAAGGGTATGGTTGAACTCTTTCGTCTCAAGGGTGTCCGTCGGAATGTTCGTGGGAATCTTCCGAATCTTCTCCAGGATATCTCGTGTACCATGCAGTGAGTTGAGTACATTGATGCGATCGGACCGTTGTCGAGGGTCATAGTCAAACTCCCAGCGCACTCCAGTGCAGAGATGTGTGATTTCCAAGGCTTTTTGCATGAGCGACTCGGCGAGTAAGGGGAAACCCTCGAATTTGAACTTATCCCACCGTTGATTCGAGATTTGAACCAGATGGTACAATGCGAAATCGATTTCATCAGGGATGCCAGACTGAAGACCGTAATGTGCACGCTTGTAGATGTGATCCGCTGCGGGTTGTTTGCAAGTTAGATTTTCACATTTATCTCCGGGACACTCGGGCGAGAACTCACTGCGAGGGACTTCCAAAAATCTCAGGGGAAAGTAGGGGTCATAGAAATCGGGCTGCTTTGCAAACTTTGTGCGATCGTACAGACTCGCGAATAAGGCAGGCCGATTGCCTGGGGTAGGTACTTCGCGAGTCGACATCGGCAATTGTGTGTGGGATTTCCCCTCCCAATTTTCGACCGCAAAAGACGCGCTCTGGGGATTCGCTGCCGGATTGAGGGGGGCATGAGGGGACATCGATGGCTGGGGAGAGGTAAAGCTCTGATGGTGCGAGCGGCGAGCAGGGGCCGTGTCTGGAATGAAAGGTTGGTTGACTTTCGGCGCCTGGCGCAGGCCCTCTGTATGATGTTAGTATCCTCAACCGCACATAATGAAGACGAAGACCTTACGGCGCAGAGAAGTTCTCTGAGGTGTGGATGCCGACATCTTGATACTGTGTAGATATGGCAACTAGGAACGGAGGGTGATGGAGCTTCTGCGCTTGCGCAGGCTCTCCCTTGCGGGCGGGACTAGCGCGGTCACTTGAGCACACGAGCTCAATGGCACAATTTGCGCTTGGCTGCCAGGAGCAGGCTTCGGGAAAGGATTTTGAACGGAATTGGCGCGGCCTCGAAGTCGAGTCTGCGTGGGATTATAACCGCCTCGGAGATGGATAAAGGGCGAGAGTCCCTATCGGCTTCCTTCAAGCTGATTGGAACGGTCGTCAAGAAGGAGACAGCGATGCGTGATGCGAACAAGTCAATACCCACGAGGTATTTGACTTGCGGTTGAGTGGAGTCGGCGGACGCGCTCGAGGTCAAAAGGCGCAGGAGGATGCGCAACGAGGGCGAACACGAACACACGAAGTGATGGCAGGGGCCAGCAGGGGTTCGTTTGATTTCGTGAATGGTAAGTATATGACAAACGTAGGCGACCGGTGCCTTGGGGTGGATAGCCGTCAATTCCTTGTACGTAGCCCTTGAGGGCAGTGAGAGGAGCTGAGCTTTGCGATCAACGGACTGATCATCCAAAAGTCCGCGCTTTCTCCAGGCGCGCTGCCGGAGATAAGTTGTTCCGATGCTGGGATACTTCCATAACGCTATACCACTTACAGTCATAGTGGCGCCTCAGGCATCAATGGTAGCATAGATCGAGCCACGGGTGTTTAGCATGGACGAGAACAACGGACTTACATGTATGTTTTGATTCGTGTAGATGAGTCAGACACTTTTGCTTCAGTCAAAGCTTGTATAAATGGTTCAAGCATGAGACTTTAGCTCTTTTTCTCAATGCCTTGTCTCGCCTTTACAAGATATAGAGGACATGGATGGTGGACCAATATGAGCAAAAAGACGCAAGGTAGCCTTGAAGGAGGAAACAGTCATGCAATTGAGATGTGAAATGAAGGAATAATGGTAAGAATTTGTGAAGTGCTGCCTTACAGATAGGAGAAGGCCTTTGTCACCTACGTGCTGCACTTCCATTTCCTTGTCATCTGATCCTCCTTCCACCTAACTTCTTTCTCATCCCACACACTACTTCACCTGCCTCAACCTCTCCTTCCGTCGAAGCTTCTGTATTCTTGCTTCACAAAATTAATTCCATGCAATGCAGCAGTCATCTATAAGCCAATCCTCTATGGGGTCACTGCTGCTACTCTCCCGGTTCTCACACACTGTCACTACTGTCAACTCGCACGCTCGGCTGGTTTGGACTCACGTCAATGGAGATGGAGATTTGTTCAGCCAAATTGCCAAATCTGTTGGAAGTGAACTGTCTCGGTCAAGTCTAATCCTTAAGGTCATCCATAATGGCAAAATCCTGGTATAGTAGTCATATATGTTCAATGCAATAAGTCCTCGAGTGAGCTGACAAAAAGTATAGGAACAACTTGACCTTGGACAACATGTTGGTGGTGGCATAAAGGAGCCCCGATCAAGTCAAAATGATGCAGGTTCGAAGCCAGCCTTTGCAGTCATGGTCAAACTGCCTTGCATTGCGATCAAGTATCTGCAGGATGAAATTCATGTTGGTCGATCATCAGACCTTGAAGATTTCAATATTCTAACCACTCTATGTTAGCTGCGTCGATTCCAGGTCAGGTTCGCCAGAGACAGCGATTACTACACGGCTTTGTCTATGATTAGTAGTATCAATTGTCCTCTGGCAGATGGTACCTTGCCGTCCTCGCGTTTACCAACCACGGCCCAGATGGCGAATAATCCCCCTCACCCGATGATCACACCAGAAAGCAATACATCGGGACCATTCAACCATATGGCCCGAACCGCATCTGGTTTTGAGACATGTAAGTCCGCGTCTGCATCACTGGGGCCAACCTACTGATGTCCGAGTCATAGTGGCCTCCAATGCCCCGTCTACCTCCTCAACCAAGGTTTATCAACCCGTCGTCGGTGCCTTGCAGAATTCAATGACGATGCAAAGCTTAGGTGCTGTCAATGAAACCACATTCAAACGCGGCCTTCTTGGCATCAAACCCCAGTCAGGCGCTGCAACAACCCAACGAGTTCCTTCACGTCAGTCAACTGGACCGATTTATCACGACAAGGAACTCAATCAGATACTGCCCCCAAAGAGGGACTTACCATTTCTAAAGCCAAAGTCGAAAATGTCTCGCGCCGACACCTCGAGTCTGAGATCAAGCCAGCAAGTCATCCCCGAATCCTCATATCCGGACCCTATCCCGGAACCAATGGAATCGTCGATGTCCGATTCGCAATCCCAGCAACTCATTCAGACACAGCCCTACCCAGAAGCAATGGAGACAATGGAGCCGTCTCAGATTTCCTCGCACGTCCAGCCTACGCTGCCTTACCCCGGAGCCAACACTCAGACGCAGCAGCCAGTCCCTGAGCCTTTGGCGGCTGGGTCTACCAAGGGGTTTCAGGACGATGGACATGTCAATGCGACAAATGTGCAAGCTTCTGGGTCGGCGGCACGCTCAACAGAAGAGCAGTTGTCGATGTACCTCAAGTCGCCAACTCCAGCGCGTACCGCCTTCCTCAGCACCTGGATGTGCGAGTTGATCCAAGACGACGACTTTGTTACCCTTTGTGAGGATGTTGAGGGGACGTGGCGGCGATTCGCTTTCGGAATGAAGCCGTGATGGCGAGTGAGGGACAAGTGAGTCCTTGTGATGGCGAGCTGTGATACTAATTACATCTGCTATTCAGCGGTCTGCTTATTCGGTTCATAATTGAATCCTGCTCTTGCTTGCATGTCTGCGTATATCCTACTGTGTAAGACTTTAATGACTCAGTATATCATATATAGTGAAGCGAATTACTTTGATCTTCTCATATAATTCTACTTAGAATAGCAGGTAAGTTGACAAGTAATGGCGGGAGCGACCTAGTCATCCCCGGAACCAGAGAAGAAAACGGAGCCGAAGAGCAGCGCGTGCAGATTCGAGGTAATGAGGAAGATACCAACCGTCAAATTTCCGTGGAAGAATATTAAAAAAGAGCACGAAGTAGGGACGCAAGTTATAAAGAGTTGTGCAGAGTACTCGAATGGGAACAGGGGGTTTGCCAAACGACCCAACTCAATAGACGTCCCTGAGAAGGGACATGAGACGAGAGGGGAGAAAAAGGAACAAGCGGTGACAGGAAAGCACCTCAACGAGTCCGGCGGTAGATAAGACCAGAGAATACGTTCAGGTAACCTTCCTTGGTGAGCATCGTGAAATCCACCACAACGCGGCCACTGCTACCACCGACTTGCGCAAGCTGCGGCGCAAGGTTTGGCGATGTCTCGCCCTGATCAGCAGACAGCCCCGGAGGCGGCGTCGACGCGTTCTGGCCAACCGAGCCCTCGGCACCCACGGCCAGGTCGGCCAAGTGCTGGAGTGAACGCTGTTCGTTCGGGCCCATGACCGGCGGCTGGGAACCCGCACCAACCTTGACTGCCCCACCGGCTTCGTGAAGAAGTGACTCCTGAGACTTTGCGCGGCGCCACTCGAGGAAGACGCGAATTTTGGCGTCCCAACCGGGCGTCCCAAAGATATTGCCAAACTCAGCACTCTCCATGGAGCGCTTGGCGCGACGGTCGAGAATCTCTTCCACTTTTTCGAGCGAATTCCAGCATTCATCACTATGCTCGGACAGAACGGTTGCCTCGAGAAGAGTCATTGAGGCGAGAGCCAGGCTGTGGAGATCGAATGGGGTGGAAAGGCGGTTTTGGAGGGTTGCCTTGTGCAGCTCGTTGATGACTTCCTGGGCACAGTAAATAATCTCGTAGGGGCTGTAGATAAAGACGTGACGCTTGATCAGGAGGCGAACAGTCCAGTAGAGCTGGGCTTGGAGGCTTTCGAAAAGCGGACGGATGGTGCTTTCGGGCATCTCATGCACCTTGAAGATATCCTCCATCTCCGCGAGCCGCTCGAGTGAAGCGACCATGTTGGCGCCCACCATGCGACCAAGGCCGGTATTGGTTTGGCAGACGTTGTGCTCCACAGTGGCCAGGGTGACCATCTCGGAGAGGAAAGTAGAATAAGCTAAAGGACCATGTTAGGAATATGTTCGTTTGAATCGGGGAGAATTTTAACCTACAGGCGATTCCAGTAGTAATCTGACCGACAACCCGCTCATCCTCCCGGCCGCCAATCTCCTGTCCGCCGATGACGGTCGCATCGGCCACACTGATAGCGTACCAGCGTGCCAAAATGATGAACGCGACCCAGTTGCGACGCGTCAGATTGGCATCCGAATCGACATCGGCATCGGATACCCGCTTGGTCTTCAGTTGGCCTTGGCTCTTGGCCAAATCATATCCAAGCTTGCTCGCCGCCTGGACCAAAGTGTGCTTCGGGAGACCATCCTTCACGACAAAGTTGTCCGGGCCACGCGTGTCACAGTCTATGATCATCATGATCAAAGTCTGGAACCAAATCAAGTTTGCCGCCGTCGAGTGAACGATCAAAGGCTGGCGGGTATGATACAAAAGCAGGTCCTGGGCGTTGTCGAAGGAGGTGACCTTCTCGAAATTGCCGGCAACGCGTGACAGGTCAGTGCGAGTCACAGTGTACAGTGCATAGCAGAAGATTTCCTGGGTCTCTCGGTTACACTGGTGAAGGAGCTCCAAGGTACGCTCCCTGGTGTGCGGGAGGATAGGCAAAAGAGGGTGGACCTTCTGGTAGTACGCATCTAAGGCGCCCTCGTCGAGGTGAACAGGTGCCATATCATCATCGCCTTCGTGCTTGGGCAATTCAGTCATCTCCAGCCCACTGGGCAGGCTGTTGGAGATATCCTGGTCATTTCCAGTTGGGTTCCAGAACAAGTTGCCCGGCTTGGGCGCGCCGCCGCTGGTGACAGTGGGGTTGTATGGGTCGGCAGTTGCTTCCGGAGCATCGAAGGCGTTTTGTGATCCGCGGCCGTTGAACGAGGGCTGAGCGAAGGAAGAGCTCGGCAGTCCCTCGAAGACAGAGTATGTTCGCTTGCGACCGGCAGAGCCAGGGTCTACGGGTGAGGTGAAGTCCTGGTACCCTCGGGCGAGGGATACCTCGTTCATTGACTGGTAAGGAACATCAGACTGCACAATTCCTGGTTGCATCTGACTCTCGAGGGTGTGAAGACGTTCGGCAAGCTCCTTGATATAACTGCACCATTTCGTCAGTTCGAGTGTTGTTTTCGCGAGAGGGGGGGCGGCGCGTGGCTACCTACCCTTTACTAGGACCACGCTTCATCGGCACGCGACTAAATTGACAGACAACCCCCAGTCGACGACAGTTGGAACACGTTTCCAAGCCGGTCTCCGAGCTTGCATCGCATCGTACCTGTTGGTTGAAAGATTCACAATGTTAGCTGCTGGAACCCGCGCGCGTCTGGATGGTGGCGAGATTCGCGACGTACCTTCTTGCGCCTACACTCATCACAGGCTCTGGAAATCTTCGATCGCTTACGCGCACTCTGTTCCCCATAACTCAAATCGTGGTTCGGATCCACGCCCACTTGCTGGCTTGGGGGGAACTGCAGCATGTGTTGGTGCTGGTGTTGATCCTCGTTGGAAGAACGGCCCATGTCGCCAGCATTAGCTGAGCCTAGCACCATTCCTTGACCATGATGAACACCATTATTCGATCCGTCACCCAGGCCAGGGCCGGAGGCCTCACGCGACAGCTCTGCGGAGAGCAGCTCGTCGGTGGTCATCTGGCGGTTGCTATAATACGGCATAGCACCCTGAGCCATCTGCGCCCCGTTGGGAGAAGGATAGGAGGGCGCCGGAGGCATATCAGACTGTTCGCGGGAGTTCATCGCACGAGATTAAGTCTCGAAAGACACGAAAAATGATGGCTTTGGGGAAAAGCGGGCTTCCGGGAGATGGTGGAGAGGTAGGAAGGACGCGCAGGAGCAGCGGAGGCAAGGTTTTTTTCTACAGGCTAATTTTCGCGGTCAGGGAATTTGGCAGGGGCTAGCGCGGCCGCATTGAGCAACACCATTGTGTTGCGACAGTGTGAATTTCATTCTGCGGCCCTCAATCCAATTGTTTTTACTTGTTTGATATAGATCATTGCTTCTCGGGATGATCACGGAGGACGGCCTTTTGTTTCTGCGTGTCCCAACGGATTAATACTATTTCCCCATCCCCTTCTCCGACCGGATGGCGAGTTTGTCCGATTGTGAGCCTCCACTATGGACCTGGCACGGATGAAGGGGCTCGAATTTTTCGCTTGTCTCTATCGTTCAGACGTTGATATCGCGATATATAGTTGATGGTAACCAGAAAATCCAGTCTTCTTCTATCCTGGCGTGTCCCCAGACATGACTATCCCCAGTAGGGAGAAGCCTCATTGGGAGCGAAGCATGAATGGCGACTGAGTATAGATCTCCAGTCCATACAATTCTTCTATGCGTACATGATTTGGACATCATACTTGTTATGATCCTGATCGAATGCTGTTGCCAATTTTGGTTTTGGTGATATCTTACTTCCAGTTTCAAAGTGACACAGTCATTGCGTAGTCGAGTCTCCTTTGAAAGAATGCTCAATCGTCTACTTAATCGGCGACCCGTCCTTCCAAACTCAGTCTCTAAAGACTGCAGAGACCAGAGGCTTCAAGAAAATCTGTCTGATCAATGAAAAGTTCTTGTACCGTCAAAATGGTAGGTGGCCGATTCATCCAGGCAGAGAAGCTCTCAACTTCATCATGATCTACCCTGCGAATCCCTATCCCAATGATACTAAGACGGCGACGATGTTCGCCGTTCTGTCTACCCCAGACGACTATGATCACCATCCCCTCACTTTCTCAATAACAGTAAGGCAGATTGACTGCAGTATCCCAGCACGGTGTGGCAACTAGATCCTGGATGCTCCTCGAGTCCGGTACATCATGGAGACACCGAAATGAGGGGACGCAACGTTTATAATTAACAAAGGATGGCATTAACGACACGACAGAAAAGTTCATGGCACGACAAGGCTAGTCCTAATGAGGAGCGCCACCCCTTTAATACAGAATGCTACATTCGAGATTTACAAAATACCAGTAGAGTCCTTACGTATGTATAAGCCAATATCTTAGAAAAGACCTTAGAAAAGAGTGATAGTAGGAGGGGGAGTAGAATAATAACTTAGTCTATTATAGGGATGAATAGATAGAGGTTAGACATACAGTCGCTAAAGATATTAACGAGAAGTATCAATATAGGACTTGGATGTTTCGCAAGTAATGGGAGGTATTGTCGATCGATATAGAATGAGCTTCTCTTGCGGCGGTTCACTAATCCGTCTCACGATCGTAGGCGGGTACAAGGATAGCCTTCACATGCATTGCTGACAGTCCAGTGAGGTTTCCTGATCGCGCAGGATGCAAAGAACTTGTATTTCTTGATAGCAATAAACCCATCTCCTCGTAGATGACAATTCTAGCCTTCGCCGAGAGCATTTCCAATTCCTATATCTCTTCCTAGCTACACACAAATACGTCGATCGCCGTTGAACTCGCTGAATGCTCCTTCTAAATTGAACCGCCAACCAAATTGACTCCCTGGATCGCCCGATGGTTCTAACTCTCTTTGTCAGGTTGATCCCCGATCGTAATTTATGACCCGTACCCAGTCCCCAACTTCGCCCACGCACTGGTGAGTCGCCCAGCGGCTCCTTAATTTAGATTTCACCCAGACGGACCGTACGGCTGCCGTGTTTCTTCCTCGTGCGTGTATTCGTCTCGTAACCGGAACCGACACCCACACGGGTAATGATTGGCCAGTGAAAGACATTGTTGCATGCGCAGATCAGGGCCCACCACTCTGGCCGGCGCTAGACCCCTCTGCAGCCCGCCCGAAGCAGGAACGGTGACGCCATCCGGCGACGTCGAACGGCGCTATGACATGCAGTACCGTACGCGACTGTAAGTTATCTTCCCGCTGGCCCTGTGATGTGGGCAGATTGCAGGTGTACCTCGTTTCTGGCATCAACTGCGCAGGAGAGAAACCCGTTCAGTGGCAGATCCTGACTGGCCACGTACGAGTTCTCACAGCACCAAGCAGAGCATCCGTTGCTTTGCACCAATAATTTGTCCATCGAAAGTGCGGGCTACAGGGATTATGGAAACTTCGTTGATCGGCTTGGACTGGTACCTGGACAGATCCTTGAAGTCTAGCAATAGGGCCGAGTCGATCTACGGAATTTACTTCCCCTTGCAACGGTCTCCACCAGGGGACCCGTACACCCCAATTTAGAGGACTCACACTCTGAAGCACAGAGACAGAATTGAGGCAGTTGACACAGACTCCGGCAATGGCTCAGCGCGTCTCGAGTGGCCGGGTGTTAAGGCTTGAGATGTGCGGCCCCAGATTTTGCTAGCGAGATCCATTTTGCTGGTGGGGTTGTTCGCGCACAGGGAAAAAGGCCGTGCTCGGATACTCCGCCGGAGCGAGAGGACCAAGGAGAGCTGCCCCAACATTCAATGTACCGTATGGATGGAATCTTGAAAGTTTGGTCTGCGCTATGTACAGTATTTCCTCGACGTGTTTGACTTTTCTTTTGCACCGTCGGTCTGCCTAGGATAATAACATGCGTGTTTTTCCTTGTTGCTATAGTCCGCATTGCCCTCGTGGGAAGCTGGTAGCAGGACGGTATTCGTGTCGCTACGCAAGGTGGTTCCCGTCGCTATGCGGTTGGATTTGGCTGGACCAAAGGATGCATTGATGCACGGTTGGCCTGACGGATTGATGGGCATGCCGCGCATACCATATCGATCACGGTCCCTGAAGCCATGATTCCTCGGGGATCAAATAATGGACTTGGAATTGAATTAACTTATCTTCAAACGGTTGCTAGATCAACCAACTGTGAGGCACTCGCTCTATTGACTGTGGGAATGAATACCAAAAACAATCAAACCCTAACCAGAGCCGTACAAAGAGTCCCCGTTGTGGAGCCATGCCACGTCCTAGGACTCGAGGTGGAGACGATACTCCGTAGACTCGTTGGCAGTGGCACGGAGAAAGGGGCTTCACGGATCAGTAGGAGTCACAAACCTCGCCTGCCACGGTGAAAAATCGAGGGAGTTTCCACTGCAGGATGCTGGATGAGCAGGAATTGGAACTTGTAGGAGGCATGGCAGCTGCAAGATGATGAAAGAATTGAGGGAATGGCAAGTCTGGCGAAGGGAAGGAGATACTGTATCTGTGAGGGTACCCCCCAGAAAGGACTTACATAATATATTACGAGTTACCGTCAATACGGTCACGGTCCCGTCACGGCGTGCCTTGTGCCTCGCTCCGGCGGACTGCGGCCACCACTTGCGCAGTGAAAAATCCCACTTGGTACCGTCTTTAAACCCTTCGCCTCCCTCTCTCCTCTTTTTCTTCCCTGCATAGGGTGTTCTTCAAGCTCCTTCTATCGATCGCTTTCTATCTTGGCCGCCACTACCGGTACTTGGTGTCCTGTCTCACGGCCGGCGCCAAACGGTGCGTAGGCTTGGTCCCCCTCGAGTTCGCTATTCTCTTCCAATCCTCCTCCTCCTTGGGACCCTCTTCCGACCTTCTCATCCTCGATACGCGGATTGAACGACTCTCCGGTTTCGCCCTTCCCTCTTCCACCCCAGAGGCCAGTGCGATATCTCTCTCAACCTCCCGCCCCAATATCAACCAAAATCATTACTACTACTTGTGTACTGGAACGGCGTTCTGTGAACTTCCGCGCATTGGGATACCCTTTCGCCCAAAGATACCCTTTTGTCCATTCTCGTTCAATTCGGCCCCTCTTGACGAAGCGGCTGAACTATACCCCCAAATCCCGCCTTGACGGCTCTCCGATCCTCATTGCGATCGGTATCTTCAACTTCAATCTACCATTCAAATCCCCATTTTTAAATCCCCATTTCGCGATTCATCGCATGTGTACCTTTCAATAACCACAGCGATGCTTATCGATGGTGAGAAGTGGGCCTGTGAAGCTTGCGTCCGGGGTCACCGGGTCAGCAGCTGTCACCACAGCGGTATGTTGATCCTACTCTTCCCTTTCGCTCCGTCTTTCTCCTTGTCCCTTTTCTCTGTCTTGCGGGAGACTTAAAGACTAATCTGACCTTCTCCTTTTTCCTCCCCGATAGACCGCCCTTTGACCCACATCAACAAAAAAGGCCGCCCAGTCTCTCAATGTACCCACTGTCGCGGCCTACGCAAGTCTCGGACTACCCACGTCAAGTGCGAGTGCGGCGACAAGAAAAAGAAAACTGACTCGTCCGACTCTCATGGTGACAAGCGAGATCTCAAGCGTGAGCATATGATGATGTTATGGCGATGCCGTCTTCGGTTCCCCCCATTCTGATCTGCATTTACAGAGGACTCCCTTCACCGCTGTGGCTGTTGCCATGGCCAGCGCTGCATCTGCGCGCTGAAAAAGGAATCGCATCTAGATACCGTGCCAGAGGCAGGCTTGCCCCCGTCTCAGCCCCCGGTTCCTGCTGAACTTCCTCGGAAACCTCATCTCACGTCGACCAAGTCCGAGTCGACGCTGACGATCTTCCGTGACGGTCACCATAAACCCGCCCACAAGCATAATGACATGGCCCACAAGTGTGGATTGCCCTACACAATTCCACGATCACATACCATCCACTACCCCTCCGACTTGCCTCGTCGGTCTGTGGACCACCTCCCATTGACCCAGTCGGCGTTCGTCCAAGAACCTCTCAGCCTCTCGATGGATCCCCTGCCTCAGTCACAACAAACGTCTCAGCATGGTTCGCCCAACAGCGTTCCTTCTGCCGGCACGGACGATGTCGCGACTACGACCTCTCTCGAACAAGTCTTTTTGGACAGCTTTGCTACCCCTGCTCTCCCGTCGACTGCGACAGTGGACGCGTCCATAGATGGTACCTCCAACAACCCGACTTCTGCTCCTGCCACCATGGACAAGTTTCCCTTAGAGCAAATCATCACCAGTGCCCCTCCGCCTCTCGACGTCTCGACCTTTTCTACCTTTGCGACTACGTCCAACAACTCGCCGATCACATGCATGGCCTTCCAAGATCCCTACCATGATCCGTACTTTACCTCTCCCGACTCGGATGTGCCTCTTGGTCCGGCCGGTACGGGCGCACCATCTGTCGACTGGTCTAGTTTCCCGCTGTATTCGGATGTCCCCGCTTCTACCAGCACGCAAACGCCGTCCTATGCCAGCTTCGACTACCCGTATCCCTCGGGCCTACCTCCTCCCTCTTCGTCGGGTGACATTTCCGAAGTTGACGAATTCGGACCGCTGCCGGGTCTGGGACATGCGGGTAACGACATGCACGATCTGCACAGCGTGAGCGAAGCCTCGGACATGGACCACCTCCGCGTCAGCTCTGCATCCTCACTGGTCGGGCTGCCCCAAGCACAGCTCCTGTCTTCCAATGACTTGGGATCGATCAACATCGATGATTTCCTCAAGTCCGCCAATGAGTCCACTGCTGCGCTCGAGCATCAACTGCAGGCCAGCATGGGCATCGATCCAAAGCCCACCCCCGCGCCGGAACTATACTCCATGTCGCAGGCTCCGGACTCGGTTCCCATCTGGCCGGCGGGTCTCTTCGATACGACAGGTCCTACGTCGCCTCTGGAGGAGGAATTCTTCCGTCAGACGTGGGCGCAATAGCACAGGCTTGGTACACTCGTTTGGCAAATCCTCTTGTTCTAATTTCTTCTCTTCCTCCCTGGGGTTCTTCCGTGGAATTCTATTGGGACAGCCTCATCTGTCTCATGGGTTCTACGGTCAGTTCTTACCACCACCTCCACACCGTCTTCATGACCTTGATGAGAGATGATGATAAACGCCTGTCTTTTTTTTTTAAATAGTGTCACTTGTTTTACTAGCCAGTCTAGATCTTCTCATGATAGCCTTTCAATCTAGAGGGAATCTGCGATTTGGAGATATTTGTCTTTGGTACATATGTACATGGCTTGTCCACCTGCTGGATATGCAGTTGAATTTCGAATGTATAGCACCGGGTATATCAGGCCAAGATCACAGTATCTTATGATTGATTCCATTGTCGCAATTTCACCCAGCTTATCCCCATCAACACGAGGGAGAATACTTGCATACAAGCCCTCGAATAATGTATACCTCCCTTCATACCCTGGTGGTATGTACATCGACCCCCCCAGCCAGCCACCATCACAAAACACTCACCGGAAACACCCCATCTGCACACCGCGTACTTTCCTTTCCATACAGTATAGAATATGTACCTAACCAACCACTCATAACCCGGCGCCAACACTACTGATCCTGTACATGGAACTTATACAACCGATCTTGTACCCCATCTCCAAGATACACGCACGTCCCGGCAAAAGCACCCGAGCTAGAAAAGAGCCCCCGGCTGACCTTGCACATCAAGCTCGTCATGTGGTTTCACGACGGATGTAGCGGTGAGGAAAGCAAACACGCCGAACGGGATCGGATCAACACCGGAAACCAGCTTAGATTGACACTACTCTCGATGGATATGCGGTCTCGGATCTGCGTAGCCGGTCAAGCAGGCCCGGTTCTTAGGTGAATCGTGTGGTGAAGAAAGTTTAGGCCCGATCTCGGGGGTTGTCTAGTGGGTGCTGTACGGTCCCCCCTATAGAGTGCCTGGTAAATCGAGGTTCGGTAAACTCGATGAGATGGTCTTTACGATAATGTGACCGGGCCATTGATGGATATCATTGATTCGTGGATTTAATTAAAATAGATATTCTATTTTATAGAGTAATAACTCGTACTCCTTGAATTGCCTTAGGTAGATGCTGTATTCTCAATCTACGATTCCACGAGAAGGGGATACATATCCTCACGTGCCCTTCCCAGCATAAGTAGCGGTGAGTGTCATCCGCACAATCTTGTTAAAGGATGACTGAGTTGGAAGTGACATTACTACAGACAACTTTATGAGCATGACTAAGTAGGTTCGTCAAGAGCACTTGACAAAGAATCAGCTTCGCTTAGCCATGAGCCATCCATGGATTGTCTACTCCGTGGTCACGACCTAATCAACGATCAATACTCCCGACTGCGTATTCAATCCACTAGACACAAGACCGCAAAGCCCTACACAAATTACATAAACCCTCCAGCAGTCGTACGCTAGGTCGTTTGTCTACTCAGTTAACTAATGCCGGTAGCTAACTAGTAACTACTGTACCGTTGATCCATCATACATACCGGCAGCACATACCGGCGGCGGGGGGTAACTGACAGTAAACCTGCCATAATGTACGCTGTACTGCCCCTACCTTACCCTGCATCGCACTGGCATCCCACGAGTCAAGCATTGTCCGCATAGTCTTGGCTAATGCTTAGCCCATGCACGGTCCGCAGGTGTACAGGGATTGCCCCTGTTCTCGGGGTTGGAAACATGCAATCGAGGATCTGCACGGACTGAATTTGGGGCTGTTGCTAGTTGCTAGATTGGAGGTCTGGATAGCTTGTAACATAAAGGCAAAGACCTTTATCCTCTGTATACAGACCTTGATTCGTAGAGACACGACATCCATATATTCAAAAACCTTTCTACTCCCCTTATAACTGCATCCTCGAGTAATGCATCTCTATCAACGTGACATGTACGTGAGACCTATGATTTCATTCTCAACGAAATGTCTCAAGCCCCGCACTCGAGTCAGTCGAGATCCATAAGGAGCGAAGCAAGGGATGGGAGAAAATGCCATATCCAACCTGACCAAGGGTGAGACTCGTGTTTCTATCGTTTGCATTGCAGCCGAGACACGTTATACATCTGTGTAACGTGCAGTTACTCGGATCAATCGGCAGTTTGATTTACATACCAGGTACCGTAGGGTAGATACCAGGTACCAGGTATTTCGGATGAATATGGGAGGATTAGCGAGGTGAATGACGATGAAGATGGTGGATTGCTGCTTGAAACAAGAAATCTTTGTAAAACGCTTAGTTATCTTATGCAGATATTAATCAGACAAGCTAATGATTACGTACATAGAAGGAAAGTGAGCCTGGTAAGCAAAATCTGTCTTCGTTCTGCCCTCTTACATGTACTACCAGACTTTCAGCATTATTTTCGGATTCAATCCCGCTTTTCTCTCCTTCAAGACCCTCCTGGATGACCACAGGTTCCAATTGCACATCATATTGACATGTACGCGAATAAGGAAAGATGTCGCGAGACAAAACTGTTCGTCTGGTTCCACTGGATCGCAGCATTCCCAGGGTGTGGCACCTAGCAGATACGTGTAGATACAAGTAATCCTGAACACAAAGCCCTAGCACTAGAGGAGAAAGTACATAAAAATAATTCGATGCATATATTCTATAGGTATGGTATCAAAAAAGTCCAGACAACCACAGCGACCCGGCAAGTCTCGAATGGAAAGCCCACAAACGAACCCACCATCGACTCATCTCATATAACGACATGATACAAAGGCCTCAACCCGGAAGCCCCAAGTTCAAAGCTCAAGCGCAATGCTCGTCACGAAGAAAAAGAAAAGAAATTCACGCAGTCGTCTAGCATAACTCGTCATTTTGTTCTTTTCTTGCTTTGTACACGTTCAAATTCACCGGTACTGATTGAGGAACTCGGAGTGGAACTTGACGATGCGCTCGACCCAGTCGGTACCGGGGGCGAGGAAGGTTGTACGGAAGTGGAAGGTGCCCTCTTTCTGGCCGAATCCAGAGCCAGGGACGGCGCAGACACCGGTGGCGTCGAGCATCTTCAGACAGTAGAACTCGTCGGCAGCGCGGCCTTCGGCCTGAGCGGCTTCAATGGCCTTGGTGGGGATGTTGATGGTGGGGAAGAGATACATAGCGCCCTAGTCATTACTCGTTAGTTGATAATTCAAGTTTTGAGCATGAAGCATTTATGACATACCTGAGGCTTCTGGCACTCAACGCCCTCCATGCGCTGGAAAGCATCGTACAGTGCGAGAGCACGCTTGTGCAGACCATCCCGAATACCATTGTACTCCTTCTCATACAGCTCAAAGCTAGGGTCACCGGCACGGGGAGGGTTAACCATCGTCTCGAGCAGGCACTGTGCGACGACCGGCGGGCACAACCCAATGCTAACGAGCTTGTAAATCTGCTCCTGAACCTGCGGGTCGAAACCGACCAGCTCGAAAAATCCACCACGGTGACCACACTCGCCGACCATACCCTTGGAGGTACTGTGGAAGGAGACCAGCTCCACCGCGTCGTACTTGCCGGGCTGTTCCTTCTGGAGCTGACGCAGGCGCTTCTTGAAGGAGACGAACTCGCCTTCGAAGACGTTGGTCTGGTAAACCTCGTCGGCCATGACGACCAACTTCTCCTCGGCAGCGACATCGATGACCTTCTTAATGTCATCGGCGGTCAGGGAGGCACCGGTCGGGTTACCGGGGTTAATCACGACGACAGCACGGACGTTGGTGCCAGCGGCCTTGGCCTCTTTGATCGACTGGGTGATGGCATCGACGTTGGTACCCCACGCCTTCTGCTCCTCTAACAGGTAGGGCACGCACCGCGCATTCAGAAGGGCCAGGGTAGCGGTATACAATGGGTATTGCGGGATAGGGACGAGGACACCGGCATTGGAGTCGTTGCATATGATATTGAGCAAGGTGCTGACACCCGACGAGGCACCCCCAGTCAAGAACAGGTCCTGGGGGTTGGCGGGGAAGCCGTCACGCTCCTCGATGAACTTGGCAACGCTCTGGCGGATGCCGGGGGCACCTTGGCTGTGACTGTAAGCACCGACGCTCTGCACGTTGGCCAACAGGGTCTGGGCACGGTCGATCACATCCTGCTTGTATCCGAACGAGTTCTTGAGAGCCTCGGTGTTCTCGAGAAGCAGGGGGTTCTCGACGAGACTGAGCACTTGACGGAAGAATGTAATAGGCTTCTGGTCGAGTTGTTGGGGGTTGCCAATGTTGGCAAAGATGACGCTATCGAAGGGCAGTGACTTGTCACCATCGGCCAGACGCTGACGGTACTCCTCAGCCTTGACGGCCAGTTCACCACGCACGGCGTACTTGGCTGCTTTGATGTGGGGGTTGATGTTGTCGATGTTGAGGCACCTGGGCTGGGTCGTGGTCAAGGTGCGCTTGGCATAAGCGACGGTGGTTTGAGTCATGGCGGACACTGATGGGAACCAGCGGGATCAGAGTTAGTTGTATAATATAATGATATGAGAGTAGGTTGATGCAGAGTGTGTGAGGTATAAGAGTAATAGTCGAGATTGAGGTCAAGGCAGGGCAAGTCAAGGGCGGGTTTATGACGGCGAGGAAGGTACGAGCCCGGTGAAGCAATCCACGGAAAGAAGCAATGTGATGTAGTGATACGATAGCAGCGGAAACCGCGCTTCAAGAGGGATTGGAGGGGGGGGACAAGACAAGGCCCCATCTATATATCAAGCGCAAATCATCCCACGTACCTGATCCAGCGGAGAAGCCCCCCGCAGCGCCTCGCGCGGTCGGGCGAAGTAGGAGGCGGGCATCCGGCCGGGTTACGAACGCCTTCGGAGAGGCCCGCACGCTGGAGGCAAGCTTGTATTGCCAGGACATCGTAGAGTCAGACGATCAGACCTCAAATTGATCGAATCAAGGTCCTTGTATGGCTCGTGGAATCTTTTCCAGAGATCGGAGTTGGGTGTTTTGCTCTTGGAGAAGGAAAGAAAAAGTCCGTTCAGGGCCCATTGGGCGGTGTAAGGTTGTGAGTCAGCATGGGCTGTTTTGCTTTTCCCCACAGTTTTTGGGAATGTGGAGACGTCTGTCGGGCGAGAAGCCGATTATCTACGGTACCGAGGGTTCTGCTAGGATTGATGATAGGGTCGACTACTAAATTATGAAGATGATAAGGGAGGGGCTTGAATATTGACTAGACAGTATGTGAGATTGTACCACGAACAAGCCTAATTCCTTATGGATACTCCGTCAGGGGCGATCCTTCTCCTCGGGAAGCCTACCGTTGCCCGATGAAATAGGGTCTGGTCTCGCCCCATCGGGCCCTCCGGAGCCGCCCGATATGCGGGGGAGCTGATTGAGATGGAAGCCTACGTTTGACATCATGGGTATGGCAGCCGTAACTAGCATCAGGAGGTATATAATCTTCACCGAAGACAGCATCCCAGCAATTCAAACTATGACATAGCATATGGTGGTCATATCACCATTCTAGAAGGCTATGCTATGCTACGGTCTGCACACAACACACGGGTGGATCACGTTGGATCATGTTAGATAATATTTCTGCGTTCAGACATGGACGGATGGTGGTATCACCGAGTCATCTCTAACTAAAACAAGGACACTGCGCCAATTAAAATATCTCAAAGGCACCCGATCTAACTGCGCTCACTGCCCCGCAGGCGGACCGCTTGTCCGTACTTCTGCAACTTCGTGATCAGGGCATCGCCGTGCTTAACCACGTCCGAGTACTGCTTGTTCTTATCGTCGGGCCGATTGGTCTCGATAATTCCATTGACCCGGTCGATCGTGCAGGCAATACGGTTGCTGGAGATGAATTTCGCCAAGTCCCTGGAAAATCGCGCAAAGTTAGGTAATGAGACACGAAATGGCAGCCCGAGGATAACCGCCGCCGAGGGGGAGGGAAAATGTAAACATACCGATCCAAGTAATCCACCGTCACTCCAAAGTCATTCGCCATACTGGTCAGACCCACTACCCGATAACTCTGAAGCAGCTGCTGGTAGGCGCGTAGGCGCATCTCCCGCACGAACCAGGCCCGGTGCTCATGCAGGTACCGGTCCTGGGTCAGGAAGTGGTCCTCCACGGCTGCGAGGGCCACAAAGAACGAGCGGTAGTTACCATTATACAGACTGTTGACCAAGTTGGCCAGAGAAGAGAAGTCCACGGGGGGTTCATTCTCTGCCTGCTCACTTGAGCCGGTAACGAGAGTGGTCAGGTTAACGACGGTGGTGGCTCCCGCCGACGGAGTCGACTTGGTCACCGCCGCATCCTTCATCTCCTCATCGCGGACACCAGTCCCAGCTGAGACCTCACCAGAAAGTGCGGCCAGCTGATCCTCTCCGGCACCCAGGATGGCCTTGATCTCGGGTGCATCCACTACCTTCGCCTTGAAGTCCACCCGCTTGAGGGATAGAGATCCCGCTAGCACGGAGTAGATGACCAACGAGGAGTAGCTACAAAGCTCATAGCTGGTAAATGTGGACAGGCTATCGAGGAGGAGCGGAGCGGCGAGGCTGTATGAACGGCAGGTGAGAAGGTGCATGCCCTTGTAGGCCTTGAGGCGATTCCTCCGATCCCAATCTCCACCGCTCTCCACCAGAGCCTCTGCACGCTCGATAATCTTCTTGACGAACACGCGGTCACCAAAGAACAGACCAATGCGGATCATGGCGAGCACAAGGTCAATCTTGGTGCCGAGGAAACCGATCTTTTCGAGGAGGGCTTCGTGTGACTCGATAGCTTTGTCCTATAAACAATCATCCGTTAGACACATTGTCCAGACTCTTGTTCTTTCCCAGTTTCAGCTTCCTACCTTATCACCAACGCGAGCCCAAAACTCGGCCCGTTTCCCCCGTGCGGCCTGAACTTCGGTCTCACCCGCGGCTTCCTCTGCCTCCTCTTCCTCCTTCTGGATACTCTCTAGTTCCTTCTTGTTATCCTCAACTAAGGACTGATAGAGCTGCTCATCCCAGGGGAAATCAATCTTGGATGACGTTCTTGTGGTGAGCATGTTGGAGGTGATGAGTGGCTTCGAAGTCCCTGCATTGTGAGGGTGCGGGTGTTGCGTCACGCCCTCGCCGGAGTTGTTCAGAATGCCTTCAACGGGATGGGCCAGGTGGCGGTAGAAGGGGGCCATTTTACGCTCGGTGACCGCATCTTGCAGCTTCTTCAATGAGGCCTGACGGGTGGATGGATTGCATGCAGGGTTGGAGAGGTTGAAGACATGTTGGGCGAGGACAAGGTCAGGGTACTTGATGTACTGCGGATCAGACCCCATGATTGCGGATGGGGACTGATGAATGTGACGATGGCGCGAAAGAAGGGGTGGAAGGGAGAGAGACGGGGAGGTGTTTGGATGGGTTTGTTGGACGGCCAGTGATGCATCACGTAGCTGGTTCCTAAGCTCAGCTGGCGGAACGTTTCGCCGGCGCCGTGCCTTGGCGGCCACTTGGTGCCTGATTAATTAGGCTATCAACATCATTAAACCGTAGAATGTTCTTCGTCGCATTGATTTCTTGACGTTGTAGATACTTACTAGATGGCCACGTCACTTAGCTTCTCGATTATAAGCTTCTTGGTAGTGACCGATTGCGTTGCGCTTGTCCTGCAAGGCTGGTAATTGCCCTCATTGACCGACTATCGAGCTGCCCGACTGCTTTTTTGACTCCGACTTATAAGAAGTCGCGTGCCTAGGATATAGCCTGCCATCTGTGTAGGCTTTTTTGGAGGTCTCACGGCATTTACAAGGAAATGGTTTCACCGAGAAAGGCCACTCGAGTTGGGTTGGCTACAGTACCAAAATCGATAAATCTTTCATCCTCAGAAACAGGACGGCCGACCACGAATCCAATTTCTGGAGGGTTATGCATCTTCTGGAATAATGGAGTATTCCTCGCTGACTAGCGCTTCAACTCGACACTATTCAGGCGCGCGAGACGTCCCACGTGCATTCCGTACGTTACTTAGTAGCCGGTTCATCTCCATAGGGCTGGTTTACTGTTTTAGGCAGACGCCGAACCGTGCAGTTATGGAGTACAACCTAAACGTACCCAGTAGTACCACTAACTGTAGGGTCTATGCACAGTCGACTTTTCCTGGCAAGCAATTATTGAAGGCTCGTTTAGTGAACCTCATGAAGCATTCTTGGCCATGTTCTCTTGGCTTTTCGGTGCCATTTTCTCGGGATCAAAGTCGAATCCGAACCAGGAACAAAAGATGGTGGATGACTTTCTCCGGGTCTTGTTTACTGGTACTTCCACTGAGACAGGGCTGCCTCCCTTTTAACTTCCACCACCCGCCCTCCCTCGGCGCCCAAAACGCCACGCTCCACTTCTCTCCCGAAAGGTTCAAAACTCCCCCAGCGCAGGCCGATCGAAGTAGCTTGCACGTGCAACACTTCGTTGGATACCAGCGCAAAGAAACCAACGCTTACCCACGTAGTTGGCTTGAATTTGACTACACACGGGCTTCTCATTCTTTCGATCGCGTTGCCTGGATCGGCTTGGCGTGCATTTTCGCGCACTGTGCCGATATCAGATCATCGGCCTGCCGAGCGCAAATGCAGGCCCCCGGTGTCGTTCAGCTCTCCAGAAGGTTCCAGGGCCATCTGGGATAACGGAAACTCCGTTAAGCCCGTGACAGCCCGCGTACGATAGAAAACTGCAATCTGATTGGTGCTGAATCCTAGCCAGATGGAATGCTTAAGCCGATGGAGACTCGGGGCCTGCCCCACACCCTAGCAACTGGTTTCTGCCGTTACTCCAATTGGTGGGCACGAGGCCATTTCCTGGAGTAGGATTGAATATGGAGTAGCGGGCTGGTTGAAGTACACTTTAGTGCACTGAGTACGGCAATCCTGCGTAAGCTCGAGTTAGTTTGCTTCCACTTGCCATTCCGGGTTAGGGAGCGTCTCGTGCCCCGATTGCAGAGCCCAGATTCGCTTTTTTTCCTTCCCTGAGATCGGCATATTCCCAATACTACTTAACTGCTGGCTTTACGCCCTCTTTCTCCTTCCTTGCTTCTCTTTCAACTCTGCAGTTCGCCGTTCGCCATTCGTCGCACCCCCGCACCTTGGTCCTCAGCCCGTCTGTTGACATTCGCTGGTCCGGTACCATCTTCACTCGGCCTTTGTAAACACGCGATTATTTGTCGCGCCCCGAGGTGAGCTATACTCCAAGCTTTCCTTACCCCGCTCGGTGTCTCCCTATGTTAAACATAGTCCTACGCGGGAATTTCTCGTTGACAAACCACTTGCCACAGTCAATTACCATGAGCGCCGATACGCAGCCTCACAAGATCATGGAGGAAAAGGGCACTGTTCCTTTAGATGAGCACCCCCTCGACCTCCCCCAACTGGACCAGCTGCCAAAGGGCCGCTGGGAGCGCGCTTGGCCCACGATCGCCTGCGGTGCTGGTCTATTCTCCGATGGCTATCTGAATGGAGTATGTGTTCTGCACCCGCGTTACACGGCCTGGCGCATACAGTTCTGCCCCCAAATTGCACCCTGTCCTATGTCGACCTTGTGATCTCAAGCATACCGGACTAATCCCTTCTTGCGTTAACAGGTAATTGGTCAAGTCAACACCATTCTCGGAACTCTTTACCCGGACACCTATGCCAGTTCTCCGGCGAGTCAGAATGTTTCGGCCATTGCCTTTGCCGGCACGGTCGTCGGGATGCTGATATTCGGATACACCAGTGATCACTGGTCGCGCAAATGGTCGCTGATGATCTCTACTATCATTCTGTTCGTCTTCGCTGCCCTGTGTGCCGGTTCCTACGGTTTGAATGGTAGCCAGTACGGTCTATTCGCAGCCCTGACCGCATACCGATTCTTCATCGGTGTGGGTATCGGAGGTGAATATCCTGCGGGCTCCGTTGCGGCAGCTGAGAACACCGGTGAACTCAAGGCGGGCCACCGTAATCGTTGGTTCATCATGTTCACCAACTTTCAGATCGACTTTGGTTTCGTCGTCTCAGCTTTGGTGCCGACCATTCTTGTTCTGATATGCACGGAGAATCATCTACGCTTAGTCTGGCGTCTGTCTCTGGGCTTGGGTATCATCCCGCCCTTGAGTCTGCTGTATCTGCGTCTCAAGCTGCAAGAGCCCGAGGAATTTAATCGTGAGCGGATGCACAAGTTCCCAATCTTACTGATCATCAAGTATGCCCCTACCTGCCTCGATGGATTCGGAGTAAATCAAACATCGTGCTAATTACTTCTCTAGGTTCTACTGGTTCCGCCTTGCGGTGGTCTCTCTGATCTGGTTCATCTATGACTTTTCGTCTTACTCCTTCGGTCTTTACTCCTCGACGTGGATTCAGATCATCACCGGCTCAAGTGCTCCCTTGTGGCAGACCTTCGGCTGGACTACCCTGACGTACCTATTCTACCTCCCCGGCTCCGGACTTGGCGCATGGGTGAGTGATTGGCTAGGTCCTCGTAACACCCTCGCTCTCGGAGTTCTTCTTCAAGGGATCGTCGGATTTATCATGTCTGGATGCTACGAGTGGCTTGCCACCCCCGCCAACGTGGGCGGTTTCGTTGTGGTCTATGGGTATGTCACACCTAACCAATAGCCATTGATTATTGCGCAGAGGTTTCTGACTGGCGATAGTATCTTCCTTGCGCTGGGCGAGTTTGGCCCTGGTGATAACCTTGGTCTCTGTGCAGCCAAGAGTAGCGCCACTGCCATCCGTGGTCAGTACTACTCTTATGCTGCCGCCATTGGAAAGATTGGTGCATTCGTGGGCACCTACGTTCTGCCCATTGTCCAGAAGAATGCCCCCAATGCCGTTCGTAAGGGCCAAGATCCGTTCTTCGTCTCCAGTGCGTTGTGCATTTTTAGTGCTTTCCTGGCATACTTCCTGCTCCCGCAGATCAGCCAGGTACGTATCACCTTTGACGGGTTGAGAAATTGGACCGAGTATACTTACATTCTATGTAGGACACCATCACCAGCGAGGATGCGCGTTTCCGCGAATATTTGACTCAGAACGGCTACGACACTTCGACTATGGGAAACCCAGACCAGATCACCACGCATGTGGCCACCGCCCGTGATGATCTGGCATAAGCTATTCCCGGACACGACAATTGCCCATAATGTATGCTGAACACCCGAACGCGCCATCATCAGTTGTTCCCCTCCCCTATGCAATCACCTCCACTTCCTTGATGTCTTTTCCCGGTGCGACTTTCCTGGATCCTACACCCAAAGCGACAACGTGCAGCCCGTTTCCCAGCTGTGCGAGGGTTGACAAGACGTTACGATGGTCCAAAGATCGTGCATTGATGAACCTCCCGTGCGACACGAACAAGACGAAGCTGATGGCGCCATTAACCGTGCTGACTTGTGGGTGATCTGCTTCGGATGTGCAATTCCGATGCCAGTCCCGCGCAAGACTTCTCCCCGCCCCTACTTGCCTGCTTGGCCTGCCTTAATGTCTAATAAGGGGGTGGATGATAGGGATGAAAGCATTCCTTATGATCACGTTTATGCTAAAGCCTTAATGAAATGCTTTTGATGAGAGCCGGACGCTTGTAATTCAAGGCTCCAAATTTTGGGGGTGTTGTAATGAATTCCGAGGAGGGAATACCGACAGGGCGGATCGGGATTGCTCAGGGAACCGATTTAGAAATACATCTAGAACGACCCTTTCACACCGGAGGAAATTGAATTATATCTGCTGTCTATACCAGCACTCAAATACTCTTCTACTGAATTCTTTGCTTCCTACACTCGTGCTATAGCGGGTAGTACTACCATTTTCAGACGGGCAAAAGCTGGGAGGGCGGGCTGTAAACTCGGTATTTTCTCGGACGAGACCTATCGACCTGTAGCATCTTGTCGACGAAAACCGACCGGGACAAGAGACAGGTGAGAGTTTGAGGCAGGATCGAGCACATATAAAGACGAGATACCATCCATGATTGACAAGCCAAATCGCCAAATTTGTTGACTACGAACTAGAAGTCGGAATCAAGCATTTCACATGAAAAAAAACCCCAGCTCCTGTCACCACTCCATACTTTTCTTCTCCAGAACGGAGACCGGGGAACAGCCGTGCTCCACTCGGTCTGTTCAGCCGAGGTTGACCGTCCGCGGCTCCAGACACCAGTCAATTACCGACTCCCATCACCACCGCCGTCACCATCTCATCCTTTCATCTTTCCTTTATATCGCCGAATAGCTGCCTCCCACCACTCGAGCTAAAGTCTCTCCACGCTATCCAACCTCTCTTCGGAATATTGCCGAAGTTTCCACCGAGTAAACACACGAACACCACTCCTCTCGGGAATTGAAGGAATCATGGTCGCCGACGCTCTCGTCTACCACCCTGCGCTGGCGCACTGGCTGCGCTTTGTTGCGACTACCGGTACGTGTATCTCTGATTTCAGTATCTTCAAGCCTTCAATCCGCACCAGAATCCGGGCTTTCTCCTCGATAAAGGATGGATCGGAGGTGGCATGGCACCGACCATCAAAAGCCCAACCCCGACAGGAAACTCCCCAACGCTACTCTCCCACCCGATCCTATCCCCATCTCCATCCCCCGAACCCAATCACAATCAATAGACTAATGCCTCTTTTCAACTCTAGTCGGCCGCGACAAGCTCCTCCGCACGATCCAATACTTCTCCCGCTTCTATGCCTGGTACCTCTACCGCACCAACAAACCCCAATCCGCCATCGACCCCTACAACGCCGTCAAGAAACAATTCGGCACAACCCGCAAGATCCTGCGCATCGGCAAGTTCGCCGAACACCTCAAAGCCGCCTCCGTCGCTCTTGACAACAAGGCCCCCGTCGACCCGGTCCTGCGCTATCTCGCCGTCGGTCGCCAGCTCGGCTATGCCGGATACTTGTCGCTGGATATGGTGACGGTAGTTGATGCGATCGGCTATCGCAAGCTGGCGAGCGTCAAGAGGCTGCAGGAGAGTGCTTATCGGTCTTGGGCGGCGGGTTTGGCGTGCAGTGTCGTTGCGGGTCTTTATACGTTGTTCCGGTTGCAGGAGCAGGAGAAGACTGTTGACCGGAAGGAGGGTGAGGGTGTTGTCGAGGCGAAGAAGATTGAGAAGTACGTGACTTTCCCCGGGATATACACCCGATATTCCGTGTTTTCTCGATGTGTTGAAATGATGCTAACGGACTTATCTACAGGGAGCGCGCTGCTGCTCGGATACAACTCATCTCTGACCTTTGCGATTTGACCGTCCCTGCCTCTGCTCTGGGCTTCGCTCAGCTCGATGACGGCCTGGTCGGTCTCGCCGGTACTGTTAGCTCGCTGATCGGTGTGTGGTCGCAGTGGCGCAAGACCGCATAAATGGCTCAAACCCAGACTTATCTTTGAAGAAGACGGGTTTGTGCGAACCCAGCCTAGTCTAGTCTACACGGAGAACCTCTCGTTCTTTCGTATAGGCCAGGACGAGAAAGAAAATCGCAGCTTAGGGCGAGGAGTCTCGCGATATCCCTTTGATCTGCTTTGGCAACCCTTATGCCATTTTATCTCCTCGATTGCGTTCATGAACAAACCTTCTATCCTATTGTACTTTTTTTTCTTTTGCCGCTTTTTCTCTATGGAGGAAATGTCTATATGCCCGTGATCGCTGGTTTTCGTATATAGCAAATCCGTTTCGTATTACTGGATCGCAATCACTATGCGGGGTTTATTTGAGTTGAAGTAGAAGAGTAAATTCATTCTCCCATCATCATAAAGATGCTGCTTCCCGGGTATCTCATAGCCCTCAAACTACCGTATCCTCTCACCCGTCTGCGTCCAACTATCTAGAGGCATGCCTTCTGCGATAGGCATCTGGCGACCCTTTCCAGCGATCTAGTTGGGGCAAGTCTAATGGCCGTTAGCACGAGAGTACCTTGATAGAATCGGAAATCCACGAACCGCGCCACACGAGCCGCAGCTCTTGCCGCCCGAGATGGGGGCACTGCAATTAGGGCAGGAGGGGTGTCCAGACATGATGGGTTTGTTGAAGGTTGGGAAAGAGTAAGTGGAGGGTTGGACCTGGAGGCGTGAGTTAGGAAGAGGGTTCGTAGAGGCACTGGTATTCGGCCTCGGTTTGTAAAAAGGCATGGAACGTACCTTTGGGATGTTGAGTGCAAGAGATGAATAGAGCAGTGGATGTGATTTTGGACGAGTGATCGAGAAGAAAAAGGTCAGCGAGGGGGAAATCGTGACTTTATTTTACCCCGCCGTCAGCCCCGCTTAGGCTCAAGTGGTCAGCCCTTAGTTCTCCCTTTTTTACTTGGGAACAGTCAGTTGGCGTATAACTGTGGCACATGATCGGAGAAGATACTTACAGCCCGAAAGATCTCGTTGGCCATGGCAATAACTACGTTCCCCAAGTCATCGTCAAGTCCTACTTCGAACGCTACCATCAACCCTTCTCTCCTTCCACATGTTCTCCAACTGCCGCACCGCATCCCCGTACATCTTCTCCCTCGGCCCATTCCCCAAGAAGAAAGAAGGCCTCTTATCAAATCCATGAACCGCATCCTCAATCACCATCCCCCCAACAGACCTCATTCCCCCCGATCCCACAAATCCCCTCAACCTCTCCCGAAACTGATTCCCCTCCACCAGCAACTGATCCCACCCACAGGTATAGATCGCCACATCCGGGGGATACGACGCCAATATCAATCCCATTGGCGCTAAACCGGGCGACAAATACGGATGAGACATATTAATTTCATCCGTACCATCCTTCTTCGGCAAATTCTCCAGCACTAGATACGAATCATCAAAGAATTTGAAAACCTCCGGCGTGATCAATGACTTCTTCGAGGCAATCGGATTCGTCGCATCCCGCTCAAGACGACTCCGCGACCAGTCCGTGCTGGGATAGAACACGATCAACCCGGCCAGTCTGATACCGGGAGATTTCCCCTGACGCTCACGGCGTTTGATCATTTCTTCGCGGAGTCGCAGCGGAATCGTTAGACACAGATTCCCACCCGCCGAGTCCCCGCATAGCACGAAGCGTTCTCGATCAAGTCGATACTGTCCCGCATGTTCCCACAGCCAAATCACCGCGTCGACGCCGTCTTCTATCGGTATGGGGAACGGGTGTTCGGGGGCAAGTCTATACCCGACACTCACGACGACCGCGTCCCGGTGTTTGTGCAGGACGGCCCCGATCCACCGCGCATCGTCGAGTGGATGACCGATGGCGAACCCGCCGCCGTGGAAGTCGATGAGCACGGGCCGTTTCGTGTGTGGTTGTTCTTCGTCCTCGCCTGGTGAGAGCAGGGTCCCCGTTGCGGTGAAGAAGTAGAGTTGGATGGGACCGGGGATTTTGCTGATCGTGCTGGGGATGGTGAGTTCGAAGGCTGGTCGGGTGGGGAGCGGCCAGGAGAGGTGGCGGTCTAGCCAAGAGAGGATTCTAGCGTAGAGGCGGTAACGGCTCGCTTTTTTGGCGAGGTCGGTTCTTGTTGGGACGGGGGTTGGTGTTGCCATGTGTGGTATTGGGATGTAGAGTTTGTGGGGAGTGCGTAGGTTTGGGTGTAATGCTTGTTTATTATGCTGGGTATGTATCTACTGAGAGGAGACGATGTCGGAGAAGTATACCCGGGTAGGGCATGACGTAGAATGTAGTCATCTGGATAATCTGGAAGGATTGTATCGTTGGAAATCGTGGTTTGATCGATTCAATGAAGAGAGACCAGCAATTAGATTACAGAAAACAAAAGAGAATTGGATGCAAAATGCACGTGGATATACGAACATAGGTTGGTGATGAGAAGTTTGGTAGGATTCAAGTTCTTGTCATTAAGTGACGGGTTCTGGACAGGCATCAGAAGAATGCACGGCAGTGGATAGGAATATCCAGCTAGCTGGTCCTGTCACTATTTCCGATGAATCAACGCCAATTGACGGTCTTATAGTCGGCGCAAGATCTAGTATAAATCAACGAAAATGAACGGTCCTTGGTGTACGGGGCTTTCCGTAACGGTTGTTTGAGAAGACATACCTTACTTAGAATTTTTCTCGCCAGAAAATGCTTCTCCTAGTCGTTTGGGACTAAGCAGACCGCTAAACTTCAAGGATAGTGATTTTTCCCTTTGTTGTTGCTGAATTCTCACTTTCCTATGAAGTGTAATATAACTAAGAAAGTACCATTAACGGGGGTTAACGTCAATTCTCACTTCAAAGTCAGCAAACCCTATGCTCTGGGGCCTAGCGGTCATGGCCTGAAACTGATAAGCATGGCACGCATAATCCGAGGACGACCGTAGACATACCGACCCCTAAATAGAGGCGGCCCTCCTCAAGTAGAATAGAGTTTTAGATCACCGGACTTGGACCCTACTAAGCTCTAATTGGGAAAGGACTCGACCTTTTCAAAGAGGGTGTTGGCTCTGACTTGCACCTCGGTTCTTTTGTCGGTTTCCTCTGGGATGTTCATGCTTAACCCCATATCTTACTCGTTCCCCACGCCACAATCTTGAACTACATGTCTTGTCAACAGATCCTACAATTTTCGAGAGTGTTGGTGGAAGGCCTACCATATATTGCATATGGGCTTTCACTCTGGGCCTTCGCAACACTAATAGTCGTTGTTGTCACCACACTAGACTAGCAACCGGCCAAGGTAACCCCAGACGGGCTAACAAGCTCATTATCGTGTTTGGAATAACTCTGCTAGATCTAGTCGAGATAGTTGAATTCGGTCTCATCCTGGCTTTATACCTTATACCAGTCTCATTCAGCCTGAAGCTGTTTCTTCAGGCTGTCGATACCAGCGGTATACTGAATGACTGTTGAGTGAGTGATGGGAAGTCTGGCCGCCATCGCTTGAATCCCTGAAGACATGGTTTTTGCCTTGGCCTCTCAAGTGCTGACCTAAGCTCTATGATCTTACGACCGAGTGTTGAAGGTTCACGGTTGGTCTGGCGTAGGGGGTTCTTCCTTTATGCCCGCAGGAATTTATATTGCTCCCCCACATTAACATTGTTTGCCTTTTATGCTTTGATTTTTATCTCATTGTAATCGAAAATCTCAAGAAGAAAAATCAACCTCCTTTGATTAAGTTTGAAATGCGTTGGCGGTTGGATGGATTGTGGATATATGAAAGGTGAGGATTGAACGGAGGGTGGGCTGCGAGACGAGTATGTACGGGTTCGATTCACAGAGGGAAGAGCCAGTCAACCCGGAAACTGACTCTGCCATGACAAAAAGGCCTATTTGATAAGTCGATTTTGACGAGAATCTCAGTCATTAAGCCCCTGGAGTATATTCTGTTTCCAAAAGAGGTGGCCATTCTAGTGCGCGCGGTAGTGCTCCGTGGACGAATAGTGAAAGAGACCATCGCTATGCCGACATCCCCCATCTCTAGGGATTTTTGTCCAGATATTGCTGACGGATTTGGCAGTTAGATTAGTGGTGCTGGTTCCAGCAGAACCTTGTGTGCTGTTAAAGGAGATGCACTTAGAGAGTATTGTTTCAGGGATAATGGCCTTCTGACCATATATCAATTTGTCAGGCTATTTATTACGCACTCAATCTACTGCCCTATACATTTATTTATCTAAGTAGCTTCATAATCTCAGATATGAATCTTAAAGAGGACTTGTCTAACACATACGACCATAGGGTGTGGAGAACAGGGCTTCCCGTCCGCTCAGCCGTACTTAAGCCACACGCCGGCCAGTTAGTAGTATGGTGGGTGACCACATGCGAATCCTGGCTGTTGTATGTTTTTAGTTTTGATTAATTTAACTCGTTGGGATCGGCCCTTGCCGCTTTGACATGATGCCTGGTCGATGAATCAAAGGACGTGCCGTTGAGATAGTTAGGGGGGCCCTACTTGATGGACCATGTTTCTTCACGGTATCCTCAACATCTAAGGGTTCTGACGGGATTGCGCTCATGAATTTCCGTCCAAGGAATCATAAAATTTTTCGCTCTCATGTGCATCCAATTGCATAGGTTTCGGCCTTCAGTGTGCACTTCGCACAGGCCTGGCCGTGGCGGAGAAATAACTGCAGCGACAGAAGAGTAGGTCTTGGATGTCTGGTTCACCAGCTACAGCATGACGTATATCACATCACCGTACATGATTCTTGATGGTTGTAGGAAAAAAATGACATTGATGAAATATCCGACAATATCGATACATTTCCTCTGCATCTACGAGGAAAAACGAACAGTACACTCCTCCTTATATGCCTTCAACTGTTCCATCTTAATCTATGTAAATGACTCCATCTCTGCACGCGTCTTATCGTCAAGCAACTGAACACCCAGACCGTCGTCATGTAATGCAGCCCAGTAGATGGTGTCTACATCGAAGTTCTTCCTTGCCGCATAGTCGAACCAAAATCGCCCAGTCCTCCATGAGTCGCGCATACGGGAAGAGAGAGACGATTGGCCGGGTTGTTTGACCTTTGATGCCATTTGAATTTCGACTCGCTCTAGAGCTGGCAAAAATTGCTCCATTCTAGGCTCATAGAGAGTCAAAAACTCTTCCATCGCGCAGCGCTCAAGCCACATATCCGGTCCAGAGAGCAACAACCACCAGGGCGGGTCATACGTGAACCCAGCTGGCATAGCATTCGTGAACTCGAAATCGAGGATGGCGGTGATCCGGAGTGCTTCTGGGTCTATGAGCATATTCGAGGGTCGCATGTCGTCGCAGAAAGGTATAAAGGGACCGCAGTCCTCAGGATAGTATTTTGAAACCAGCTGTGCGAACCGATGACGGGCAATGAACCGCTTCTGAGCGATTTCTGGATCGTCGGCAAGGTTGTGCTGGGTCCAAAGGTGGACCAGGTGCTCGTTCGCGACCGACCCCAGATAATCGCTTGCACGGTCAAACGGCGCGGTTGGGAATTGATCATCATGGTAGCCGGCGACAGTGGCTAACTCGTTCATGTTGTACGTTAGGGGTCTTCCGGCAACGTGCCATGCACTTGAAGCATGGTCCTTCGAGATGGCCCCGATCCGAGCAAACGTAGGTTGAAAAAGCTGGAACATACAATAGGCAATTTGATAATAGATTTTGTCTCATATGTTGTTGTCGATTTTTGGGTTCAGAACCAGATCTTCTTGATCAGCTTCTTTCAAGATAGTTGATAAAAGTGTACCGTTGACATAATTCATGATGATGAATGGACCAAGGTGTCGTGGACTCTCAGCAATGAAGCCCCAGCTGTGAACACGGGGGATTGGGATATCAGTGTTTTGGCGGAGATATTCCATGATCTGGACCTCATTCACAACTTTTTCGTCCCTATAAGCTGTAGCCGTGTGACCTGGTTTCGGAAAATGAATAATGGCATCCGGCCGCCCATCGCCGAAGCTGAAGCGGAAGCTAAAGTTGAAGGAACCTTAAGAAAACCAACATATTTTCCGGTTCCCGCTCCTTCCCGACGCCCAGCAACAAAAACTGCGAGTTCAGCTCTTGAGTCAAAAGCTTTACTTAACCAGGCCTTGCATTCGGCATCACCGTTGGTCTCTTCTAGCTCGTCAAAATAGGTCTTGAGCGGGGACGTCTTCTGCTGAGGCATCTGAGCAATTGAGATGCGAAGGTGGTGGGGAAATGATGCAGACTGGGCAGACTAAAGAAATGAAGAAAATCTTGCGCTCCACATCGCATAAGCGACAGATCTTCGACCGTATCAGACAATGTAATGCGGGTGGGATAAGTGGAAAGCAAGCCCATTTGAGAGAATGGCCAAAATCCAGTACCCCACGTTCTCGATTAAAATTTCAACAAGCGCTGCTAATCTACTAAATCTCACTTGGCCAGGGCACAAAGACTGATATGGCTAGCCAGAGTCGAACCAAGCGGAGCTGCAGCTGGGAGTGACTCGACAGCCAACATAGCCGTCGGTCTAGATAATGATGTGAAAGTTCATGCATTAGCGCTTGGCTGATTCGCCATACGAGAAAACCACCAGACGTTCCTCGAACTGACTCAGCCTCCTGCGAGGTAAGTCTTACTGACGTTCGATTGATTCCCCCTACGAACCTATGGGAAACACGGAGGTCAAAGCTTGGCCGTAGTAACGCTTAGTGTGATAATAGCTGTAGCTACAATCATTGATTAGGCTATTTACTATATACTTAATCTAATGATCTATATATTTATTGAGTTGAATACCTTCGATAGCTCAGGACAGGATATGAACCTTAAAGAGGGCCTATCCTCCATCGGAGCCGGTTACCAATAAGTGCCCGGCGCAGCGCTAAAATCATATACGATAGCTACTATATTCGGTCTTCGTTGAGGGCCCTTATAACTATATCTAGCGTCATCTCAATTCTATATAGCCATTGATTCGAACTGTAGTAGCTATGATGCTACTGCATCGTGTGACTGAGACTGCTGTTCTCGGTCCTCCCAAAGACACTCTAGCTTTGTATGGGAAAGTGAGTTCTTCGGAAGGGCGTAAACCGCGCACTTCCACTCAGGCTCAGGGGGGGGTAATCTTAATTTCGTCACATCACATCTTGAATATGATTCAACAGCTGGCATGCGCCGTTACTCCTCCTAGGTCCTACCCGACTTCTCATCTCAACCATGTCTAATCCAGTGCCTGGAGTATTCTTGGCAAGTGCGGATAGTATAGGAGACTGGACCGTCGAGCAAGGCTATAGAGCAATCTGTTAGCTTGGCTTGAGAGTCTGATCCGGTTTTGAGTAATATACCGTGCTAGCCTGTACGCTTCCACCCGGTTTTACCCTAGCATCTACACAATTTTATTGCGTTGTATCTGGCGTTTTGCAAGCCCCTTGGCGCCAAGATGACCTCCCCATCAGGACCGGATACAAAAAGAGCCTCGGACCCACTGAAATACCCTAGTTTAGACAGTCAAATCTTCCTTTCTCCGAAATGCCTCCAGAACCGGAGACAATAATTGTCCAAGCTCCATGGAGGTTTCACCATGAGAGCTGGACCACACCATGGACGTCCCAAACCGGGGACTTCCCACCAGAGGAAACAGAACGCCAACACATGGACAGAAAACGACAGCTCAAACGAGAATTATAACGCAAACGCGACGATACTAGTCGACTATTAGAAGAAGAACTCAAAACCGCTGGCCATGGGGATACACAATATATCGCACTGTCTATACGCCTGAATCTGACATCCACTGGGAGTCCGCCGTGGACGCCATTCGAGTAAATATCTTTGCGACTCTGGATAACGAACTCCAATATGACAAATCCGTGAACCAAGTCGCCATTAGGATACTACACGATGGTTATCGGAGCCTAGTATTCGATGACGAAGCCACGCTCGATGGAGCTACTATTGATCAAGTCGCAAATAAGTTCAGAGATTTCGTGGATAACGACCCAAGCACCTGGGGCACGCGCTTTCGCTGGTGTTTGATGATTGATGAAATCGCACTAAGATCTATCTTACGACACCCCAACCCTGTGGATTTTTATGCACCGCCTTCAAGAGGTGGGATTAAGAAGAATGGTGCTTGGACGACCGTCATCGACCCCGAATGGAATCCGGACACTGCACCACCACGCTCAAAGTATCAGGGATTCATGCGCTGTCACCTTCTTGAACTTGAAGAGCTCGCATTGCTAGGATCAGTGCATCATATGTCTGAGATGATCCACTGGGATCGTTCAACAAGTATTCCCTGGTATGAAGATAAGATTTGATTAGGTGGGAATGGACTTGACAATAGGAAGATGTTTTCGGTATCAGTATTTGGTTCTCATATGTTTTGAATCATTTGTTGCCTGTCTTCCCCTTCCATTCCTTCCATTCAGTCTCCAAGGTGTCCAGTCCATTTGTCAGCCAATCCTTAGCGCTCGCGACAATCGGATCGATATGGGTTGCAAAAGATTCGTCCCAAAAGTCCACTATCTTCGATTGGTGCCCACTTAATTTATTGTAGGCATCTTGTGCTGTTTTGAGTCCCTGCCATATCACTTTATTGGTAGTCTTTGATCCATTCCAGACATCATCTGTTCTTTGATGACCAAATACCTCGATACCTATATTACGCCCAGACTTAGCCATTCATTCCAGATATTTATGCAGAGAATATACTGTCTTATAGTTTTCACAGTAGTAACATTTTGGGCTATGGTATGCGAGTGGTCAGCTCTACAGTCCTGTGAAAGGCTCGATCGACACTAACCTTTCTAGATCGAATATGCTATCAGGAGAGAAACAATTACAGGGCATTGTCTCAGGGAAAGTGGCTATCTGACTATATATCGATTTGTCGGGCTATTTATCACGCACTCAATCTGCTGCTCTATATATCTATTTACTTAAGTACCTTCACAACCTCAAAATATGAATCTCGAAGAGGATTCATCTAACACATACGACCATAGGGTGTGGAGAACAGGGCTTCCCGTCCGCTCAGCCGTACTTAAGCCACACGCCGGCCAGTTAGTAGTATGGTGGGTGACCACATGCGAATCCTGGCTGTTGTATGTTTCTATTATTTTTTTCCCCCTAACCCCCTCTTAGGGTGAGTGTGGGTGATAGAGGTGGGAACGAAAAAGATGAGAAAGGGTGAGAACAGGGCGTGGATTCTCACCCAGTTTACCTTGTATCCCTCTTAAGTCCTAGCTGTAAGTATGAAATGCCAGTCGTGCGCCTGGCCTGCTGTATTGTTTTCCTTGACGCTCAGTGAGTGGATAGAAGAGGCTCTCAAAGAACTTGTAAATGAAACTCGATGAAACAATTAGACGCTAAATATTTCCAAGATCCATTGCCTGGAGCTGGAGGCACCACCAGGGCGCCGTTCCCCTCTGGGTCCGATATATTTGTCTGGGTGGCAGCCTGCGAATCTACGGGAACGGTACACCGTATGACAGAATCCCACATCCCCACTCCGACATTATCGTCCGCGGCGGGACCAGGACAAGGCTGCTGCTGTGATCTTTTAGGGGTTCCAAATGCCACGGCCCCTATAGGCTTGAGATCTTGTACCGGGGCTCTGATGTCGTTCTTCTTCCAGAGGCCCGGCGTTCGCAGCTCCTGGACGCGAATACAGGCACGACCAGGCTGGCATGGTTCGAAAGGGTTTAAATCCCCATCCCAGTGCCATCGAAGCTTGGTGTGTTTCAGTTGAGAAGGTATGGCAAGCCACCGCAAGCACTCAGCACGCGAACACGCGACGGAGATGGCACACGTCCTTAAGTGAGGGGACGGTCACATGGAGCCGAATAATCTATACAAGTTTCTCAGAGTTTCTTGCCATTGTGGAAGTGAACTCAGGCTTTCATATACTCAAGTCATGTCTCTCAACTAAGAGACTGAATCACAGGTGGACGCGAATAATACATATCCCAACCAAAGGAGTCGTCCAGCTGCAAATATCCGGGCATCTGTGAATGACCCCAGCATACTTTCATCCAGCCAACATCCTCCTCTGTACACCCTTCTAGTGGCTCCTCTTCTGGACCAGGTCCCCCGCGTTCCGCTAGCTCTTCCTCATCTAACTCCTCCTCATCTAACTCCTCCGGTTTCCATTCAGCGTTAACCAAACGAACGAATCCTTCATGTATATCATCTTCTGGCGTACTCAGGACCGAATCCAAGGCTTCTTGGTTAACCATAATAAAAAAGCGGTACCTGCCGTTCTTTAAATGCCATAGGTGACTAGAATTAATTCCCTGTTCCTCCTTTATCGCGGTTATAGCCCATTCATTGAATTTCTCACGTAGAGAGATAACCGTCGCACCCTCGAGAGAGCGATCTTCCAGGACCGTCAGAGCAAAGTTACCGAGGAGATCTAGGCCATTATAATACCTAAGGTATTCTTCGATGCGCTTATAGATCCGCACTATAAATTTCTCCCACTCGGAGTCACTCCGATACGTGCATCGATGGATCACGAAACCCCATGCTTTAAATTTGTCTCTGTCGAGAATTCTCTCGAGCTCATCGGCACCGTTCATCTTGCTCTCGATTTCGGGAGTTCGTTTAGAGGGATCATGCGGTGAAGCCATGTTTGTCGTGATATGCACAGGGAGAAACATTTGAGCGGGATGGCGAACGGAACTGCGCAGGCGAGGGAAGCTGATTTTGTTGCTTAAGTGCCGGCTGCGAAAAACACTCCTTGCAATCATAGATGCGAATTGCCTTAGCGTGTAGTCACTGCTGGGTGATAGGGGAGCGGAAAAAGTTAGAGAAAACACGTGGACGAGCTAGGGACGGATAGTCAATCATGGTGCGGCCAATTGGATAACTATCAAACATGTCTGAATTGCTATGAAGCCCCTCTCCGGCACTTAACTATATTGTCCCATTTATATATTTCTATATATAGTTGCCGCTCGCGATGCAATTATGTACCTTCAACAGCAAATAGCTTCCTGGGTTATTACTTATTCCCAATTCCCCCATGAACTACCGATATCTACCACACAGTATCCAACCTATCCAGACCAATAAGTCGCAATCTCACGTAGATCTCCCAGTAAAGCAGGAGGGTTATCAAGACCGGGAAAATGGCCACCAGCTTCGTGGTCTGCCGCACAACTTTCAGTCAGCCATTTCGTTCTCGGAAACTCGTGTAGCCAATAGAGTTTACTCACTACTATATAGGACCAAGTTTCCAGTCTTTGCGACCACCGCGGGGGGCCAAAACCCAACATTATATTTGAAAGCACTGAAGAGTAGAGGGGCGTCGTTGTTCGCTTTGGTGTACACAGTTGTGAAACCATTGGGGTTCTGTTGGTAAATTATAACAGACGAGGCAAAGCTTTCGGAAAGGTAGTAGAGAGAGACACTGCGAAGAATCTCATTGTGAGTGAGCACTGAAGGCGATTTTCCCGCGTTGGGATCGGACCCTACAAATCATTGTCAGTCGATTCAACTATATTGCACTCTGGATCGACCGGGAGGGTTCAATGGACAGATGAATGAGCTTACAGTTGACAAATTTCTCTCCTATCCAAGCAAGCTGGCCGACTGGGTTGTCGTATAGTGCGAGGCCGATTGTGTTGGCCTAGTCATTATTAGGCAGAATGTCAATGACAGGTACATTATAAAATAAAAAATGGCAGTGAGCTTTCAGAGGCCCATTGTACACACCTTGGTAGTCTGTTCGATGAAATAACCCTCGCCTGAATTGTTCCACTCTATTGCAGCGGCCTGCTCGAATTCCTCTAAGGGCGATAGTGTGATGTTCTCAGCAGCGAGCTGATCCGAAGTATAAGGGTGGAAGGGTAGGAAGTCCAGAGAAACTGCGCGGACAGTGCTGTTGAACTGATCGTACATGCTGTACGCAATACCTGCACCCCAGTCGGTTCCAAAGGTGGCGTATGTGTCATAGTGAAGGACCTTCGTCATCAGCGTGTTGAAAACACGGGCTGTATCTGCCGCGGTCCAAATCACCGGCGGTACAGAAGAGAACGCAAAGCCGGGTAGAGAGACCACGACCACATCAAATGAGACCTTCTTTCCGGTCATTGTGGTTGCCTGCTTGGTAAGTTCGTTGATGATGGGAGTGAACTCTAGGAAAGAACCGGGCCAGCCATGGACGAGAAGCAGGGGGATAGCATCTTGAGCCTTCGACTTTTCATGGATGAAGTGGATTGTCAGCCCTTCAATTACGGACGTGTAGTGGTTGAATCTGTTGAAAGTCTTAGTACTATGCTCTTCCCTGAGACAAGCCCCATATGTTGAATGTAGAAAAACATACTTGTTCAAGGCCTTTTGCTCACGGTCCCAGTCAAAGGTGGTTAGCCATTCCGTTCGGAAGCTTCGCAAGAGACTCAAACTGATGCCCGCTGAAGTTCCTGTGTTGATGTATACAGGGTGTACGGGTAGCTCTGTTCTCCTGATCTGGTCGAGCATCCGAGGCACCCTCGATGACAGATCTATCTGGAATGGCTGCAACTGATGTCCATCCTTTGATTGAACGGGATTTCCCTGGCTGACCTCGTGGAGGCAGCTAAGAGCAAGCAATTTCGCCCAAGACACGCGCATATTGAAATTGTATTAATTTCTTCTCCTTGGACAATCAGAATATGGGTTGAGGCCGAAATGCAGCTGTATTTGTACTGCTCAGTAGAAGATGAGCCTCAAAATTTGTAAGCTGATATTACAAATTATTGGGATGCATGCATCGTGCAGCATCGTAAGCACTAAGTTACCTGCTACGATCTGTGGCCTAGCCTGTCCCGTCCCCCTAGATACCAATGTACGAGTCTGCTTGTCACTCTCATTCAGCCTTAGGGTCCGCTAGCGTCCCGCACTTCAAATTACAGTATGCGTTGAGGTTGGAGGCTAGACGGTAGGTTCATAATGCAGGTAATTTCTTGGCAAACAGCCCGGTAATATTGCTACTATAACCGAAGATGATCACAAATTGCCACAGTAGTTCGAATGCTTGTCTGTCTCGCTCAGTTTAGTTAGTATCAGCGCTACACGGAAATCTTGTGAAATCCCTATCATCTTAATGTGTAATACATAATGTTGCCCATTTTTCAACATGTAGTGTCTCACGTATGCCGTATTACTTCACGTGACAATGGAAGGCTCCTTCATTTTTCATCCAGGGCAGTTTCATGAGCATGATATCAAGAGAGATATAAGTGATGAATTGTCGCCTTTGAGTGTTGGATTGGATCAATGTAGCTCTTCTTTGGATCAGTGGTTGTCTTGTTTCGAGGATAAGTGGTCCTGGTCGCCTGAACGGACGTGCGCAGAGTACAATTTCCAACCATATTACAGAGCTCACATACCGAGTCTACGATAATGCTTCAACGAAGATGAACCAAATATGGCTGGCGGCTCTATGAGCCTGGTAATACTCACCATCAAAGGTAAATCGAGATGGGTGTCATTTCACATGGCATCTTCAAATAATGGTGGGTCAATGAATCAAAGGTCGGAAAGACATTTCGGGCTATGGTATCCGAGTAGTCAGCTCTACAGTCTTGTGAATGGCCCAATCGATGGTAGCATTCTAGACCGAAATCTTACCTTCAGTTCTGCCGAAGGATGGGGGCCACGGCTCCCGTCGGATTATAAATAGCGGGGAGATGGCGGGGGCTGACGACTCCCAGTTTTCCATTTTCTATTCCGTAAGTCTCGCAAAATTAAACTTATTTGACGAGCAACTATGTCATCACTGTCGAGTCCAGTTCCAGTGATACTTTGCGGCAGAAACGCTGAAATTGGGAAGCCTGTCTCGGAGCTGTTGGTCCCTGAATTCGAAGGTAACTCCATTTACAAAGTCAAGCCCAGCTATTGAACAGATCTAAGAATCAACATCGTATTAGTGATCCATTTCATCGCTACCAATGAAGCCGCTCTAGCTGATATCCCCCGCCTCCTGAAGGGCGAGAAACCTCAATTTCCAGATACCAGCGGCGTCGGAACCCAGAATTACAACCAGGTTCCACGCGCCGTTATCTTCGGTCGGGGATACGATATCACCGAAGTAGAACAATTTAGAAAAGCAAGCGAGGGAAGCAACGCAGATCCTGTGGCTTGGATTACGGGTGATCCGAACAAGAAGCCTGATCCTAATGCTCCGCCTCCAGGGCCGGGATATGCTCAGTTTGCAGCGATTCAGGTAAAAGAGAAGCTGTCTGCTTGGAAGGAGGAAGGTGCTGCACAGGATGGAATTATCTTATGGTAGTCAGTTGTTAATATGGAAAGTGCAATGTATCTATCTTCTGATGTCCATCAGCTACACCCATATTGGGACAGGGCTGTCCATTCCAGGTTGTATAAATTTAATTCTTCTAGGCTGCTGCGATTCCAAAATGCGTAGCCCCAAGGTCGCAGTACCTCCTAATCTGGGCTCTCAAAGCAGTGGTCAAGAGGCTCCATGTGGTAGGTGCAGTGCCAGATTTTTGCGGCTCCGGGGTCAGTATCTGAATACCATTTCCTTCTGGCACCGTGCCAAGTAGCGTGGGATAGTCGGGCATTGAGGATTGGAGAGGATCATACAACAAAGGTACTGACATGTTCTCACTCCCTACGGTCTGGGGTGGGCAGGAGCGCCCTCGACCACGTCCAGAATGTGTTTGAGGCCTCGGAGGATACTGTGCTCAACTAAAACGGTAAGTTTCGTCCTGATAGTCATTCGGGGCGGAATGTTGGCATCGGGTCCCTTACGCTAGTAGTATAATTCTAGTTTTAGTAACCGTGGTTTGGCAAGTAGTAATGGTGTATAGAAGATCCTGGTCATGAAGTCCCGGAGTGTTCCTAGTTGCTCATGCTCCTGGGGTGCGAACCACCTACGTATTATCCCAAGAGCTTTGTCCCTGACTTTGAAGAGGGGGATGTTGCTGAGAAGGATACCTGTGAAAAGTTCTCAAATCGATACAAACCGCGCTCGATTCGGGCATACTCGCCGTCAGAGACGGGCGTCGGTTTCAAAGGTGACGGAGTTCTCCGTCAACCTGATATTTTCTTCCTTGTGGGATCTGAAGGATATTGACTGATGGTACTCAAGATCAAGAAGAGGTACGGCGGTGTGTTGTGCGACGAAGGTGGAAGGCTAGGGAGGTGAGAACAAAGGAAAGGCCCAGGGCAGTGTTCTTGGAACGCAACCACTAACGAGAGACACCTACACGACAGACTTCGTAATCAGTCATGTATAACCTAAAAACCTAAGCATTTTTGAGTTTTAACAACCAAGTACTTCATTCCTAATCGCCTCTGATATCTAGCTGGTAAGATTAGGGAGGGGCCTTGTCGAGTTCTAGTATATTTTAGTTCCGGAGAGGCAGGAGGTTTATAGAAATTAGGAAAATAAGAAGTGCTAATGTAGAAAATTGCAAATTTTGACTTACTCTATGGGCGAATTCCCTATTCTCTCCGTTTGTAAGTCATCGAGAAGCATTCTTCTTCTCGCGAAATCTCAGATTATCCTCCTGTCCTGCGTTTCATCACGCCCCCAGTCCGTTGAGGTCTTGCCTACTGCCTAGGCTTTCCATCTCCAAGTGTAAGAACAATCTTTCAAATCCAACATCCCACTGCACCCTTGCAATCACGAAAACGATAGAAGATGTCTTTATTTGATGGTACCAAAAGCCCAATCCATCATTCCAGTCACTCCAAAATTATGGCGTCCATCACGGTGGTGTGCTTCATGCTCCATAACACTAATCCATGCCTTGCCATCACTCCGAGAGTGCGAGTACATTGCAAAGACCTTTGCCACACTACTAAGGAAACAAAGCTCGGGAAGAGTTGCTCCAACCACCCAAGCAGACACGAGTTCAGTGGACATTTGGGCAAAGACGTATTCCAACGGATGGACGTCAAGCGCTGTAAGCGGTCCACTTTGCTGAGTTTCGTGATGGAGCCGATGAATGCGTCGATAAAAGTACTTCCAGTGGAGGACACGGTGTATGCTGTAGTACATCACATCTGCGAAAATGTATCCCACGAAGACCTTTAAGAAGAATGCTTGGATAAAAGAATTTCTCTCGAGAACATTGGACATGGGATGCTTCTTGAGCAGTAACAACAAAGAATGAGCGGATGCACCCCACATAACGTTCACCATAACTCGAGTGAATGTCCTTATTGATAGTGTCCCAAGGTAAAAGAATTGAAAGAATGCCATAGATCCAATGGTAATGAAGAGAGTAGAATGTAATGCAATCACTTCATTCCAGTATTGGCCGGACAAGGGCAAAGCAAAATGATGCAAGATCCGAGAAACAAAAGATTGAATCATGATGATTTGGAAAGGAGTCAAATAGCAATGATTGATTCAATATTCTTGGGCTTTATACTGAGTTGTTTCTCGTGTAGTATTTCGTCTAAGGGAAACTCCAACTTCGAGATTGAACAACAGCCATTTTATAATTCATTCGAAGAGCAGGAATATAGAATCATCCTCTCTTGCCACAAGGCGATCCTGGTTGTGGTTATGGTACTATAGGCACAAATTTCCATACTTTGGTTCAAAGCAGCCCATTCCTGCACGACATGACTCGATGAACACCCGCTCACCGACTCTGAATCAATTCCCCGTTACCCATGGCAGACACGGGGCGCCTTTTGTTGGTTATATCGAGACGCCTCAAATTTGAGGTTTTCCTAGCCTCTAGTTCAAAGAAAGCAGATATCTCCAGATTGGGTAATGGACGGCAGCCCGTCGCATCAATTGGAAGCTCTAGCACCCGGCTATCGTGGCTCAATGCCGAAACTCAGATTGATCGACGGTTGATTTCTTTCATGCTCTGGGATCTACGATATTATTGCTAATTTTGAATAACAAACCTCCGAAAAAAGGCTAGTGCACCTCGTATACTCGAAAGTCAGATCTGAATATGCTGGTCGTGGATCAGGCGCGCAAGGCAAGATGAGTGTCACCATCAGGCAAATACGATAAGGCTAATCGTTTGATATTACTGGGATCTTTGATGGGCTACTTTATTACTTCAAAAGTACTTTTGTATTCCGCAATGTGTGCGGCTAAGCTCGTGTTCATGATTAACAAGGTATTCGTCGCCAAGTTGTGGACACTTATCTTCGAGTGCCCTGCGGCTGACCTACGAAATATACGAAAGCTTGTATTTGGCTACTGCTGCAATAGCAAGCCCGATCAGGCCGTCTCCTTGGAATAAACCGTCTAATGAAACGTGCCTCACGAAGCACCCTTCCCTTCTTATCGGATCGATTGTGTGGACAGAGTATGCTCGTTAGAAAAAATAGGCTTTACTCCCACCCCGCTAAATATGAATCAAATTCAAACCAATGGAGAGAGTCCTGTTCTGGTGAAGTCGCAGTTGTATGTAGCTGAAAGTACTACGAGGCTGAAACAAAATTCCCTACTGTCACACTTTCAGGCACTCCACATTATCTGGAACAATTGGGGGCCTATGATTCCCATGTTTGCTTTGCCTATTCCTGAATTTCCGAGACACCAATTAATTATAGGAAACGGAGTTCCGATTTCCAGTCTATGGCCGATCATTAAAGTCTTACTAAATTCGCCTCCCAAGATATGGCAGTGTCACTTGCTCTATTGCTGCGCTCGCGGACGATAGCCGCTTTTAGAAATAGGAATAATCTAGCGTAATTTAGTGGCTGCATCTCAGGCTCTATGTTTTGGTAAATCCAGTGGGTAACAATGTATCAATAGGTGCAAAATTAAACTAAACTTAGTGCATCGCTTACTGGTACAACGTAATGTTCCCAGTCATTCAAATCGGATGAAGGTGCTCGACTAGACCCAGAGGCCTTAGACAGATTGTAGTCGCGAGTTTGCCAGACTTTCTCGATGACTGATCGTGTCCGAGAAACGCTGGAGACGCTGACTTTGGCAATTTGAGCGAGGAGACTTAAGACGAAAACTCTCCCGTCCGTGACTGCGCCGGTGTCTGGGTCTGTCCAGAGCTCATGATCTAGCGGGTCCAATTCCACAGCCGCCACAAAAAGCGGCCAAATGACATGGGAAACCGACTCCTGCTCGATCAGATTGACAATCCCCTTGAGGATTTCTCGCACATGACTCTTAATCATCAGGTTGGTCGGCTTGCCATCATATAGAGCACAATGAAGATAGACATGACAGGTGAGCTTTTTCAGGTCCGCGATGTTCTGGAGCGTTTGATCTGGAGCATTGGTGTGTGATCGTTGAACTAAATTCTCGAGCTTGGTGTTCAACAAAGAAGCCTTGATGTTGAAAGTCATTCTGTCCGAATCTGACACCATGGATCGTCGTGATCGACTTAGGTCCATGATAGCAAATAATACTGAGACGAGGGCCGGACTGCAACCCATCCAATCATCGATGAAAGGGTCATGCTCATCCCAGTAGCTAGCTCCAAACAAGTCTGCCTTTACACAGGCTGTACGTCCCATGACGTCTTGGAAAGCAAAGAACAGCTCCACAAATGCAGATACCGGGTCCTCTTGGCGACGAACGGAGAGATCCGGTGAGATTTGTAATTGCCTCCTTCGAAGTCGTATGATATCTTTCGCTCCCTGAAGATGCAGGATCCACTGCCAATCACAATGGTCCACAATTTCAAAGAGGCATAACAGCATCACAATAACTAGGATTTCCGGGTCTGGTGCGACGAGAGATTGTGGGTCTGTTGTGATCTGTCGCCTCAAATCGGTCAAGACTTTGGACTTGAGTTGTAAGCCCAGTCTACTGTACTGTGAGTCATATTGAGACCAATGACAGGCCGCGACTGCTTGAATGGCTCTGAGGACGGTAGGTCTTGCCGAAAGGCAATATGGAAGAATGACAGACGCAAAGGGTGACTTGGAGACTGCGCTGGGCGCCGTGCGTGGACAGATTTGGTTGATATAGTAATCGAATAATATCGGATTCCCTAGATCGTTCAAGGAGGGGAACAATGGAAGGGATGGCTGTATGTCCTGGTTTTCAAATCCTGCTGCCTGTATAAACCGATCTGAGAAAGGCAATAAAAATGCTAAGGGCGAGTCTGGGGGATCCGGTCTCTGCGCGTCAGACAGTGTGCCTCTTTCCCAAGCTGGCAGGAGCTGTGGCTGCGTATCATTTTGCTCTTCGTCGTATAGGCGCTGAACTAAGGAGAAATCTCCGCTGAGGAAGTTCCAGGGGTGAATTTCAGGCGTCTTAAGCCAAGTAGTATCAGCTGGCAGGGATCTAGGCCCTCCATTGGATCTGGCCTCACCCGTTGATTGGGATGAAGTTTTACTCCAAACCCCCGATCTTCCAAACGCGATTCCTCGATTGCGGAAATCAGCCTCCCATTTGAGTTTAATCTCGTCTCCGAGGCATTGCAGGTCCTTCTCCCAACATCTTGTGCAGGTAGGCTTTCGCTCGTCGCATTTCACCTTGCTTCGGCGGCAGTTTGTACAGCCTTTTCGGGATCGGGTTCTTGTCTCCCGAGCGGTTTTCCCCAATTTTGAGTCCATGGTAGACCCGTATCTTCATCGGCATTGATCTCAGATATCACCAAGACGATATCACTCACGGTCGGGGTGGCGAAAATAGTATGCACTTCGAAGCTACTTTTGGATGCAGCGATACAGAATCAATGTATTCGGAAGGTGCCAATCCTCTTTTCGAGAGTGATATGGAGTAGTCAGGTATCAATAAGAAAATTGATTGTGGCGATGGTGTCACTCATCAGATCGCCTCTGGTGGATTTCAATCGAGCGGACAGGCCATTCTCCGTCGAAGAAAGCACATTGACACCGATAAACTGGTCCGTCATTGCCTTCAGATCTCAGGCTAGAAAGTCGGAACCTCAGACATTGAAGCAAGGTCCATTTTTCGATATCGAAGAGGTCTGCCCCCATGGCACGGCTTATGTCAGTGACGGCAGGTCGAAGCGAAAAACTTTTGAAGTGGGGCGCTCTCAACCAACCATATTTTCTCACTCATGTGCTTCACTTCAAGGTGTCTACAGATTGGTAAGCCATATTCATTGTCACTAAGTAATAAAGGGGAAGATCTGCTGATAATTCACTGATCCATAGGCTGATAGAAGTGAAGATTTGTCGGGAAAGTATAGTCACTCTACGATGAGGATTAGCCGCCAACTTGAAAGAATTCCAGCAATTGTCAAAATTCTTCTAGCTCTCTATAAAGGTTCTAGATTCAGCCATAGTGCTACGCAAATTACATACGACTTAGAGCACTATAAGAATGGGGGGTCATCAAAATTTCCAAAATTTGATGTATCTGTTGTGTGCATGTACAACTACTGACTACTAACTATATATTTTGTCAACTTATAACTTCAGCTCTACTCTAACACATATTCTTCCCTCTAACCCCACTCCAAGTTCTAAGAAGAGGATAATCTACACACAGGAAACTCGGAAAATGCTGATCTGTACCGATAGTTACCGCATGGGGGTTTTCGCGGAAAGGCTCACACCTATCCCTGCGCTCGCAGTGTCGTAGTCTCCCAATCTAGAAGCCCAAAGTCACGAGCCCGAGCCCACATGATGTACGTTCAACCTCACCGCAAGTGGAGGGTGTATTGGCTCGGCAATGGGGCAAGGACCTGGTTTTTGAAGGAGGATGTCAATAGAGAAAACGAACCCAGTATACATTGACCGAGAATAGGCCGTCAAAGATCCGACAGGGAAATATCTCCATATCTAGAAGAAGCTACAATGGATATGAGAGCTAGTTCGGCACTTGACCCAGTAATCACGTAGCAATTCAGACAACTCGCTAAACACAACAGCCGGGTATAGCCCCCGACTGCCGTACCAAGCTGCACATAGCTCAGTGGAGGAATCAGAATTCACCCGCTATACCCCGCATCCGCGAGCCACGCGACAGCTTCCCCAGACGGCCAAGCCGCCAAGCCGAGTCTGAGAAGGCCTGGGAGCGCTCGGGGTATTTACCGGCGAGTCGACTCGGAGACCATCCGCCCACAATAACAATAATGGCTCACTCTCCGTACGGGGGCAATCTATCGGGAAGTTGGGCCGACCTACATTGCCGAGTATCACGAAAGAGCTCCCATCTGCGGGAGTTATAGGGCAAGTGCCATGACGTGCGATTGCATTTATGAAAGGCCCCGTCAGTTCGGGGAAATTAGGAGGCGAGAGAAGATCATTGTGGTTTTGTTTCCGCGCTTCGGCCCAGGCCGTTTCAAAATCGTGTGTGCTAGTTCGGGTTCAGGGGCGGCTATGAACTTGTGATAGGTCCAAGGCCGAATAGAAAACAAGAATCATATCACGGGTGAATTAGGAAAGAAGGGACACTGACGTGATTGGCAAGTGATAACTTAACTAATGCGACCGGGGGCCCCGGGGAAACTGAATGTACGGGGGGATCTAGTCCATGTTGGTGAATATTGATCCGGACATTGAAGATAATGTGGCAAAGTGTGGACGTGGACGAGGGGAGGGAAAACATCATGTGAACGATTGAAGATAACTCGACCGGTCGAAAAGTATACCCATTGGTCGAACAGGGTGAAATGTCTAGACTGTAAAAAGAATACTTCATCCGGAATGACTTGCTTCGGTACGAATTTGCGGAGAGGCCAGGGGGGGCGAACCCCTTCTCCACACGCCCCTTGCTCCATCGGGCTTGAGGAAACCACGCCTGCGAGTGCATCGTGACCTTCAAAAGTCTCTCAAGAATACCGTTTTGGTCCAGACTCAGCCCCCCGAGCTCCAGACTAAGACACTAACGGAACGCACTATCCAACCCGAGTCACGCGCAACTGCAGAAATAGATGTGTTCGTTGAAGAGTCACAGTTACGGATCAGCTGAATTGCCAGGAATAGAACTTCCTACGTAAGCAAATGTAACAAAATCGCGCAAACAAGGGCGAGGGCGATCTGTTTCATAGTTGGCATCCAAGTCCGTAATATCGCTCGTAACCTGAAAATCAGGCGGATAAAGCAAGAATCCTAGAGGCTCGACTTCCCGAGGCCGCAACCGCAACCGTAAACGTAACCGGGTCGGGATCCGCCGCTAATCATCGGGAAAGAGGATCTGGGGTTTTCTTTTTTTCCCCTTTCTTTTCGCTACGATCGTGCAAAATAGAGCAAAGCCACACTTCTGCACGAGGGGCCGAAAGTGGTCCCCGTGGCAAAGCGACCGGGTCGATTTCCAGAACGTGCAACGGAAATTCCAGGTGGGTTTTCGAGTCTCACGGACTCAGTAGTCGGGTAGACCGCTTAGTTTCCATTCCCCCGAATGGAATTTGAACACATTGTCCCGCATTTTTGTGAGGGATTATTCTTTATCTCGTCCTTTTGGATAGACCAGGAAAAGAAAAAGAAAACACGCATCTGAGCCGAGACCGATAGGGCACGTAAGATGCATGATCTGTAGAAGAATATGTGTGGCTAGTATGCTCCGAGCTGGCGGGGGCCCGAGGTACCGGTCGGGATGAGGGCCCTCAAGGCCTCAATCTCATTGCACTAGGGCACCGGGCAGTGTTTGGAGGTTATCGTGTCCGGCCAGCGAAAACCAGGGACGAGTCGACCATGTTAGCCCCAGGACCCAGCGGCAATATCTTCTGCCCACCCGAGTCTGCTTGTAAAAGTGGACAAGGTAGAAATGTGTGGCCTGTGATTGGCCGGGGCCGCCGCGATCGATGTCTCCAATGCATCATCCTCGGCTGCGATAAACGCCGTTATTGGAGCATGCGGAGGTATTCCTGGGTTCGATTTCCAGCTTCGTTCCGAACCTGCGTGGCCGGGTCCTTGTCGTCATGTCGGAACCGATGAGAGGGATTACATCTTTTCTATTTTCGTCGTCCAACGGTGCCCGAGATCACTTTCCGATGGTGACGAGAGAAGCCGAGAAAGACAAGAGCCAGAGGGTAGCTATCGAGCAACCTCATTGGTGAGGCCGAAACGGTCCAGACAAAGAAAAAAAGCCAGACCACGGGATCGACGGAAGGCTGACATAATCCCTCCCCCGCGATTTTGACAAAAAGGTGGTTCTGCGTTAGCCTGATTGGTAAGGTGGTAAGGTTAATCCTCTTGCCCGGAATGGCTTCTTCGTCGACTGGTGAAGTCATTGCGCGTCATTCCAGTCGTCCGTGGCTTGGAAGGACAAACTTGTATAGCCATACAGACTACCCGAATGAAGCACTCCTTCTACCAGATAGATTGAATCCCGTCAAAGATTGACCAAACCTAGGTTATTTACGACCAATAGTACGTAGTTCTTGTCGAATAGCCATACAGCCCCAATGTTTAAAGAAGAAGCATAAATTCTCCATCTCTTTTTTCCCTACCCGCCACCCATCGACAACTCGCAAAGGAAAAAAAAAAACCACCCGCAGCAACGAGCATACTTCAGTGCACCGTGTTTGCGGCTTTTTTTCTGCTCTCGAATCAAAATCGAAAAAAAAAAGAATAATCACATTTTCTAGTTTCGGTACCTAATCCTCATTGTTCCTCCTTGCCTTACCCGAACAGAACGCCGTTCCGAGTGCAATTCGTGCTGACTGGCCGTACCCTCCGTTTCGGGACAAGTCGGACCCTCTCAGACTGCGCCCAAATCTCAGGCTGACTAGTGCACGGAAGGGCCCATTAGGCAATCAGACTCTGGCAATCCACGGCTACGCCTCATCTTCCATCAACCATCGGTACCCGCCCGCTTCAGCTCGGCCTTCTGCTCCCCTCCCCGACATCACCCGTGAAACTGTGGAGAAACCACAGGAGAACTGCACGAGAATACTCCCTACATACCGAGTTCGACGAGACTATGGCCCCTGCTGGAAAGAATTATATACCCCCCGGTCGCCCGGCATCCCCAGGTCCTTTGGCTGCAGATTTCTTTCAACAGCAACTCGCGAAACAACGCAACAATAATTATCATTCTACTTCACTCAGAAACATGGTTGCCACATCTGTGAATCGCACGGCGCTGCACCCTGGCGGTGTCCAGTACGTTTCCACCTTATCTTCTCCTCTATTATATACCTCGTCGTCGCTAACCATGTTCCCTCAACAGGCCTGGCAAGAGCCACACCGAGCTGGAGGAGGAGCTCCACGAAACTGCGCACATTGACTATGACCGAGTCGCAATTGTAAGGAAGATCCTCTCCCGTCCTTGCGCTTGAGACTCGACATGGTCGTTGGCGCTTGATTCTCAAAAGACACTTTTGACTAACATATCATGACTTTGTTCCAACTATAGATCGCCAACCCTTCCGTTCCTGCCCTCTATGAGGATGCTCTCGTCTACGAGACCGGCACTGCCATCACCTCCAGCGGTGCTCTGAGCGCTTACTCTGGTGCTAAGACCGGTCGTTCCCCCTCCGACAAGCGTATTGTCAAGGAGGAGTCCTCCCAAGATCAGGTCTGGTGGGGACCCGTCAACAAGCCCATGAGCCCCGATGTAAGTTGCCTAATTGATGCTTTACTATGCGTGATTTTTCCCAGTCATCTTGTTGCATATCTGCCTGGTCTACATCAAGGGTTGCCCTTGCAGACGCCAGTCCTGCGCTCCACACGGGGATCCCTTGCATATGCATCTGGAAGGGTTCAAGCTTTTCTGGCACTCTGCTTGGTGCATCCTACGATGCATATCTTTGAGAGTTGACTCGAATTCTTCTCGATCAACCTGCTCTTCCCTTTGCATTCCCAGTTTTTCCCAGTTTTCCTTTACCCCTCTTCTTTTCCGCGTTCAGCTGAAGATCGCCACTTCCCCGCGGGACCGAGGCTCAATCACGTGCATGACGTCATTTGCTCGGGTTTGCTAACAATCTTACCCCGACAGGTCTGGCGCATCAACCGTGAGCGTGCTGTCGACTACCTCAACACCCGTAACCGCATCTATGTCATCGACGGTTATGCCGGCTGGGATGAGCGCTACCGTATTAGCGTCCGCGTTGTCTGCGCTCGCGCCTACCACGCCCTGTTCATGCGCAACATGCTGATCCGCCCAACTCGCGAGGAGCTTGAGCACTTCCACCCCGACTATGTCATCTACAATGCCGGTTCTTTCCCTGCCAACCGCTTCACTGAGGGTATGACCTCTGCCACCTCCGTGGCTATCAACTTTGCCGAGAAGGAGATGATCATCCTCGGTACCGAGTACGCTGGTGAGATGAAGAAGGGTGTCTTCACCGTCCTCTTCTACGAGATGCCCGTCAAGCACAACGTCCTGACCCTTCACTCCTCTGCCAACGAGGGTGAGAACGGCGATGTCACCGTCTTCTTCGGTCTGTCCGGTACCGGCAAGACCACCCTGTCTGCCGACCCCAAGCGTAAGCTGATTGGTGACGACGAGCACTGCTGGACCGACACTGGTGTCTTCAACATCGAGGGTGGTTGCTACGCCAAGTGCATTGGTCTCTCTGCCGAGAAGGAGCCCGATATTTTCAACGCCATCCGCTTCGGCTCCGTCCTCGAGAACGTCGTCTTCGACCCCATCACCCGCGTTGTCGACTACGATGACTCCTCCCTCACCGAGAACACCCGCTGCGCCTACCCCATCGAGTACATCGAGAATGCCAAGATCCCCTGCAAGAGCGACAACCACCCCACCAACATCATCCTGCTCACTTGCGACGCCCGCGGTGTCCTTCCCCCCATCTCCAAGCTCACCCCCGAGCAGACCATGTTCCACTTCATCTCCGGTTACACCTCCAAGATGGCCGGTACCGAGGACGGTATCACGGAGCCCCAGGCCACCTTCTCCTCTTGCTTCGCCCAGCCCTTCCTGGCCCTGCACCCCATGCGCTACGCCTCCATGCTCGCCGAGAAGATCAAGGAGCACAAGGCCAACGCCTGGCTCCTCAACACCGGCTGGGTCGGTGCCGGTGCCACCACTGGCGGCAAGCGTTGCCCTCTCAAGTACACCCGTGCCATTCTGGACGCCATCCACTCCGGCGAGCTCGCCAAGGCCGAGTACGAGACCTACGCCGTCTTCAACCTGCCCGTCCCCAAGACCTGCCCCGGTGTCCCCGACGAGCTCCTCAACCCCCAGAAGAGCTGGACCGCCACCACCTCCTTCTCCGAGGAGGTCAACAAGCTCGGCAAGCTCTTCAACGAGAACTTCAAGAAGTACTCCGACGAGGCTACCCCCGAGGTCCTGGCCGCTGCTCCCCAGACTGAGTAAATGTTGGGACTCCCCCGGGTCCTTCGGGTCGTGGATGTTTACACAAAATTGATGGCATATTGTTTCTTGTTTACTTGTTTCGGACATTCAAGTCATTTGCATGGCGTGTTGCGTTTGCTTTGGTCGTGATGATGTGGTTACCATCATGGATCTCCGCCCTCGCGCTTGGGTCGGGACGAGCGTGAGGATTTATTCCCCCACTTGTTTCTCCCGATATTTGGTTTTCTTCTTGCTGCTTTATGATTTCCTTTTACTTTTCCTATGTTCGTTTTTCTCACGTATCTTGATGAAAGTGTTTTGACGACTGGCTCCACTGGAGTTTTTCGATGGATTATATTAAGAATAGCCAATGAAATAAGGTATCTTATATATATAAAGTTCTCCTTTCCAATGTAGCCCAGTGAAAGTAAAATTGCATGAGAGCAGCTGCCTTAGAAATTTGACCGCTCATCCTAATGCTCAAGCTAATCAGCTCTTGATTTCATCTTGTCCTAAGGTCTTTCGACGATACCCATCTCCGCACTGCCTACTTTCGGTGGTTTCCTTATGGAGCGGAAGCTAGGTTATGATATACTCTCACAGTAGCATGGTACGTTCTTCTCTCTACTCTCCTGCTTGCCGTTGATCGACACAACCTCTCTGTTAACCTATATAAGCATCTGATTATCTCGCCATCTGTATGCTTTATCATTCACTCGCTTTCAATGAAACCAAATACTTACCATTTGACTTTTATTCTCCAAATCATGCGCTACTTCGTCCCTAGCATCATGCACTGCCAGTATTAGTCTAGTCATCTTGTGGTGAGTCAACTTACTGAGCCACGCAAAAGGGTGACATCGTCTTGAAATGAATGATACTTTGAAAAAGCAATCCATCACTGGATTCATATTATACTTCATTCTGTGCTCAGTTTGGCTTTTGGCCACTTTACAGCACATTTACCGTGGGCTTCAACGAGCATTGTTTATTCCCTTGTTGCAATCTGACGTGCATACCGAGAACTTCCTCGTGACTCAAAGTTCCCAGCGTAGGCCTTGGTCAAAGGGATGTCCGCCGTATACACAGCCTTCTTATCTGCTAAGGAGTATTTCCCCTTTTTGGCGGCTTGGGTAGCGTCAAGTACGGTGATGTTATGAAGCTAACTATGAGGATTGCTGCTGCTGCTGCGGCCGCTCGTTCTTGATAGCTTGAACGGAGGAGGAATAGCCCGCGGCCCGAAGAGACCTCTTGTGCGGCCCCGAAGTGGTTGCAATGTTGCCAGATACGGCCTGGAATGCACAACGACAGTGCCCCATTGTCACACATGTCGGCTGTAACTATTCGGGGAAGCCAAGAATGGGTGGAGAAGGAATCAGGCGCAAACGACGAAGCGAGGGTGAGGTCACCTGCACCATCAGCAGAAGCGGCAGAGTTACAAAAGTTGGACGGCTCATTCATGCTAGTCCAGAAGGCATCAAAATCTACACCATTTTGGGGACCGAGAAAAGTTGCAAATTCCTTGTTTCAGTAGTCTTGCGTACCAGGGGCGAACCACTCAGGCCAAGTAGTGACTCCTGGCCAGACAACTCCCTGATAGTTCGAGCCATTGGGATACTTCATGAGAGCATCAGCCTTGTTGCCGTCATTGAATGGGGGATAGTCAAATTATGTGACTGCTGGGTCTACCATCACCATATGGTGTTGGTTGCTTTTGTGCAGGTGCGGAACGAGGTCTCGAGTCTTGTCAAAGGGGAATTGGTATGGGTCCGGAGTGAACACTCTTCGAAGGTTCATGTAATCTGCAGAAATTAGCAACAAAACTCAGTCGCTCGTCAGGGGAACTGGATCTCACCAATACCGGTCCATTGAGTCTCCAGTGGAATGTTTGCGGCACTGTAGTAGTTGGCAATGACCTCAGCAATCTTGTAGATATCATAATAACCGTAACGACAATTGTGGAAGCCAAAGTGCCAATAGGACATCATTGCAGGAAGGCCAACTCTCTGTGGATACTGCATGGCAACTTCTTTCGGATTAGGCCTGCCCAGGAAATACAAGTCAACGACGCCAACACGGGTGCGATACTCAAGATACTGCCCATCAGATACATCATGGACAACATACGTGCCGCTGCTATTGGCCAGGAAGATACCATGGATGGCGTTTTCCCCACGGTTGTCAGAATATAAGGGGTGATTGCCGTACAGGTTGTGAGCTCAGGTGTCCCATAAGCATCTCGCGACCACAGCGTCTTAGAGTAGTTCGAAGTCTTCAGGCGGAAGGGGTCAAAACTTTCCCCCAGGCCGTAGATGTTTAGTGGTTCGGGTAATTTTGTGCAGATGCTGAGATACTGCGATAGAAACCCAATTGGATGAGCAGTCGCATCGAAGATATTTTCCCCTGTCGAGTTGCGAGTGATGGGGAACGAGAATGGATTGTGATTCATAGAGAATTCCAGATACGACTTGCTCGAACTCATGCCTTTGTCGGTCCGTGGTCGCGGAAGCACCGATTCAGGAACTTGATAGACCTGCTCGTCGGCATCATAGATCGTGACATGCAGTCGCTCAGCTACCAATAATCAGCTTTTCATCAAGAAGTACAGCGGTCTGGCTAGAGGTGCAGAGCAGCGTCACAGCCATAAAAGGCTTAAGAGATGCTTGCCAGATCATGTTGCAAGGCCGACACAGAAGAATCGGTATGGAACTAGTATTCCCCCCCTGACCCCTAAGCACGGGAGCCAACTCCCAAGGCCTTTATGTTTCAGGATTGAGGACCCTGCATGGTCGTCTGGGGGAGTATCCCATGCCATACCTCGCATCGAAGAGATCCGGTATTACACCGATGACAAGGGAGCCGAGTTGTAAAGAGAGTCAGGGTGATATTGGTAAGATTCTGATTTAGAGATGCAACCTGGGTGAATTCTTTCCGACTGCTGCTACCAATTTCCAGTTTCCCGGCCCATTTCCCGGGTGGATTTGGAGTACTATTTTCTTGGTTAGAATCCGCATGGTAAGAAAGGACTGTGCTCGCAGGGGTAGTCCAAATATTGGCACTACAATCGGTGTGTTGTTCCATGGGGTTACTCACCCAGATAAATAACGTAGAAAGTCATTTCCTACTTCCATTGTCAATCTACTTCCTATGTAAATCAGGGTCCATCCAGATACTAGCCCGTACAAACCTACACCCTTCCCCACCACCCCAACTCCATCAATCCCCCAATAGCTTTTACCTATTACCTACGACCTACACACGTTGTTCACTGTCAAGACCATATCCATAGGTACCACACCCCACTGCCGAACAAATCCCCCGCCCTACCGTCAACGATAACCGCGCTCCACCCGCAGAGGAATATCGGGCCCACTTTGCCCGCCGGAATCCCCTCCGCTCCCGAGTCTGCATGCCGGGAGCTGGGAGACTTCATTTCGGGATTGCGAGGGTAGTTCTCCGAAGTGCCGAGGGGTCTCTCCGGGGAGAGGTGAGGCTGAAAGTCATTATGGGGGTTGGAAGGTAGAAGAGGTAGACGGTGGATTTGTCAAGGAGGTGTGTAATGGTTGGGATGAGATTAATGGTTAGTTTTGGTTTTGATGGGATTCGTTGATTTGGTTCATTTTAAGGGGATTACTGTAAGACTGTATAGGTAGGTACAGCGAGGGGTGGATACTGTTAGTTGAGTTTTGAAGATTATTATCACTCGTGGGGGGCTTAAGATAGGAGGAACTGGCAGGGATCATAGTTGAGAGCCTGTCTCGATAGGTCTACGGACTTGACTACCTCCGTAAAGCCCATGGTGTCCGTTGGGATGTCCTCAACCAGCTGGTAGCCGGGAATGGACATCGGAGATGCCCGTTCTCGACAATCTCGCAACGTTCGAGGTTCCGTCACGAACGGATAACGTCGGCGTAGAGTATCTGATCTACTCTGCACATCAGAGTCCAGGGCTGATGGATACATGATAGACCACACATAGCCCGCGGAAACAATCGATGTGAGCGGTCACCGGAAATATCTCGGCTGCTGCAAAAATGACCCCCCATGAATGAAGATGCAGTCTGCGTGCCTTTGCGGAAATGCAGTATATCATTTCGTATACGACCACGGAGAAATCAACTCCTATACTTCCGCACCCTGTAAATTAGGATCACGGTCTACCGCATCCCGCGTGTGGCTTGGAACGAGTATCACGGCATCACGGCACGTCCTGAGCAAGGAATTACACCGTCAATAGCCACGGCCCCGGAATGCTGTCCTCCGCTGGCACCGGCAAACAGCACCACGATGACGAACAAGAAAGATAGTCCCCCCGGAGGACAGGCATCAACAAGAATGAAGTTTAGAGGCCTCTTGACCAATCCGCACGCAGATAATCCACACACGAGGTTCAATCTCCGACCCCAGCCAGCGGTCCAAGTGCCGGTCATCGGCGAAAAGACGGCGTTCTTGCAAAGGGCGATCGGAGGATTCCAGCGAGACCCACGGGGAATAGGCAGCTGGGCGCTGTACCCGATTAGGTCGTGATGGGGCATCGGCGGTCCCCCAACGGGACCATGGTGTTGGCATTCCCGGGGGTAGGATTGGCCCGGCCGGTGGGAGGATTGGAGTCTATAGGGCCCACCGTGCCTGGGACTATCGGGGATTGTGGGCTAGCGTGCAATAAGTCTGCTCGACGTGGGATACTCGGATCTGAGCGCGGAGAGCGGCAGAGGGAGCCGGCAGAACATTATTGAGGGGAGGTGGGATAGCCGATGTAGTTTATCCGCTTTCTCGATGCCGTTCAACCCAGGTCCTGTCAGTTTCGTAGACGAGTCGGTCGAGGAGATGCTCATCTTTCGACGCTGCATCATTGATCTTCCCGTCAAGGAGGGCCGGGAAACACTGGTCGTTCGTCGAGAATTGTCAGCTATTCAGCCTCCTCGAGTCGGAGTGTTTCCCTCGGACCGGCCACGATCGCGGTCGCCAGCGGGTTCCCGAGCAGTTCTCGTGGGGCGTCCCAAAGGGGCATAACGGGTCAAGTGGGGTTCCGGGTTTAGCTCGTGGCACTAATTCTTCTTTCGTTAGTGTTGGGCTCCATGACGTGGAGCATGGGGATGATGGGGTGGGGTGTTTGATATTGGGAAGTCAGGGAGAGAACGAGAAGAGACTGGGATTCAGACGAGGAGAAAAGAAGACGAGTAGATACTGACCACGGGATGAGGGGGTTTCTTATTGGAACTTGGATCGAGGGGTTACGATTTCTCGGGGACAAGACTCGTGACATCAAGCTTCCCCCGCATTTCTCATGCGTTCGCGTCCACTGATCCCCTCGTCAACGCTGTCAATACCTTTAATGATCGACTTGGCCCACATGAAGGGGGGGGCAGAGAACGTGTGCGATTTTCGCAGTCTGCGCTATTCGTCAGACCCGATGACAGACGCACTAGTCCTCTGACGGGTCTGACCATTGCCGTCCCACTGGACCTGGAGAACCATCCCCCGGCTACCATTCGGTCCAAAGGGCCCAGATCCGGTTACGAGGAAGTCGCCTTCGGTTGTTCGCGGTCCATTTGCCCTCGGGCATCATCTAGGGGCCACTGGGGTCGGTAGATGACGAGGTACTTGGTGTCAAAGATCTAAGCTGTACGGAGTAGTGTGATGGACACCAGAGTCCAGCGTTCGTATTAGGACTAGGTACCACTTATTACTAGGATCGTCCGAGTTATATAGAACAAGCTTGGGCCCCGTGGGACTCCGAGCTACCACGACTTACTTATACTTCGGAGTACTGCTACTTGACTGGACTGGTTCTCTTCCCCCGCATCCTCCCACTTTCCTCCCTCTCCCCTCATCTTCTCTTTCCTTTTGCTGGACTATATTCATCTTCTCCCTCCTCCCCCCTCTCGTAGTCCCCTTGCGACCTTCATCCGCATTCTCTCTCTCGATACGTCACGAGTAAGTTATCCACGGTCCAACCTACTCCCCCCTCGTGACTTCCGCCGCAAACAAGAAATTCATCCTGACCAGCTACAGGAAACTCGGAAACTTTGAACTGCTTCTTTGGTGCCTGTGCCGTAAACTCTTTTTCTCCGGTTAGTGGATGAATCATCCGGTTTTCTTTGCGAGATCCGTCGTTCTTTCACCTCGCATCTACGTCGACTACATAACCGCCACCACTGCCACCACCACCAACAAGCTAACCAACACTCCATCAGACCATCAATCTATACTCTCACGACCATGGCATCCAACTCCATCAAGGAGTCTGCCCATAATGCGGCCGTCTCCGCCCAAAACACTACCAAAGCCGCCATCGAGAACCCGGCGCAAACCACCTCGACCATCCTGCACCACCCCTATATGCGCGCTGCTCTTCCCTTCGTGAACGGCGGCTTAGCTGGCATGACCGCCACGATCGTGATCCAACCCGTCGACATGGTCAAGGTGCGCCTGCAACTCGCGGGCGAAGGTGCTCGTACCGGTCCCAGACCCTCCGCCCTCGGCATCACCAAGGAGATTATTGCTTCTGGTAAAGTCCTCGACCTCTACACCGGTCTCTCGGCCGGTCTCCTCCGCCAAGCCGTCTACACCACCGCCCGTCTCGGCTTCTTCGACACTTTCATTAAGAAGCTCAACGCGCGCGCCGACGAGCAAAAGCGCAAGGTCACCTTTGCCGAGCGCGCCCTCGCGGGTCTCTCCGCCGGTGGTATCGCCGCGATGATCGGTAACCCGGCCGATTTGGCCCTGGTGCGCATGCAATCCGACGGTCTCAAAGCACCCGAGGCACGCGCAAACTACCGCTCCGTCTTCGATGCGCTGGTTCGCATCCCCAAGCAAGAAGGTCTCGCGGCGCTGTGGGCGGGTGCCTTGCCCACGGTTATTCGCGCCATGGCGCTGAACATGGGTCAATTGACCTTTTTTGCGGAGAGCAAGGCCCAATTGAAGCAGCACACTAGCTTGTCCCCGCAGACCACGACGTTCGCGGCGTCTGCGATCGCGGGTTTCTTTGCTAGTTTCCTCTCGTTGCCGTTCGACTTTGTCAAGACTCGCCTGCAGAAGCAGCAGAAGGATCCGGCGACGGGCAAGTTGCCGTACAAGGGTGTGTTGGATTGCGCCAGGAAGGTTGTGCAGGAGGAAGGATGGTTGCGCTTCTATCGCGGCTTTGGCACGTACTACGTGCGGATCGCTCCTCATGCGTTAGTTTGCCCCCACTTTCCGTTGCTTTTTTTGGGGGACCCACCTTTTGGATAAGCTGACGTTGTTGATCTTAGGATGGTGACTCTGATCGTGGCCGATTATCTCAACCTCATTACTAAATAGAGAGGCGGAAGAGACGGGAAGTAGAGCGGAAAGTGGCTCACTTTCCCAAGTGTTTGAGCACGATGTTTCGATCTTCGTTCGAATGAATTCTCTTGCATCTCGGTGACTCGCCTTTCGATTTTTGCGCTACTCGGCAAAAGGGGAAAACCAAAACGCGTTCCCCTCAAGCCTACTTATTTGCATCGCCAACGTGATTCCCATCCTCCGGGGCAACTGTATATCTTACGTGACCGTCATTCTCAAGTCAAGAGCGAGCGTTATCTTTCACCTCGCCAAACAGCAACAAGCTGGTTCTGCATTTTCTAAGTTTCAAATGCCGGACCCACATCGAAATCGCACGATCACCAGTCTTCATTTTAATTAGTATGGTTTTTTTTTCTTTTTCGATCGGGAAACCAATATTGGTCACTTTCAGACCTGCTTTTACCATTATTATTCTTCTCCCTCGGAAAGAAGCCTTTTCTCCGGTGGTTTCCATTCGGGGCCGATGTTTCTGCGGTTTGCGTCGGACGGCGCGTTGTGGTAGCTCTGGTCTGGTCTTCCGGCGATCTCCGTCTCCGCGGAAAGGATAGGGAAGATGGGATACGGCGATGATGGTGCAAGTATGGGAAGCTCCCACGAAACAATCATGTTTATTTTTTGTTGTCAATTGCTTTCTGTGTTAGGTTTTCGTTATTATTTTCTTTTCTCTCGACAAGCGAATACCCCGCTCCGCTTGTTCCCTCCCATCCTGTCCTGTCCTGTCTTGTCATATCCCTTTGTTGCTACGCTATGCTGCGCTCTACTATCCGACTTTTGTCGGAGTAGTTTTTTAACCTCTACGTTATTATGTTTGTAACGGGGCATTATCAATATCATTTCCAATGCATGGATTAAAGCATGACTTTCCCTCTACCACCCCGAACTTCGTATCTCTTTTTCCTTTTATCCCTGTGTTGCTTTGTATCCGGTTTCTGTTGCACAAATGCGAGGATCTCGGCGACTCACTCTTGTTCATCCCTTGCTTATACTGTGCGGCAGTGTATACCTCGGACTGGGTCCAGAGTCCACTCTTGAATTCGTGATACCGTTGCGCTGCAGTGTTTCACTTGCACGAGCACGAGTACGGCCCGGGTGTGAATGTGTGTGTACAGTATGAGTTTGAGTCCGGTTATCGGGACGAGGGGATGGCATGGAAGATGAGAAGAAATCTGAAGAAGCAGGTACTTATTTACATCTACATCGTCATTTTATCGGGTTGAATGCAAAAAGGGTAGACACGACACTAGCAAGAGAATGCTTCTATAGCCGATAGATAGTTGTATAGTTACTAAACATTACGAATATCTACTAAGGCCGATCTACGAAAACACAATGTTCATATTCATGACAGCTTTTTCCATTCGCGAAACCGGGTATGTAGCAAAAAAAAAGGGGGGGGATGGCGAAACGCGCAACTATGCATCTCACAGTATTAAAAGGGGGCAAATGATCAGGGGAATGGAAAAATGAAAAGCGTCATCCGTAAATCTCATAACGAGTCATCATACTAGGAAACCCCCCAAGACCGAGGTGGGAAGGGTCACGTCCATTGATGATCCCGTGAACAAAGAAAGCGAGGCCGGATCCGAATCGGAGGAAATGCACACATGCGTAGAGATATTTTTCCCTTGATTCACACGAGTTCCGATGCTCGGGGGTGGCATGTAACCCAGAACTTAGATCTCGCCGTGTGCACGCTTCTCGGCGATCGCATCGGGAGGGAGGACATCCTCGATCGTCTCGTCGGTACCCTTGAGATCGTCTTCCACGGGAACTGTATCGCGGATGCGCAAGAAGATGACGGGGAGGGCGACGATGAGGGAGCCCGAGAGGATACCCCAGTTGGAGGCGAGTTCGTTCATGAAGGGGGTCTCCTTGCTGTCGAGGGACCACATCACGGCGGCACCGGCGGATTGCAGACCCTTGTAGAAACCGGCCAAGTTGGCGAGACGACGACCAGAGTTGCCGAGGGCACCCATGAACCTAGAAAGAAATGATTAGTTTTGGGAGCCTCGATGGAGATTGTTGGGGAGGAAACGTACCAGTAGACAACGCCTTGCCAGACAGCATCATACATGCCGTAGAAGAAGTACAAGAACATAGGGCCAACGTAGCCCTTGGTGGTCCAGTCCCATGGAACGAAAGTGCCGGCGGCGATAGCCTCCTTGCCGACATCAGCACGGGTGTAGTGCTTCTGCCAGGCATAGCCACCACCCCAGATGACCATGGTCAGAGTAAACAGGACACCAAAGGCGATCTTGGCACGGACACTGCGACGAATACCCTCAATATCCAACAGAGGGCCGATGATGACGGCGGCCACAATCTGAGCGAACCAGTACAGGAAGCCGTTGAGAGCCTTGGTACGGGTATCGAAGTAGGCACCGTTGATACCGTTCTGCTGGTAGGTGTAGAACCAGTTGGAGGACCAGAACATGGGGAAGAGCAGGATGATGTAGGGCTCGGCCTTGACGGTCTCCCACAGACCGTAGATCTCGGTCCACCAGCTGGGGCTCTTCATCAGAATGACACGGGAGCCATCCTCGCGGACGATCTTGTCGGCATCGCAAATGAACAGGGCCAGGCAGGCACCGAAGAACATGAGCACAATGAAGGCAATGTAGGTGCCATCACTGACGGTACTGTTGGTCTTGACGTTGATATTCTCTCCAAGAGGGATCTATAAATGAAAAAAAAGGTATGAGTTTAAAGTTGGTAGTCGGGTAATGCGGGCATGCGCAGTGCCCGCATTCCAATGCGCAAAGTACAGCCATCACTTACCAGACTACCAATGCAAGCACCGACGTTGAAAATGGCCCAGAACCAAGCAAAGTAGCGACCTTTGGACTGCTCCAGAGGGTAGGACATCATGATGGTGCCCTGAGCAGTCCACAGCAGACCAGCGCAAACACCCAGGAAAGCGCCAGCAAAGATGTTGAAGCCGGGGACATACTTGTGGACGGAGACGAGCAGGGAAATCGAGTAAAGACAGTAACCAATGCCACCAAAGGACAGAGAGGCGCGAACACCCAGACGGTTGACAATGGTACCGGCGAAGAAACCAACCACGGCAAAGGTACTGTAGAGGGCAACATTCTGTAGACAAAAGCAAAAGGAGAAGATGGTCAGTGGCCAGTCATATCACGAATTTCCACGATCGGAAATTCCCACGATCGGCGCACAAGCCCGACAGAAACAGCCACGCGGGATGGCGCCGAGTTTTGAGCAGGAACTTACCATTTGATCGGCCAAATGAGCATCGGCCTTACCACCACCGCCGAGACCACCGAGAGCGTTGAACATGCCGGGGCACATGAAGCAGACGAATGCGACCATGCCGAGCTGGAACTTGGGGGAAGCATACCAGCCGACATTCCACTTGCCGACACCGATCCGCTTGTACATCCAACCACGGGGGCGCACGACGTCGTGCTCGGAGGACGAGTCGAGACCAACCTCGGTGGTCGGAGCCTTGGATTCAATCTCTGCCATGGCGAACAATGTGCAAGAGATTCACCCGAGAGCGGGGAGGTCGAAGAGGTGTTGCAGTGGTGGAGCGCGATCGGGCGCGGAGTGGAGGAGTTGAAGGGGTGGTGTGGGTGCTGGAGGAGGAGAAAGAAGATCGCGGGTGTGGGGAAAAGAAGAAAAAAAAAAGAAGGGGAGGAAGAGGAAGAGATTAAGAAGGAGATGGGGGTCTAAAAAAGATCGCGAGACGCGAAGGGGAGGCAGATTGACCAAAAAAAAAAAACACACGGGCAAGGTAGCTTGGAAGAAACTACGACTGATTCGGAGCTGTCGAGCATGAGCCGAGTAGGTTCTGTCCTCATGATGGACCTTATGGGGACTGGGGAAGAATCGAATACTACCACGCGGCAAGGTAACATCCAAGCTGCCCCCAGAAAATAGACTAATCCAGTCAACAGTACTCCTGTGGAGTCACGGTCCAACTGGCAATGCAGAATAAGCCGTTGATTAGGTGAGGAGAGTAGTAATTGGATGATTGACTCGGTAGTGAGTAAGGTACAAAGGCATGGTAAACATCGTAGCTAGAAAGAAGGACGGTTACATAGTAGGAGTAGTTGTTGTTGGGTACGGGTATTAGGAGGTGAAGCGGGCAGGGCCGCTTTGATAGCAGAGTTACACTTGCCAGGATGGAACATGGCCCTTTGTTTGCTGCTGGCGAGGACGGTACCTACTAGTAGATTGGGGGATTCTAGGGTACGGGACAAGACTAAGCGATAGGGAAATCATGGAGAGTATGGTACTCCAAGTCGCGTGACGGAGTCTAAACGACGTGGTATTATCCACCTCCACCTTTTCCGCTTCCTGCTCGATCCTCCAAAGTATGGAGTATGGAGTCCAAAGTCTGGAAACCTGGAGTATACATTCTGGAGTTAAACCAGTGGCTCTCTCTGGAGGAAACGAGGTTATGTGACCCTGCCGTATTGCCGTTGCATGGGGTCCCTTTAGTGGCTGAATGGCTTGGGAAGAACACTTGGAGCCAGCCCTTCAGGGGGGCGCAAAGCACTGAAAGGACAGACCAGTCGCACGCGTTGATTCCCGTGGGCTGGCTAACTAACGGCAGATTAGGGAAGAGGAGGATGGGGATGTAGACCAGTCAGAGGCCGGGAATAGGGGGCCCGAAATTGGATGCTTTGAGTCTAGATGGTGTGGGGAAGGATATACTAGCTACAATGGGTTTAGTGGATGTAGTTTTTCTCGCTTTAGCAAACTCGGTTCCCACGTTAACCCCGTCTGGGGTTAGCGGGGGCGGGCTATCGGGTGATTCGTGAAACATTGCTCGAGGCATGTGCAGTTCGCCAGCAGATCCAGTAGAAGAGAGTCGTGGCGACGGCAATTCTGGAGGTAACTGCAGATTTGATCTGAGACATGGGATTTGTAGCAGGGTAGGTAATAATAGTATCGCTATTATACCTACCGAACGGCAGGATTTAAAATCTAAGCATTTTCTCCTGCAAGGCCCTTTTGGCTTATCTGCACCCGTCCGTTGGGGCCATTCAGCTGGCCCGCTTTCTTATCTGGCCTTATCTCTTATCGGCTTATCGGCTTATCGCAGGACTGGCAGATCAGCGCGATCGTCGGATTTCAACCAGCCTTGTCGCACAGGGTGACCCAGTTTAACATTTGGCCTGCCATCACAGGCTAGAATGATCACAACAATATATAGACATTCAAGTGCAGATAACCAAGACAGATCAATATCGATCTTCTCAACGTCGGGAGCAGACTATGATAGATAGAGATCCAGTGTCTGAACCCATTCATTCCACACAAGTAAAGTAAACAAGTCGAATAGAGTCACTTGTTTATAACTTCTATATTTCCAACCAGTCGTTGTCTGTTCAAAGATTGCACGTATGGCGAGTCAGCGTGAGCCAGGCATTCATTGTAACAGTTGCATATTATGCCAGGCAAGTCTCGACCGAGATAAGATAGCCATCGCCCATGAGAATGGCGTGTTGCTTGTTATCATGATCTCATATCAGAGTGTAACAGATCGGTAGTATTGAGTCGCATGATAATGGAGCTACGAAATGTCAACTGGTTCTCGAAATAAACTCTACATGGAAGACCCACCCATCATTCTGACGCTCCCATGATTAAGCGGTCTATAGTAACTAACTATCTAACTACTTAAGGAGGCCATGCTTAAGCAGTAGCTTGTGAAACCCGGCGAAGTATATTGGAATCATCCACAGCTCCACACGCAATGTTGTTAAATTAAAGTATACCAAAATGGAGCTAGGTCGTTTCCCAGAATGTCAACCGTTTTGCCTTGATGCACCGTCTCAGAGATATATGTTTGGATTGTGTCGCCCGTCTTTCTTTCCAGTCGTCCTACGGATGCAAGCTAGCCCGACTGCTTAAGTTCATTCAAGGTACTTCATCGAAAGAATTGCCATACAAATAATATAGTCTACCCAGGAGGTTATGAACAAAATCAAGCTTGCTAACTTTTAATATATGTTGGGATTTCGAAGGATTGATTCTGACTGCGGGGTTCTAGGTACGGTGCCAGGCACCTAGGTCCCACTCCGCGATGTAGCCTTGTTCCATGTTGATTAATAGATTTTTTGCGTGGCATGAGGGCATGTCATCTCTATTTTCAAATTCCACATTATGGAGGTGGAGTTAGGGTCGGGAATGGTCTGACAGGTAGCAGGCTAACATGCCTGATTCCCCATGGTGCCCTTAAGTTTTATCTTCCGGGCACTGAGCGCACTCTGTCGGCTACTCTATGGTATTTGGTCAATCTCGATATTAATTGTGGATGTATTCACAACTAGGTCTAACATTGAACACGATAGTTACTTACCTCCCGGGCTAACCTCACGATTCGCCAAGCACATTGGGTTCGTATTCATTGAAGCCAAGACCCACGGCGTCTGTCAAAGGAAGGAAAGGTGAATTTGTAATGGCCAAATACGAGGATAGCATTTGTCATCTGAAGAATAAATAATCAGTCAATTTGGGTATGTCGTCATTTCCTTCAACGTATTTATATTCACCATCTTTGCTGTCGCATTGAAGTCTACTACATTTTCAATTAGCATACAGTAAATTGCAAGCATCCATTTACTAGCAGTTTCCCCATTCTATTCCTTAATCTCACAATGACCACCCTTCGATATTACATCGTTGATGTCTTCTCATCCATAGCCTACAAAGGCAATCCACTCGCCGTGGTGGACAACAAGGCCGATGCTCTCACAAAATCACAAATGCAACTGATAGCCCGCCAATTCAACCTATCCGAAACGACATTTATCTGTGCCCCTACCGCTCCCAACGCAGATCTACGCCTACGCTCATTCCTGCCCAATGGAGAGGAAGTCTTCGGAGCAGGTCATAATTCACTCGGCGCCTGGTGGTGGGCTGTCCATTCGGGAACTCGCGAAGCACCACAGAATCATACTTCACGTATCTATCATCAACAACTCGGCGAAGCTGTGTTACCCGTGGAGGTCTCTAGATCGCCTAAAGGGGATATCAACATATCCATGCGCCACGGTGAACCGCAATTCCTGAACGAACATGCCAATAAAGCGTCATTGGCAGATTCCCTCGGGATCGAAGCTACGGATATCGGACTCCAAAGTCCGTCGGGGACCACCCTGTTCGACGAAGCGCAGGTTGTAACGACCTCCCCAGCTCGACACCTGTTGGTCCCTCTGCGCAACAAAGAAGTTCTTGACCGGGTGACATTCGCCAATAAAGAACGTATTGCGGAGGAGCTTGTTAGCACGGAGAGTCACAATAGTGGCGTTTACGTCTTTACGGCTGTGAAAAGCGTGAATGGAACTCCGAGATTCGAGGCGAGATTCTTTAGTCCCGGGATGGGGATGGAAGATCCGGCTACTGGGTCTGCAGCGGGGCCTTTGGCGGCGTATGTATGGAAGAATGCTAGGGAGCTGGTCTCTGCTCAAGATGACGAAGGATTGAAGGATGTTGGTATAGAGGTTGTGCAGGGGTTGAAGACTGGGAGAGAGTGTCTGATGAAGGTGATGATTGGTCGTCCAGGGGCAGTTGGAAGTATTGAGTTGTCGGGGACCGGTGTGTTGGTTGCTGATGGTAATATTGTTGTGCCTTTATCCGATATTGTTTTCTAGCAGAACTTGATAGACATTGGCACAGATTGTGTGACATGCCGAAAACCTAGCTTTCATAACTTAATCCAGTTCTTTCGCACACGATTAGATAGAGGAGAAGATTGTACGTGTATACCATTCCCTAGGAGGAGGCCAAGCCACAAATATACAATACAACGGGTCTAGATTATTTCGGATTCCGAATATGCGTATATTCATTGCCCATCTATTACTCGCTTTCTTCTTCCATATCTCCACTACTCTCGGTTTCCTCTTCTCCCTCTTCTTCTTCTTCTTCTTCATCTTCCTCATCTTCCTCATCCGTCTCCATCGTCCGCCTTTCCCGCTTAAACTGACCAGGCTCAGCTTTGATCTGCGTCCCAGGTGGCCGATCCACATCCATCGCATCCTCATCAGGATCCACCGCATCACTGGCCAACGTCACCCGGTTCACTTTCCGCTGTGAATCCTCCTCGTCGTCACTTTCCTCCGCACGCCGCGCCTCTTGTTCTTCTGCACGACGTACCCGACGTTGCAAGGCGGTATCGCGGACCAAGTCCTTCGCAGTAAGGAGGATTGAGCATACGGGGCACTTGACGGCCTTGACGCGGGCTGGGCCGCCGGGCATGGGCCGTGAGCGCGCGATCATATCCATGATAGCGTCGTGCTCGAAGCTGTGTGGGCATTTGGTGCTAGTGACTGGATCCCGGAAGCGGACCAAAGTCACGGGGCAGTACAAGGAGATGCGTTCGCGCTCGATGGCGATGTCGTCCGAGTCTGCTGGGGATGGCTGTCGCTGGTTCCGTGTTCGGCGGGCTGAGGGGCTACCACCAGAGGCACCTATGCCAGAGCCAGCATCGGGTTGTTCCATGTGCGAGAACCATGTAGAAGAGTGTGGCATGGGTGGGGCTTCGTTATCGGGATATTTGGAATCATGCATCATGCGGTAGAATCCAGTATAAGTATTGTTGTTGGCATATCTACATCGCACGGTGTTAGAAGGAATCAAAGCGTAAACGGACAAAGTCCAAATCGGTAATAGACCATACCTCTGAGTCAATGACAGCTCTTCCCACTTTCGTTGGCCCTCGGCCAGCGAGGCTTGCAGCCTCTGCCGAGGCGGATTCTGTGCATTGCGCTCGCGAATCTCCCGCACAGGCGTAGGCTCGCGCTCCGGTTCGGCTTCATTCGCTTCAGCGTCTTCATCCTCATCGTCCACTCGTCGTGTCGCGCGCCGCTGACTCCGCAGTTGTCGCTGGCCTAGGACATCGGTCTGCAATCTTGCTTCCTCCTTATCAAGCTTTTCCAAGGCATCCTTCAGTCCGGCAGATTTGACCTCACTATCAACGACTTGCCGCATTTTCTCCTCCAAACGACCGACGATAGAATTCACTTCTCGTTCCTGCTCCGCAAGGCGCTGATACTCTTCATCCTCGCCCTCGTCGTGTTCCTGGTCACCTTCCTCGTTTCGCCGTTTGTCTTTCGCTTTCTGGTATCGGATTTGCGCATCACGGAGCCGGTCGCTCACTTCGCCAGCTGAGATGGTGACATTGACGCCCGCGTCGTGGATGTGTTTCTTTACTGTCTCGAAGTAATGTTTCTCGAGGAGCGTGTGCAGCTGGCGATGGGCCTCTATGGATAGAGGGGCCTCGGGGGTCTGGTATCCTGGCACCTCCGGACCTTCTGTGTCTTCGGGGGCTGCGGTAGCTCTCGCGGTAGATCTTGGGGTTGCTCGTGAGCGGACGCTGGGTGGAGGGCGAGATTGGGACAGGGATGTGCGCTGTCGCGCGGGGGTCGCGGAGAGCATCCTGGCGGTGGAGGGGCCAGACCAAGATTTATGATTGACCTTTAAATTTGTGAAGCTTTTGAAAGACTAAAGTGGGCGAAGGCTGCTAAATGATCTGTCTTTGAGGTGGTGGGTTGAGTAGACAAAGCATCTCGAATCCTAACGCGACGCGATTGCACTAGTCCTGATTTGGTTACATTACGGCGATAAGCTTATCGCCCTCGACTACAGAGGTATGCACACATAAAGACTTGAGAACTGCCGTTGGACTACGCTATGAATCACTAAATAGTGGTATTACAGCCGGAATCTCTTTCGAGACTCAGCACAGCCGGTGACGGAGCATTACTTTCATTATCTGTTTTTCTTAAAGTAGTGTCGCTAGAATATGCATAGGCGATTGAGATAGATACAGTTTTAGACCTTGTAGAAACAGAAAGCATGATAGAAACCTGCCAAAGGTTAGCAATGACCTACGCCGTGTGGGATCCAAGCACTTACTAACTGCATCCTTCTCCTCCTCCGTCATCAGCAGTTCTCCAGTATTGCGGTCCCGCACTCCCATGCGCTCACTGAGCGGGCCCAACTCGCGATCGTTCTTCTCATCTTCCCAGATCTCGAGGAACGGCTTGCGGTACTGTAGCTCCAAATTGTAATCCTCGGTCAAGCTAGAGTACAGTTAGCATCTCAGAACAAATAAGACCTTCTGATGGTAAACTCACGCTCGGAAGGCCTCCCAAGGAACAACGTATTCGGGAACACCCTCAACCGCCTCTGACATAAAGTACGTATACTTCCATCCAAAGGGCGGACGGAAGATGCCATTCTCAGGAGTATCACCAGGGAAGCGAACACTGTAGATATCATTGCCCCATCCACACCGTTCCTCCTCTTCGACCTCGCCATCCTCGGGGCCTTCGGTTTCAGCCGGCTTGGTGGCTTCCTGCTCCTTGCGCTTCTTGTGGAAAGCACTGACTTTGCTGGTGATCACGTCCGAGTTCGGGCACACGCCAATGAAACGACCACCCTTCTTCAGACAGCCAGCAACGTTGGTGAGCATTTGACGAGCCTTCTCCTCACTTTCAAAGGCATAGTGGATAGCAAACATGGAAGTGACAACGTCAAATCCACCACCACCACTCCATCGCGACGCCATCAGAGAGCCACCAGGCCCGGCATTGGGGTCAATGCCGACGCGCTGGATGATGTCCACGTCAGCCAGGGACTCGCCGAAGCAATCCTTGGTCGCAAATTCGGCGTGAAACAGATGAGGTGGTGGCCGGCGGCCACGGCCACCTCCACCACGAGATCGCATCTGACCATATCGATCCCGTGCTTGTTCAATGGAGATATTGGCCGGGTCGAGTCCAACGTATAGTTCCACCTTTTGCGGGGCAAGCTGCCACTTGCCCAAGTCACCACCCTTGCCACACCCCAAGTCTAAGACAAGGAGCTGCTTTTCCTCGACCGCATTCGGGCGCATGCTATCATCAGCCCATTCCTTGGTATCGTTGAAGCGTGCAGCAAACTCCTCATCGGGCGAAAATTTCTGGATCAACGTGCTCTTCACCCAATTGTTGAAACTGCGCAGCCCCTTGATCTTACTCTCAGTTTTGCGCCACTCGCGGCCACGCTCAGGTACGGCATTGTAGTGCTGTCTGACCACGTCGGACACGCCCCGATCTCGTGATGTCCGCATTGCATCCTCCTCCATCGCACGCTCGCGCTCCTCCTGTCGTCGCCGCAATTGTTCGGGGTTTAGCAGGCCCGCTCGCGCACCACCGCCAGGTCGCTTGCGCTGTTTAGGCTGTTCCTCGGGCTCTGGCGAGCGACGCGGTAATGGGGAACGCGAGCGTCTCGAGTAGTCATCGCGTGGTGTGGCATTGCTAGGGCTGCGGGATCGATTGCGTCTAGAGTAAATCGAGGGAGGAGGTGTGCGGCCGCGTCTGCGAGCCTGGTGCCGTTCCTGCATACGCTTGCGCTTGCTGGCCGGACCAGACTGGTGCTGTTGATCAGCTCCTGGGGCGAATCCATTGTGCTGTGCGGTGGGACCAGAAGGGGGAATAGCGCCGTTCTTGTCTCCTTCAGCAAGGTTTGACGTGCGAGCCTTGGGAGCGCCCGAGCCTGGTGAAGAGTCCATTTTATCGTAGGACACCGTCTGCAGGTGATGAATCGAGGCGAAAGTGAATTTCTTCAGGGAGAATGGATTTGCAGTGGGTGCGAGCCAGCAATCAAAGAACTCGAATAACGGTGGGGAAAAAAATGCAAACCCGGTGGATATGATTGATTGAGAATATGAAAGAGCTCGGTTCGTTCACCTGAGACTCGCTGAACTTGAAAATTGAAAGAAGTTCTTCAAGAATGACTTCGGCGGAAGAAGGGAGCTCCGCTGCCTGTGGGTCTTGGCCGCAGCTGCCGTAATCAAAGCTCCACTCACGCTGATGGAGAACCTCGTTTCCCTACCATGATTATACTGTACATTGAACCCAGGACGTACAGTAGTTTTCGAATTCAATTTTACCACACAATCTTTCGACTTGAGTCCTGGAAAACAAATCCTAGGCAAGCTCATCCCCTTTAGGATCACCGCTCAATTAGCAGGGCAGAACTACGGTGGTAATGGCTGTACGATGCAACGACACTTAGTGTAATAATATTGTAACGATTAATAGAATCTTTCCAGAGTCGCTTGGTCGATCTACCAAATCAGTGTCTACCTGATTTTTGACCGAAAGAGCTTATGCTATGTGTGATCCTTGTTGGGAAGGATATCTCGGATTCATGAATTATGGAACATGCAACGCAGAGGCACAACTCGGATTATGCGCCACTTAAGTCTCATCACATCGAAGGCCCTTTAGCTGGTGACAAGGTAGGGTTTCAGATTATGCTAGGTGGTGAATTATATGGGGAAGAAAAGAGCGACAAGAGAGATTAGAAGCGCAAAGGAGGAAGACAATAGCAAAGGGTGCCATATCATTGGTGCTAGAGTACCATATTCTACTTGCAACATCTTCAATGTCCTGCCCTCTCAGACTGCTGCCATAAATCCTTTCGGAAACCCTAGTCCTAGATATCTAGCTGTACAAAGCGCCATCCTAGAGCCAACCCGACTGGAAAATAGTCCCCCTGCTGATCCTTCTGCTCCTTCAGGTGAAGTTTTTTTTTTGGTGTCACGCGATCCAGCGCTAATATCTTTCCACTAATGGGGTCTTCGAAAGTGCCACCTCCAGGCATAGATTCTGGCCTGTCCAGTGCTGAACCGACTTCAAGAAGCAAATCAGCTGCAAAGGAAGGGTATAAATGAGTCTCTTCAATGAATTTGTAATCATCGCTTCGGAGATACCCTGCGACAGAGGCTGCAGCTATTGTGCGTCGTACTGGATGTTCTCGAGGCAAGAAGGTCGCTGAGATGATATGTTCACGGTCCATCCAATAAGTGTGAGTGTCGACAGGTGGCCCAAAGAAGTCCGTATCTGGATGTGGATTGGAGATGATTATCTCCCTAATATATTGGGCCATTGTGGTTTTTAGTCCAACAATATTGTACTTATCCGCGAGTCTAACGAGCTCCATCGCAGCCGTAATATGCTCTCGGGGATCCTCAATGTCAAAATTGATGATTCGACGGTATAACCATTGAATCAGTGCTTGAATACTGCGTACCGAGACAACGTATTCCATTTCTTCCAGGTCTGCTATCATATCCTGGCAATCTTTGACTTGACCTTCGAGCATTGCGGAAAATACCTCAGATTCTGCGCAGATCAGCTGTTTCGAGATCGTGAATTCATGATTGCTAGGCTTAATGTTGATCTTGACAAGAGGACCGTGATAATGAGGAAGGATACTGAGAGATCAAGGGGTTAGTACAAAATCCTTAACGAATGGACAGTGATCAATTCCTTACGCGGTTGCAAAATATGGAGCGCTATCCTCTGAAGCCTCACCCATGATTGCAAAAAAGAACTACTCATGCCACGTGAATGAATAGTGGTAAGTAGACAATTTTCGGATGGTTCAAGCCCTGTGCTCATGTGGAGAGAAGGTATGAGGGACGAAAATCCAACCTTGAGTTGGGTTTGGGTTTGGGTCAGCAACCCCAAGCCGACGCCGCGTTTGGTGACCTTCTGTCCCGTTAATTTCGTGTAAAATACACCACAAATAGTACGGGGAATAGTACGGGGAATCAAGTCCAAAGAGTGTGTGGTCAAACTGAATTCGAAAACTACTGTATCTAGTCAGGAATCAGTACCCTTCTCATGCTCTGCACGGCTAGGATTCAGCTCTGAATGGTAATGTATCGTCAAGGCACATTCATAGAGACGGTGTGAGCTACAGGTATTTATGTACCCCGAGGGCGCATTAGGCATCGTTAAAACATGTTGTCATTCTGTGAACTCAAAAGACAAGCAAATGCATGTGAACTCCTATTCCCCCCGACTTTTTTTTTCGATATTTTCGCTTTTCCAGGGTAAACACAATTCCAGCTTATGCAAACCATAATACGCAAAAAGTTCGGATCAACTCAACTTGCTCGAGGACAATTCAGCTCATAGTTAGCCAAGCCTTCAGTGTTCCTCCTTCGTGGCCAAATGTCTTCGCAGCTTAGTCTCAATATCTACGCACTGGTCACGCAGATATAGCAGGGTATCACGGAGATTCCGGAAGCGCCAATAGGGTCCCTCGTCGTGCAAAGAGCGTGCAATTGTGACGACATCAAGGTCCAGCTGCTGGATTTCACCTGTAAGGTTCTGAGCGAACTGGGCCAGGTAGTTCGGATCCAGTAGCTGAGACCTTCCAAGGTTGAACACACTTGTAGATTGAGCGGGACGATTGTCAAGGCAAGGTCTATGGCTGTTTATCTCCCGGACATCTGGATACGCCTGCTGCACTTGTGTGGAGTCACTAGTAACATCGTGACGGTGATCAAAAGTTGAATTGACAGGATGTTTCAAGCAGTCAACGGGAACATTCTCCGGATAACCTGCATCAGAGACAGTTGTAGTTTGAGACGAATGAATCCCAGGTGGGCGGCCCATAGATACGGCTGTACGGCAACTAATGACTGGACGAAACCGAAGAGTCGGAACGGGACGTGATGGTGGACTAGTCTCAGAGATTGGCTGATCTACCTGTAAGTCTTCGCTCTTTGAGGGCGTAGTCTTTTTGGCCTTCTTGAGAGAAGGCTTATGAGAATCAGTGTCGTCATCAGCACTGGGTTTAGCGGCGGCCATTGTCCCCTTTCGCTTGCGGCTGTGACCCACGCCTGCGTGACTAGATTCTGCAGCTTCGTATGCCTCCAGACGTTCCCTCCACTTGGGTGAACAGGACCTGAGAACCTCCTCCGGGAGCCGCAACTCACCGTTAGGATGTCGCTGGAATAGGATTTTATAGTATGCCGCGCGGATGACCCCATGGCTTGCGAAATAGTTTGTATAGCGCTGACGGATTCTTGGGGGCTGAGAGCAGAGACTTGCGATCTCAGCATCATTCAATTCGTCCTCGAGATTCGGTAGGCTGTCAAGATCGACAGTTACCTTCCTTCGTTTCTTTGACTGTTGGCTCTTCAAGGACGAGCTAGCAGGTTCGGGATCCGGAGAGGCATGGATGGCAGAGTCCGAAGCGGCCGTCTCGATGTGGGACTTGGGTGATCCGGGATCCAGCAGGTCGTCGTCGGCGAGCTGGCCGTCCCGTGTGCTGCCATATTCAGGGGCCATGCAGTATTGGGAGACCTCGTCATCCTCATTGGGAGCATTCAGGACTGTTATGCCACGGTGAGCGGGTGGATCTTGGGATAGTTCATCTGCAGGACCGGCCGTTTTAGTGGCAGCAGTATCCCCGGCTGCAGAAACTGGAGTGGTGCCATCATCAAGCAAGCCACTCTGACCTGCCATATGGCCGTAGATACCAAGTGGAGACACGGAGGCATGGATATCACGCATACCAGTGATGTGAGTTGTAGACATCGGGGAAGACGAAGGTACTACAGGGTATTGCCAAATTTCGTCTGCGACATTGTTGTCGGAATTGGCAAGCTCCGGGGAGTCGGCCAATCCAGGGTTGATGATGGTCGTAGGCTGTTCCTTGATATCCATTTTGGAATGAGGGTGAATTTGACGTTTTGGTCCAAAGATAGGGTACGTGATGAATGGCAAGGAGTATGATAATGACGGTAATTAAAAGATTGTGGCAGTGGAGACGAAGAAGGCGTAAGGCAATTGAAGGGAATATGTTCAAAGAAGACGTGAGGGAAGTATATCCTCGGCTGCTCACGATCAGATGGCTGGAAATGGTAAAACCGATTTAGCCAGTAATGGTTGCACTTGACGGATGTCTTCTGAAGAGATTAGGTGAAATGAGAGTTGCGGATGGAGAATTTTCTGTTACGGAGAGTGAATAGATCATGTAGGAGTTATAAAGAACTGGAGCTGTGGACGATGGCTTGATATGGGGCAGACCGTTGGGGTGTTGAGCTTAGTAGGAAGACCTGAGTACCTCAAGTGACGGATGGTAATAATTCGAAGTGCGAGCTAGGTGACGTGAAACTGCGAGATATAGTTTCACAGTTCATAGACGAGCCTCAGTGACTTTGGCGACAGTCAAGATGACGATTTTGGAACGCTATCATGCACTTGGTTACCTTACCGCTGAGACTTAGGTAACGAATATTAGCGACATAACTGACGGTAATTACTATGAAACGAATACTACGTTTCTCGTAGTGCGCCTAACATCAGCTAAAAGCCATCCTAGCTATACCACGAATAAGTCGCGAGAATAGCCGAAGGAACAGCCGTAGAAATACTCGCATCGCTAATAAGCACACTTAGAGAGCACTCCAGGAGGACTGGAGAAGTACTTAAGGGGCTCGAGGAGCTCAGAAGTAGCACTTAAAGAAGTACTCGAAGACCTAGTCGAAATCGTACTGAAGAGATCACTAAAATGATCAAGGGCCCGAAGAGCTTCGGGACATCGGGGTAGTACCTTAAGGAGCACTCAAAGGAGCTCTCGAAAGTCCCCTCGAAGGAACTCTCGCGACTTGGGTAAGAAATCTCCCCCGAACAGTTTCAGTCGTGCACTACTGCAAGTAGTACCAGGTCGCAAGTGTAGACGGAAGGAATTTCAGTATGGACTACGGTGTGGATTACAGTGTGGACTGTACACGTGGTATATACTACAAACTAAGCAAGTCCCTATTAAAGAATAAGTATCAGAATGTGGAGGTTTAGAGGAGGTCTAGAGTTGTATATGGTAGTGATGCTGGTGTGCAGATGAGCACTGAACAGGAGCTTGCCTGAGTTCAATTTGGAAACACAAACTGCTGACAACGTGATAGAACATGAACCGGCTATTATGCCCATAATGCCTGGAACGCCTTGCACATGATTGTAATGATAAAAGGTGACAAGAAAAACGGAAGTTGGATATTCAAGGAACGAATCACTGCGGAGGTGCAGGCTTGCGCCGGGGTGACTTATGCGTCAGGACATGTCTCATGCGTCGAATCTTCGCCCACCACTCACGATCTGCAGCTTTCTTTGTCTCTTCGTTCTCTGCAGTCTCATCACTGAATGTGTCTGCCGAGGGGGTGCTTGGTTCGGTGCGAAGAGTACCCACTGATGCGACAGAGCGTATTCGTCTGCGGTGCTTTACCTTGACAGCCTCGGTGACGATTTCCCATCCACTTCGTAGATCGGCAGTCTTCTCATTCGCTTTGCCGGTTCCACTCTGGGCTTTCCGGTCAACCCATGGGCAGTAGTCCATGTGCTCCGTAACCACGTCCAGGGAAGTGTAGACGGAAACCTCTCCGTTCTCCTTTGGCTTATACATCCAAAGGCCCAGGCGACGGAAGCACGCCCTACAAGCAGCTAGATCTTTGGACCCATCGATGGTTGAGTCCCAGCCAAAGAATGACATAGCCAACGCTGCTCGATTGATGTTTGGCAGCGGTCGGCCCGCTGGCTGCAGGTCAGTTTCGTTCTCGTCGCCGTTTGCTTCGGTGCTTTGATGGGTAGCCTCAGAAACTTTATTGGGCTCTTCGAACCAATCTTCTGGTAGTGATTTGACCATGCTTTCAAGATCAAAGCCCTCTGGGGTCCGAACGCTGTCATGAGCTGGCAGCTTATCGCCTATCTCAGCGAGGTGCAGGTATCGAGTACGAAGACCAGTTATGGCTGCATCTGTGTTTGTCAAAGGAAGATGTTGTATCGTAGCTGCAAGATAGTCAGAAAAGGTCATGAACTCTCAAGAGACCACAGGGCATACCATCACACCCCCTGTTCCTCCATGGGCAATTATCGCCATGCCCTTCTATGATTTGCTTCTGATATTCTTCCACTAGTTTTGCCCCTAGTTCAACTTTGTTAGCGGTGGCTCCATCAAATATCTCAATTATTTCCCATAAGTGTCAACATACGGACTTCCTTCCTCTCTTGAACTTTCTCCATATCAAACCCGTCAAGCTCATCGATCTCATCCGGAAGCTTGACAACTACCGAGCCGCCACAGCCACTGATGCAGCTAACCCTCATGACATCAGTGCAGATCCACCCTCGCTTGGCCCACTGGACTTCATTGATCGGAGCAGGTTTGGAGGTCCATCGGTCAACACGGCGAAAGGTCTCGAGGCGTTCGAGGAACCGTTCTCGATCCCAGGGGACGAAAGTAGGGCGCGTTGAAGAGGAAGAGGATATATTTCGGTTGGACGGTCGGGAAATCTTAAGAATGGAGTCGCGCACAGAAGTGGTATTAGCTGTATCGTTGTCGCTCAGCCGGACCTTTTTGATTGAGAGGTTGCGGTCTTGGGCTACAGTGGCGGGCCCTGTGGTGGATAGTTTCGACGCATTATCGGTCGCAAGGGGCTTGGAGATGGACTCCAGCACTCGATGGAATTTGCGCTTTTTTGACTCGACGGCGTATGACATATTCGCACCGTGTCGTGAAGCAATGCGGCGAACAACAAGTGCGCGAAGGAGCGGATGCGCCAACAAGCTCCCCAGGCGAAGGTGTTTCTGCCTCAGGCATGAATATCAGCACACCTCGCCACGAGCAACTTGTTGCCTTGGGTATTGAATACCCCAAGGCATAACAATGAAAAACCAATCAGAAAGGCAGGCGATCTTTCTTGCATCTATTCACTACAAAAAATGGATCAATCACCTTGTCTTGTTAATTTGTACTGCGCTTAATGAAGTCGAGCAAATCCCTGGCCGCTGATTGGCGCTCGGCATCCCGCGCAACATCTTATGATTTGCGCAACCAACGGGCCATTTCCTTTTTCTTTCCCCAAGGCATCTGCTGCCACCAGACAGTCACCATGGCTTCATTAAGCTCAGCTCTGCCTGCATGGCGGAGTATTGCACCTCGTCTGTCGAAAGACCTCTTTACCTGCAGACAATGCCTCCGAAACCAAGGCTTTGCCGTCAAATCCGTGCGCCGGTTCGCCGCAATGCCGTCCCCCAAGCCCAGCATGACCCGATCGTCCCTTTTCACCGATAAGAACCGTCAGTTCTTCACCTCGAGCCTGCGCCGATCCGTGGCTGCTCCAGCTGTGGGCGCTGCAGCTGAGGAGGTTGCTGCCAAAGCCAAGTCGAGCTTCCCCAAGATCAGCGACAAGTCCGTTGCATACTGGCTCCTGGGTAGTGCCGCGAGTGTGTTCGGTATCGTGATCTTTGGAGGATTGACTCGTTTGACTGAATCTGGGTTCGTATACCTCGTCGGTCCCTTTTATAGAAGGCATTGAGCTCTGCAAGCTAACGGATCTCTTTGTCTGAATAGCTTGAGTATCACCGAATGGCGCCCTGTGACTGGATCCCTGCCGCCCATGAATGCCGAGGACTGGGAGTCCGAGTTCGCCAAGTATCGTGCATCCCCCGAGTTCCAGCTGCTCAACCCGAATATGAATTTGTCCGAGTTCAAGTCCATCTACTATATGGAATGGATCCACCGTCTCTGGGGCCGATTCGTCGGTCTCTCGTTCGTTATCCCTGCCGTTTACTTCGTTGCCCGGAAGAAGGTCTCCACACCCATGGCATGGCGCTTGGCTGGTATCGCTGGTTTGATTGGTTTCCAGGGCTTCCTAGGCTGGTGGATGGTCAAGTCTGGTCTGAAGGATGATCTGTTCGCGCCTGGTAGCCACCCCCGTGTCAGCCAGTACCGTCTTACTGCCCACCTGGGTGCTGCCTTTACTTGCTATGTCGCTATGCTCTGGAACGGTCTTGCCATCCTGCGGTCCCACCGTCTCATGAAGGATGCTGCCGAAGGCTTGAAGCAGCTCGAGACTCTTCGTGATCCTCGGCTGGCCTTCTTCCGCCGCTCCGTTGCCGGTCTTGCTCTGCTGGTCTTCGCTACTGTCATGTCTGGCGGTCTCGTTGCTGGTCTTGATGCCGGTCTTATCTATAACGAGTTCCCTTACATGGGCAAGGGTTTCGCTCCTCCTAGCTCCGAGCTGTGGGATGCTCACTACTCTCGACACGAGGACCGGTCTGACCTGTGGTGGCGCAACATGCTTGAGAACCCCTCTCTCGTTCAGCTTGACCACCGCATTCTCGCCATGACTACCTTCACTTCCATCATCGCTCTCTTCATCTACTCCCGCCGCTCTCCTACTGTGAGCCGTCTCTTGCCCCCCGCGGCTCGCAAGGGTATGCACGGTGTTGTCGGCTTCGCCTGCATGCAGGTTGCCCTCGGTATCTCCACTCTGCTCTACCTCGTCCCCACACCGCTTGCTTCTGCCCACCAGGCTGGTAGCTTGTTCCTCCTCACCTGGGTTATGGTGCTGGGTAGCCGTGTTTGGCACCCCTCGCGCACAGCCAAGCTTCTCCAGATGGCTGCCAAGGCTCGTGGCCAGCAACTTTCCAGCTCCACTGCCTCGGCCATGAAGCGAGTGTAAAGAACATCGCAGTTGATTGTATGAATATGTTGAGCAAGGCAGACTTTTGCGATCTTATAGCCTTGATGTTCCGATACCATCTCCATTCCTTTCCAGACTTATTGACTAGCTCAATGGTCTTCTGTATAAGTATCTTATCTACATGTTATAAAGACTAAAATAAACCGAACAGTCTATGCAAATGCAAAGTCAAAGTGCAATCGTTCCATTGTAAGCTATTCGAGATGGCGCTAAGGTCTTCGTCATTCCCATTCAACATTGAATTCATAGGTTATCTTCTTCGCATCTTCACTCTTTCATGTCGGCCGGTCTCGCTCTGCGGGATGGATTCCGACGCACATCGACCAGGTTATCGGGCAAAATATCATCATCAGTCTCGTCCTCCGTGTCGATATCTGGCAGAATCTCAGTTTCATCGCTGTCAAATCCAGGGCCATCATCCACGTCTCGCTTGAATGGTTGAGAAGGGCCAGCAATCGTTCCACTGCCATGAGTATGACCACTGGTCGTCCGTGGCTGGCCCCTCTCCCAGCTGTCGTTCCTGAGACTGAGAAGAATCGCAGCTGCCTCCTCCTCGGGTGTTTCGTATTGTACAGCCGCCCTTCTCGAGATATTCGGGGCTGGTGCGACAGACGGCTTCTTGACACTGGCTCTAGCTTTCGGCGTGTAAGTCGTGTCATTGGGGACATGTAAATTCCCAGCTTTGGGATGTGTACGATCTCCGCCTCTTTCGGCGAGACATTGACGGCAGCATTGCCATCCACATGGCTTACAACGCACCATACCGTCCGTGTTGCGTTTGTCGCACACATCACATTTTGCTGTGTGGGCGGCTAGTTCTTCGAACTCGACTGGCTGCACTGCTAATTCCCTCTGCGGAACCTTGAATTGACGAGGTCGAAAGGGCAAGGATGCCTGTAGAGGTCTTGGGGGATTGCTGAAGGGAGGTGATGCCTGTTGAGGTGACTCATGTCGGCGAGATGTAATCCATGATGCACCCTCGGGGGATCTGAGAGGATTATTGCGAGGAGGTGTAGGCTGCTCAGGTATCTGGTATTGGCGAGGCCGAGGTGGGAAGACGCTTGGAGGGGTTCTCAAAGGGTCGCTGTGAGGAGGTGTAGACATCTGTCCATAGTTGGTGGTACGGGTGATGATGGGCGAAGGGGTGGGAGTTCCTGTTGGCGATGGGGTTTAGCCTACAATATGAAGTTTGTTGAGAATAGATACATGGACCTACCTCTCTGTGGAACTGATTCATGGGGCTCATCGGTATTCACCACTGCTCTGGTTGATTGGTGCGGCGAATCATGATAGTAACCTGGATAGCGAGGCCACTGCATCAATTCGAATCACCCTGTCAGTAAACCGAGAACCATGGATATTGAAAAAGGAACATACATGGCCATGCGGATGAGGAACGTATCCGAGAAGCTTGTTTGCCTTGATACTCTAGTTAGCTGAGTCTTGATATGAAGTTATTGACACCGAATTGTCAAGGAATGGTTCAACTCACATCTTGATCTGGACCACTTGGCTGGTACGCTAAGTCCAACGCCGTAAGTGGTAGATGCCTCTCTTGTGGTGTTCCTGGAGTGCCATGAAATCTGTCCATGCCTGGTGTCCTTGGATTCAAGATCATATTACCAGTGCTGAGCGGAGGTCGAGGCGAGTCTGATAGTCGACGCCTCTTGGGGTCGGAAGGGTCTGGGAAAGGACTCTTCCTACCACCCGGCTTTGGCGGCCCTTGTAGAGGAAGCATGGTGAATTTTGGAAATTTGCAGGATGGAACAGAAAGTTGAGGACTGGAAGTGGTTGGGAAAGAAAGATGGCAGAGTGATGTTTTTCCTTCATTTTATGCCAAAACCTCTGTGAGGAAAGTGAGACAAACAAAAGTCTGGAGAATGCCATGGGTTACCTCGAGACAGACGTACACACTAGAAAACAATCAATCAGACAGATTCTACCATGAGATAGAGACCGTATTTCAGAGTTCTATCACATTGCTTAATGCTATAGCTTGATTTGCTATAGTGCCGAGGCTCCATGGTTCAAAATTGCCGAGTCTTCATGACCCTTTTTCGGATGTTTCATCTTGGAGCAAAGATCTCATGAGAACTCGTAAATGTGAATGGTATATTTTCTATTGCAGGTTTCATTCTACTTCACACCATACAATCCCTTTCGCATTCACCCCAAAATCCATGCAGCCATCCGCATAATGACCACAGTGTGAAAACCTCCAGTATCAATTCACACGGGAACATGCAAAGTCTATTTTCCCCCAGTTTTATTCACTTATTTGTTGGCTGTATGTTCATGGTTAGTGAGATCGGTTCATGAAAATTGCAGGAAACTAACACCATACGGTTGCCTTCGTCGGACTGGGGTACACTACCAGCAGCATCAGCAGTGGTTTTGCCATGCTCTGCAGTCTTGTCTTCCTTCATCATAGGGAAGGCCAGCACCTCCTTAATGCTGTAATTGTCGGTGAGGAACATCACTAGGCGGTCAATGCCCATGCCCCAGCCACCAGTTGGAGGCAACCCATACTCGAGGGAAGTGCAGAATGCCTCGTCAACGAGCTGCGCCTCATCATCACCCTGTTCCTTCTGACGAGCCTGTTCCTCAAAGCGCAAGCGTTGGGTCCTCGCATCGTTCAATTCCGTGTAGGCGTTGCCTTTGGGTCCATGTCAGTTGTTTGAAGCAGGAAAGAGGTCGAGGGGGTCAAGAGAAGGGGCTTGAAGTTGAAGAAGACAAGATGGACTCGAAAAAAAGGGATGGGATGAAAAGACTTACAGATCTCCTTTGTCGCAACAAAAGCCTCGAAGCGTTCACAAAGACCAGGCTGACTGCGGTGCCACTTCGCCAGAGGGGACATCATCTCGGGGTGACTCATGATGAAAGTGGGGTTGATGCAAGTGCTCTCCAAGAACTCGCCCACCAACTTGTCCAGCATGCGGGCGTTGGTCAATGGTGGCGAGCACTCAACGTTCATCTTCTTGAGCACCTTCTTGAGGAATTCGCCAGTCTCGGCAGTGTGGAGCTGGTCCGCTGGGGGGAAAGTCTCGCCAGTAGCCTCTTCCAAGCCGGGAATCATCTCAATTCGTCGCCAGGGAGCCTTCCAGTTGATGTTGTATTCCTCGCCAGTCTGGGTATGGAACTTAGTCTCATAACCACCAGTGATTTGCTTGACCAAGCCTGAAACAAGGTCCTCGGTCATGTCCATCAAGTCATGGTAATCGGCATAGGCCCAGTAGAACTCGCAAGTAGTGAACTCAGGGTTGTGAGTAAGATCAATACCCTCGTTACGGAATTGACGGCCCATTTCATATACACGTTCAAGGCCACCAACGATAAGCATCTTCAGATACAGCTCTGGAGCAATACGCATGTACCTATAAATGAGGGTTAGCGAGATATAGAGGCATCGGGCACTTCGATAGAAGTAACGAACATCTATATTTCAAATTAGCGTAGTTCATGCAAATTGATCTGAAATCCATAGCTTACTTTCTGGTTGAGATCATTGTGATGAGTTTCGAAGGGCTTCGCGGTAGCTCCACCGGCAATTTGGTTCATCATGGGGGTCTCCACCTCGGTGAAATCACGGCTATCCAAATAGTTGCGAATGTAGCTAACGATCTTGGCACGTGTACGGAAAATTTCACGGGTGCGGTCATTCATGATAAGATCCAGATAGCGTTGGCGGAAGCGCAGCTCCTTGTCTTGGAACCCGTAGTGCTCGGAGGGAATGGCGTGCAGACATGGGGCCAAGAGAATGACCTCAGTGGCGAAGATAGAAAGCTCACCGTCGTCACGGTTCTTGGGAGAAGTACGGCCAGGGAAACCGACAATACCGATGATATCACCTCGGCGGAGATGCTCGTGCTGCTGCTCGAAGGGGACGCTGCCAGTGGCATTCTGGGCCTGACACATGACCTGGACCTTCTTGCCCTCGGCGCGGATGTCGTAGAAAATCAGCTTGGGACCGGAGGAGCGCTTGGTGTAGACACGGCCGGCGATGCGGATGGGGATTTCGGGCTTCTGCTCGCCCTTCTGGAGGCCTTCGTACTCCTTGAGGAACTCGCGCAGGTCGTTGTTGACTTGGAACTTGTGGGGATACGGGTCGGGGTTCTTGGTCTCGAACATCTTCTCGATCTTCTTGCTTCGGATCTCGAAGTATTGCTAATCAATTAGATGTCACGTATTAGCCTGGGTATCGCGTGCAGGTTATCGGATGGAGGTTGCGCGTAATGCGACAGTGGAAAGGCAGTTGCTTAACCACATGGGCGTCGATTGGAGTAGGAATTGGAAAGCTGTCGAATATGGATGGATCTGATCACTCACGTTAGGGGTCAGGTTAGCCTCCTCCTCCTCAGCAGAGACCTTCTTCTGGGCCTTGGGGGGAGCGGCAGCCTCCTTCTCCTTCTTCTTGGCCTCCTTCTCACGGAGCTTCAGTCGCTTCTTCAGCTCAGACTTGGAAACCATCTCGCCGGTAACCGAATCAAGCTGGAGGTTAGCCATGGAGGCCTCAACCTCCTTGACAGTGTTTTGATCCGCCATGTTGTCTGCTTGCAGGGAAGGGATCGGGGGGGATAGTGTGATGAAGTTCGGAGGGGCGCGCGAGAAATTTTGGGCGGGAGTCATGGCGGGGTTAGTCCGATTGGGCCGATTCTACAGAGAACGTTGCGCAGCCGTTTGTGAGTCACATACAACAATCCTTGCTTCTTTGTTAGATTATACTATGAGAACATCAATTTGATATTATCTTCAACAACACTATATCATCGTTGTTTCCATTGATTCTGTCTCGCAAGACCCTTGACCCTCCACGACCACCCCGCCATGGATGTTCCCAATTCGGAAATAGGGCTTAGGGCACCTTTGTGGGGCTTTTCAACGCTATACCACTTTGGGTGTAGAAACTATATAATATCAAATGCAGCATGTCAACTCAAAAGGAAGGCGTGGGCCGGAATGCAGTAAGTTAGCGTTCACAACAGCTTTACCGAGCTCCATAGTGACCCAAATGAATCTTTTTATTCCATGTGCCCCTAAATTAACATCACTTTGCCCCTGGGAGATGTACAAGCTATCTACAACCTAATAGTTAGATTCGCATATAAATAGTTGAAACAGAAAATGTGAGATGCCCGATTGGTGGTAAAAAGGATAATTAGAATGAGATCATTCAAATTATTTGCTCTTAAACCCTGGTCTTCCGATTCCAAGGCCTTTCAAAACGACAGAAATTTAGCTCTTAGACGTGCTCTGTCCTAGGCCAATCACGTTAAAAAAATGCAAGGGCCTTTATATGGTTGGATACCTACCCCTTAAGTTTTAGAGAATTGATAACTTAACTGGAGCAACAAATCTATTAGTAAGCGACTCAGGAAGGGCAAAAAGGGACTATCTAATAGACGCTTTAATTGATTCTAGTAGCTACAAATTCTGTATCGTAGAGATACATAGTGGATCATCTATTCCACGAAGTTTGCTTACAATAAAAAGTCCTGAGACATGCCGACAGCCGGCACCCATCTTGAAGTCAGCTGTAGCAACGGATCTTCTTTCTTGCGCAGCCAAAGGCGCCAAACATCAAACCATTTGGTTGTACCGGCAACTCAACAGAAGGGGGAAAGCAGCGGTCCTAGTAATAGGCCTGGTGGGAAAAATATGGTTGAATTACTATAGAAAATGGAAGACTCTCGCCTGAGTGGGTGGAGGTCTTTTCTCGATATTAGCACTTGGAACCTACGAACGTCTTACACATCTACAGATCACACACAAGAAGAGTGACCATTCAAAGTGAGCTTTCTCAAGAAGTACATATCTTTTAGAAGTTAAGGGTCATAAATGGCATATCGTAAGGAGTTGGAAGAACTTTCTAAAGAGATTTCATCAAAGGCCTTGGAGAAGCTGACATTAGGGACAAGGTTAATACCTAGATAGTGAGGGCAGGGAAGAAAGGTTGAAAGCAGACATGCACTATAAAGAAAAACTATTGCAACATCCGGTACTTTCCATGTTTGCCTGTTGGAAGTGATATAAGGTCCTTTTTCCCCTCCCTTCATCCCTCTACAGACTTACCTTACCACAACTCCTCGTCCGCCAATCCCAGTACCTGGTTCATGTCTAGAGAGACCAGGATTCTGCGAGGACCTATCCAAGGGGTTCTCACAGCCTTTTCAGTAAGCTATACGCTACACATTCACGGTAGTACATTCTCATGCTCACTGATTCTGTAGAACGATGACTTCTCCGCCAGCGCCATCTATTGATATGGAGGACATTGAACCACCTGTCAAAGCCGAGATGCCACCAGAGAGTCGTTGACTCCTCGACCCGGACGCAGACATATCCAGTGATCTATCGAGTGACCTGGAAAGTGATTTGACATATCCTTCCGATGGTGACATGGAGGAGGACGACGAGATGAACGATTGCATCAGTGATATCGGGTCCGACGACCTGGACAGTCTCTTGACCTACGACTCAGACAACAGCCTGGATGAAGATCTAGTCGATGATGAGAATGATGATAAAGAGTGGGAGCAAGAGAGTGTGGCATTCGAAACCCTGGATCCAAAGGGCATTAGCTACGACTCTGATGATGACGATTGCAAGAGTGTTATACACTAAAAGGAGGTCCTCGAAATCTACAATGAGATGGAAAGAGTGTGGAATCCCGCGAAGCCCATTCTTTCCATTGAATCGCGCCTTGCCTCTCAAACAGGGCATCAGCGACAGGTCCGACATCAAAATTTGTCGAAATTGCAACGTGGATAAATCGAGAAGTTGGTTCTTTGATTTTGTCAGTCAACCTGGCCTCACAACGCTCTTTTTGTGCGAGACATGCTGGGCCTATGCCATGCACCACGGAGGCCAAGACCGACCCGAACACCTCTGGGGGCGCAAGGCTCCCAAGTCCGGAACTTGCGATAATTGTGGAGTTGAGGAGACCGTTAGGTGGCACTGGCATCCACTCGACAAGACTTCGAAGCGATGCCACCCTTGTTATACCTTTCTCAAAGCCAGAGGACGTGAACGACCACGGGAAATCTACAAAAAAGACAGTGTTATTCTGACCTGGAACGAATGTGGCAGGAACTCTTTGCAGGTCAACGGGGTCTGGAGCCCCATAAGGGATGAACATGGTGCCAAAACCGGCTTGCACCGGTGCGCCGCCTGCGCAACAAGGCGGGAAAGAGAGATATTTGCGACAGCGGAGAAAGAAAATGACTATCAGTGCCGTCACTGTGACACAACTGACCTGTCTGTTGAGTGGCACACTGTTCGGTGTTGTGATTCATGTTGGAAACGGTTGAGACGGAACGATGAAATCCAGAAACTTCGAGACCGGGGAGAGTGCTGGAATTGCCGAGCCATTTTCAAGTCATATGATAGAGGATGGCGCGAAGAATTTGGCCAATGGCTTTGTAAGGGCTGCCGGTACATGATCGCTCACGATCAGTGTATGTTTATGGCCAACGTACATCTTTCAGGAATTGACATACGATGTGAGTTGTGCGAAACCCTTTACTGCGTCAGATGGGCAATGCTTTACAAAAACAAAGCCGACCCCAACGAAAGGGTTTTCATCGTCTGCGCAAACTGCCACAATCACTGCAAAAGAACAAAGTCGCTGGAAAAACTTCGTCAGAGCAGAAGGGACAGTGCCAGAGGCGATAAGGATCGAACATTCCAGGAGTGGCGAAACAGCAAGGCGGCGCTACACAACAGCCTGGAGATCGTTCTTTACCTGAGGAGAACACACTCTATTGACTACACTGTCCAAGGAGTTCTGAACACTTTGGTGGATTTCCAAGAGCAGGTGCCAGAGGCAGAGTCTTTTGTCAACAATTGGGATTTGCTCGAGATGATGGAAGCAGTGGGAGTTTTCGAACATGCTGGAATTACACTCACTGCTCTGGCGGATAATGCTTCCTAGATTTTTGGGTTTTCGCTTTGAGATCGCTGGGAACAGACTCGGTTTTGCCTGTTTGGGATATTGTTGTTGTTGCAAGTACCAAGAATGAATACAACTTTTACTGCTTAATTCAGAGATATGAGCCATCTACTGTTAGTCATGATATTCGGTGATTCTGTACACGAAATACTAAGACAGGCGTTATTTTTTGTACGTTGATCTTTTTTAAAGCTATGAACTATGATCATTTGCTGTCTCTTATAGTGGTGTGTAAGGAAAGAGCAGGTTCAATGCACAGAGATTTGACACCAGGTGACGAGAAAACACTCAAAAACCTACATCCCCACACTCATATCTCTGTTTACGGGCTACAGACCCGCACAATCAAGTCGCAGAGGTAATTTTCCATTTGAATCGCTGAGTTCATTCTTAGGTAGGATCGTCGCAGCTAACCTGCAGGGCCGATGTGCCGCCCGCACGAATACTCAACGAGCTGTTCATAAATACACTAAAAAATCGCTAAGCAGATGATGATGGCGATATATCAGAGTTGCTACTCAAAGTTTTAGAGGACTGGCGAAGGGGAAGAAGCCATTAACAAGCTAGTCAGGAAGGGTCAGACGAGACCATGTGATAGACGTGTTAATTGATTCTAGAAGCAACGAATTCTGTATGACATAAATAAATAGCGGGTTCAGCGCCGGATATTGATATGGAGGACATAAAGCCGCCTGTCAAATTTAAAATACCACCAGAGAGCGGTTGACTCGTCGACTCAGACAGCGACCTACTTAAAGACTTGGAAAATGACCGATAGATCCCCTTGGTGGTGACATGAATGTGGATAACGACATGAATGATTACATACATGTTATCGGGTCCGAAGACATAGGGAGTCGCTTAATCTACCACTCGGTTAACAACCTGTATGACGATCTAGTAGGTGATCATGACGATGAGGAGAGTGTGGCATACGGGACTTAAATCCAAAGGGGATTAGCTACGACTCTGACGATGACGATTGTAAGATTGCCATCCACAATAAAGAGGTCCTCGAAATATACGGTGAGACGACTGTCAACGAAATGATGGCTAAGAAAATTGGAACCAAGGCGGCTGTAAGTCAAAACCTTATCGCAAATCAGGGTGATACTAAGGCTGTTATCAAAGAAGATGCCCTCAAATTGGAGGCACATTCGGAGGAAGATGGTCCGTTTCATATTCATTCGTAGGAACGTAAATGCAGCTCTCGGTCATTATCTTTACGCCGGGACCACCTGATATCTTCGCCGAAGGTAGACACGGAGGAGACCTCGCGGGCAAGGGAAACCTCAAGAGCAAAAGTGGGTGAAGCTTGGGTACCTCCTATTTGAAAACATCATTCTGGGATTATGGCCACGACATCAAACTTAGCCAGAGTCACGAAGAGATCTAAAAGGGTCTTTTTCTGTCATGGATTTTTTGTCAGACACAAGCTCAAACCACGGTCCATCAAGATTGTTACTTTTGCGGCGGTTATGCCAGGGCTCGACCTCATGCACACCAATCGGGGTTGACTGGTCAGGTCAATCACGCGGAGATTGAACACTAGGTGACATGACGAGGAATCACTTTCATACCTACGTTCTCCCACTTGCTTCTTCATATGCGGGCTATAGAATCTCTGCGCAACCAACTTCCTAAAGGTAAATGTCCATCCGAATGGTTGGGTTCATTCTTGTAGGATCTCCGCAGCTAATCTGTGACAGGGACCGATGCGCCACCCACAAGAATACTCCTGACACTCAAGAATCACCCCCCAGATGACGGTGGCGACATATCGGAGTTCTCGGTCCCCTGGGGTCGCTCCGCATAGTCCGTTAGCTCCGGAACTGATGAACCCAACCGTAAACGTTCTTCCGCCAACTTGACCGCTTCATCCATAAACTCTCGAATACTGAATACCTCCGCAAGGAGGATAGTATTCTGGAGCTTATGAATGGCTTGAACAATCCATCTGACCCCGGTTTGCTTGTGGTGGGCGTCATTCTGCTTGATCGGGATGGTCTCAAGGAGGTGCTGGATACCCGCGTACGTGATGTCGTTGGGGATCTTGCCTATCATAATCCTCTCAACCATCGTCGAGCAGTTGGTCGGATCGACATGTGGTTTCTGTCGATAGCGCCACTCACGGTCAGGGTTGGACTCGAACTTGAGGAAGGAGTCGGGCTCAGGGACGTTGGTGACATCGTATGCGAAGCTGTCTCCGCCAGTCGAGACCTTGGGACAGATCAGGATCGACCAGTTATAGGCGCCGTATCCCATTTTCTTTCGGTTGTGTGGCAGGGAAAAGTCATCACGGTGGTGCAGCGTGATATAGACACGGCATTTGTTGCGACTTTTGAGCATCTTATCGAATAGCATGGTGATCAGACGAAAAGATGTGTAGGAGACTTTGTTCTGTCTTGTAGTCAGCAAGGTAAAGCATATAATGGTAGATGTAATGAGCTGACCATCAGACCAGCTTGACTTGACAAAAGGCTCGAGGGTTCGGAGGAAGACTGAGAGCTAGAATGGTCTTTTGCTCTAGGGAGAGGAGATAAAGAAGGAGCAAACAAAAGGAAGAACGATGAGAAGAGGAGAGGCCCCAAAAGGTGAAGAAGGAATATTCCGCTTTGGCCGAGAAGCCCAGCCGGCCAGATGAGTCGTCCTTAAATATCTTCTTCTTCGCCGGTTTTCCTTTCTCTCTTTCTCTTTCTCTTTCTCACCCTCCCCAACTCGACCATTTTCCACTTCCTTCAACCACTTCACAACTCTTCCACTCCTCAGCACAACTGTATCAAATCATCGCTGCCTGCAGCACCACTAGCTGTCCGTTCTTCCAGAGCTGCGGCTAACCACAGCGCGAGTGTAAATCCCTCCCAGATCTTAGCTCGCATTGGGGACCTGGGACCTCAAGGCAACTCGCCCTACACCCATCGAGCCTTGTATCTTCGATCTTCCCTAACTTTTCCTCAGACCTCCCCCATATTTCCATACAAATTTCATAACCCGCTTCAAGTCTTCCGGTACGTCCACTTCGAACCTCACTGAGCCAGCCTCTGTCGGGACTTACAATGACTCGAATGATGTGTTCTGGTCCATCTCAGATGACTCAACCAAAGAAGGAATATCAGCTCCCTTCCATTGCCAACATGCACAACGATAAGCCCTGGACGGAGAATAGCTTTTTTGTCGAGGCCTCTTCCACCTCCGCTGCTTCCCCTCAAGAGACAAATGGGTTTGATGTCATGACACTTGACATGACTGACCTGGTCAGGAAGATCCAGGAGCTGAGCCACCTCGGCATCGAGGACAACAAAATCGATTTGCCAAAGATTTGTGTTGTCGGCGATCAAAGCACGGGAAAGAGTTCTCTTATCGAGGGTATCTCCGAAATTCAAGTGCCGCGCAGTGCGGGCACCTGTACACGCTGCCCGATGGAGATCAACCTCTCTGAGAGCAAGCCCGGCGAGGCTTGGAAGTGTGTGATCTACCTGTCTCGGCGATATTTGTACGACCCCGGTAAGCACATGCGAGCCGTGCCGAGAAAGGCTCAGACTCTGGGACCATGGGTCCCCATCGGTGGTCGGGACGAGGAAGTTTTTGTCACCCTGACCGACAAATCAAATGTTAAGGACGCAATCAAGTGGGCTCAGATTGCTATCCTGAATCCCAGCAGCGATTCACAGATCTACGTTCCTGGCAAAAACCAAGGCACGGATGAGTCGACCACCGTGAAGTTCTCCCCAAACGTCGTACGTTTGGATATTTCTGCGCCGGGCTTCCCTGTGCTGTCGTTTTATGACCTCCCTGGTGTCATCAGTCAGCCAGAGCATGACGATGAGAAGTACCTCGTCAGTCTCGTCGAGAATCTTGTGAAATATTATGTTTCACAAGAGAATTGTATCGTTCTCCTGACTTTGACGATGACTGACGATGCGACGAACTCGAGTGCCGCGAGACTGATTCGCGACATTAAGTCTGCCAAGGAGCGTACTTTGGGCGTTCTCACGAAGCCCGACCGAATTTCTCGGATGGAGTCTTTTGACCAGTGGAAGGAAATCTTGGCGGGTCGCAAATTCAAACTGGGCCATGGTTATTTCGTTGTTCGTAATAATCAGGACCCCTCCGTTGATCATGCAAAGGCAAGGCTAGAGGAAGAGGCCTTCTTCTCCGACCCATTCTGGGTAGGATTACATTCCCAGTACCAGGATCGCTTTGGTGTTCGCCGCCTCCAGACGGCACTTTCAGCTATCTTGATGGATCAGATTCGGAAGTGTCTCCCGTCTCTGATCGCCAAGATCAACGAGAAAGCGTCGACTATTGACAATGAGCTAAAGACTCTACCCGATCCTCCGACTGAGAACTACCAGCGTATCTTAACGGAGAAAGTTGTCACGCTGGGTATGAAGTTTCGGAGAGTGTTTGATGGTGGTTCCGGCCACGGCGCATCGAGCAACATGCTCCAGAAGTACTGGAACCGTCTGGCCATGGATTTCCAGAAGGCTTTAGCAATTACGAAGCCGACTCTGATTACAGTCACTGCCTCGGATGTGGAGATCAAGCCGGAGAAGATGGACGCTGACTGTGACATGATCGTGGTTCCATCACCAGCACGGCTTAAGCGCAAGGCGCCCGGCTCAGATGCCCGATCGCCAGATGTTCAAAATCCCGTGAACCTGCAACCAGTTAATGACCACAGCTACTCCACCAAGGATGTTTTTGATAAGTGGACTGCGCCAAGCCGGAAGTTTTCCCTCCAAGAAATCCGTGACATCAAGGAAGAGTCCCACTGGGCGGGAATTCCCAACCAGATCGATCCCAGTGCGATCGAAACCCTTAATCGGGAAAGCGTCAAGCACTGGGATAGCCTGGCCAATGCCTTTGCGGTCGCGACCTGCAATCTCGTGTTGAGGGTGCTCGGTATGAATCTCGATGAGGAGATTGCCCAGTACCGCCAGACAGGTCTCTACCGAGAACTTCGTCGCGTTATCAACGAGTTCCTTAACCAGCTGCGCACGGAATTTCTAGATGATTCTATGGCTCATTACCAGATTGAGCAGCAAAGACCGTTCACGATGGCACAGTTACTTCACAAGGAATCTCAGAAGAACGCCCTTCGTGCGCTGATCGTTGGACGCAATCGTTCTCGCGCTCGCACATATTTACGGGGCGCTGGATTTGACGTTGATGATGAATCAAATATCGCTAACGTCATCAAAAGCCTGGGCCCGGATGGATACTCGCAAGAAATCGAAATGATGGCGGTAAGTTGGCACGCATTATAAGTGCCGATCTCCTGTTTTCTAATTTGTTGGTTTCTCTAGAGTTCCCGCGCCTACTACGAGATCGCCAGCTCTCGATTTTTGGACGTGATCTGCCAGTCGGCATATGCGAAAGTGTTTTCGAAATGTCGCGACGAGTTGATCGATGTCATAAATGATCAGTTGAACGCAAACTGTGAGTCTAATACACTCAATATTGAAGGGATGGCTCGAGCTGACAACATTATTAGCTGTTGATCGGTGCATGGAGCTGATGGCTGAAGATCCTGAAAGACAGCGCCGTCGCATCACCTTGCTTGGTGAGCGAGCAAAGCTGAGCAAGGCCCAGGAATGGATGGACTCGATCCGCTGCAATGATGACTACGAGGATACCGAAATGTCTGAGATCACTGTAGGAGACAGTTTCTCTCCGCTCACCGAGTGGATTGACGAGTCCATTTGAGCGGGGATGAACTTGGACTTGGTGAGTTAGAGTTGTGAAATTTTCATGATTACCTCCACTGTTTCGATCAATGTTACAGTCTGCGACATCTTTGACTGGAATTGTTTGAAGAGATACTCGTTGTTGTGAAATATCAGGTTGATTCTCGTGATTTAGTCATGATGAAATAAAAAAAAAATTTGGGCTCCCAAAAGCCCACAAAATATGCAGTGCTGGTAAATGTAGTGGTCATCAATAACCTCATCAATTCTCACACAGTAAATGTTCATTATTGGGTCCAAGTGCAGCCTTCAAATCTCTAGAAGCCTTGCCACCAGTGTCTCGTCATGAACTTCCATTTGACAAGTCTACCAGCAGAATTCGTAATCGCAACGGGCATTGACCAGCCTTTCAACTCCAGCTAAGCCTAGCTTGGACACCAAAACAGCCTTGTACAGTACCGTGTGGAGTGGACCCACATCAACCACGCGGTGTATGGAACCGTGGAACACAGAAGCTTGTCAGATATCAAAACAACAATGGCCAGAAAGACCATTCTCAATATGATTAGAGCCCCTCGATGAAATTCATGTATAGATGTCTATGAGCTTGGCTACTGGTTTCTCCTTGCGACATCTTGTTGGAGCCTCCGAGTCATTTTCTTGGTTTGTCTGGGTTCAGCTCGATTGAAGAATTCCATAGAGATGAGATAACCCCACAGTGTTGCAATGGATTCCCTGCTATAGTTAGCATTTCGCGGGACTGTGTGAAGCAGCACTTACAACGGCCTGAATGAGCATCTCGGGCCGTGTTGTAAGAATACAGATCTATGAGAATCTATAGAGTTCTCAACATTGAGTATTAAAAGCGCCAGACAGACACGAACTTTGATCATCATCCCTCTAAGCGAAGCTAAATATCCTTTGTTTTTCTAATTTACCCAGCCTCAACGAAGCTTTAGTATTCAGCATAGCTCTTATGATCGATCCCAAAGGGACTCACGCCGCGCTAGTCCACCTTTGTAATCTCTTAACCAACTTTGTCACTAACAGATTTCTCAGATCTGTCGAGTCAGAGGTCCATGACTTGGAGTCTGTTCCTAACGGATCCGATGCTTCTACGCGTGGTAGCAAGAGGCCCGTAGGAGCGGCAGTGCGCCTCAGAAGTTGGAGGCATATGTTGATTTTGCCAGGTTTAATGGCCCTCAAGAGACTCTACCTTTCCCTTGCGTGGCACACATGACATTTCCCAGTGTCAAGGATGCTTTGCCATTGTCTAATGACATGACATGTCCCAATTGGTCGCGTGGACAGTTGCCTTTGTCGAACGCTTGGAATAGCAGGCACCGCAGCAGCTCGAGGTAATCTAAGACTCCACATCACCATAATTCTGAATGTCGGTTCTGACGTCTCTATGGACATCCACAGAGCATGGGATTGAGAAAGCTCGTCTGGAAAGAGAAGTGGCTGCTCAGGCAGGGAGAGCGCGTGTGATCTTGACAGTAGCGCACATTGTCGTCAAGATCTCCAGTTCCAACTTGAGAAGCTGCTTGCAAAAGACGATTTAAAGAGTACAAGGCAGACGTGGAGCGCTCGATGAAGGAAGATGCCGAGAACGACCGCAAGCGCGAGATCTTAGTTGAGAAGCTCGACAGGAGCTTGCAGAAACCAAGAAGGAAAATCATCGCTAAGGAGACCGAAGTCAAGCAAAAGACTCAAGAACTTGCCAAAGCCCAGGCCGAGATTGTAGGACTCGGTGTCACGCACAGAGATCTCTACAAACAGCTCACCGATGTATTGGCCAATTGCATAAGCCTACCGAAGATCTGAACAATGCACGTAGCCCTCGAAAACCCGTGTACGCGAAGTGCGTGCGTCTTATAATGGAAGTGCTTGAACATCACTAACACGAAGCTTAGGGTTGGTATTGTCATATATGGAAGTCAGCGAGCGAGCAAACTAATTCGAAGCTTACTCGCTATTCCGCGGGATCAGACAATTTTCGAAGGACAGTCGAATTCATACTTCTTGAAGTATGAATTCGGCCGCGGCACATGGGAACGGCAATGGTTGTTAGTGTTAGTCGTAGTCTATAGCTGCAATACCTAGAACCCTTCCATAGTAGTTGAGCGATCTGGAAGGACAGCATGGCATCCCCACTAAAGTGAGTCCAAGACTTATTCAACGTGCTATTTCTTATCATCAAGTAACCAACTATCACCTCATATTCGAATGCCCATTGTCAGAATGTATCCACGACGACAATACAATTGAGGCCGGATGAATCGGATTAGGGGCGGTCAGAACGGAGGGACCGGATTTCATTGCGGGGACGAGGGTTGGCGGTTGACGTAGACCATCGTGCCGCTTGCCGAATCGAACGATCGGACCGACTCCACCGTGATTTGAGCCGGGTACGGCATATCAATCGGCCTCCATGTTCTTTGGCTCGACTCGACTGGGTACGGCAGATCGATGTTTGAAGCACTGCCGATGAACCCTAGTCAAGGGTCTATCCAGCACAAGCTACATGAAGGCGCTAGGGTGGGTCGCAGCAGAAAACGGGTATGGTTGTGGGGCAGAACCTAGTCACTCTATGATATAATTAGAGTTAGAACAAAGCTGAAATCCATGACCGCATAGTTCATAGTCCTGATTTAAACCATTTCTGATCCTAAAATCACACTAGACGCATAATTTCCCTCTGCGCTGTCTCGTATAGCTCGATCAATGTGATTCAATCATACTACATGCCTAGTCCTACTGGCCAAAATCGACAGCAATGATCCAGACCCAATTTGAAAAGTATAATATTGTAGACGATCGACACAATGCCGGTAACGACCGCTTCAATTGCTATCCAAGGGTAAGGCTACCGTTGCTATGCATAAGTCGAGCTTACTGGCTAATCTGGAATTTTCGATATGGCACGCGGAGTTAAACCTGGTTTATACCGAAGGCGTAGACATAGATTATACCTATACTATGTCAACTAGAAAATACGCTGGATCCACTTGATAGGATGGCGGCAAAAAAATGTAACGGAGGTTTCTTCATATCCCGATCTCTATAGCCTTCAATCTTCTATAAAGACCTGTTCTCCCTTCATAGGTAGTGATCATTTTCAATCAAGAAGATCATAACTTCAATCAGCATTGTCCGTGATATCCATTATGGTCTACGATCGATACCCAGTCACGCCTCCAGCTGAAGGCACCTACGCCAGCAACGCGTTTCGCAATAACGCTAAAGGCAACGATCTTGACAAGGAGGCCCTTGAACGCTTCAAGATCCGTGAGATCTGCGAGGGATGGGGGAGCTACCGCGATGCCGCTGAGTCCGTTCTTTTCTCGCTACCTTTGAAATAACATCTTCTGACTGTTGGTGAAATGGGTGGCAGAACTACCGTTCTATGTTCTTCGACGATGCCTACATTGCAACCTCCTGGAAGCAGGGTAACATCGATGAATTCATTAAAGCCTCGAAGGATGGTTTCGCCGAGGGCTCTACTTTTATGTACATCATGCACCGTATCTGCGGTTCCTCAGTTGAGGTAAACCCGGAGCTCACCCGCGCCGTCTGCAAGATGAAGATCACTATTACCTGTCGGTTCACTTTCGACGGTGTTGAAATGGACAACGAGTCCGACTGCCGCTTCTTTTTCCTTTTGGAGAAACGTCAGGGTCGGTGGGGTGTCTGCTTCTACACCCTCCTCTTCGATAAGGACAAGTTCATTCCGGTCAACCCGGCTAAGACCTTCCATATCCCCGAGGAGGAGGTTGATAAGTTCCCCTCCGGATACCGCTACCTCGCCTGGGCGGAGGTTAAGATCGGCCACCCACCTAAGCTGAACCTCAACAGCCACGGCCCTGAGCGTGACATTCTATATGGCAAGTGTAAGGACTGGCTCGAAGGCAAGGCCATTAAGCCTGATCTTACTGGCCCTGACCTGCCCGATTGGAAGCCCTAGAGGATTTTGAACCATAATATATTGTCGCGCCGTGGAGGGGTCTTCTTCACTTCGACTCGCCTACGCCGCACCCATTGCGTTTCTGTACCTACTTCTAAATATGACAAATTCAAAGTACTGCCCCCGGCTAATTATAATTGTGGAATTGTTAGATATTCCAAACCATCTTTCTTGGTGCAAGAAAAATATGCCCTAGGACGATCAAAGGGATGACCTACAGTACCATCACCGCATATGTACACAAATTTTTAGCCTGCACAGTTTGTGGTCTGACACTAACTCTGAACGCAATCTACTCAAATTCATATGGATTATGTGAGACTGTCTTGGTTTTGGTCAGTTCTATCATGGCATTGGAAATATTCATCTGCCGTGCTCTAACGCCGGCTGGAGGCGGAATGTTAATTTGAACTGCATGAGCCCAATGCGGAAAAAATCGAAGCGCAGAGACCAGGAATTAGTTGATAGACAGAAGAGCTAAGCATAGACTGATAAAGAACATGAATGTTTTGGTTTCGTGGCGGGTCTCCTAGAAACGGAATACCAAGAACGGGCTACATCCTAACCTACATGAAGACAAACGTCTCGTTTACTTGAACGATGGCAGAGCATTCCTTCATTTTTATGAGCTACTCAAAGGTAGGGTCCAGAGAGTTCTAATGGAATGTCGAATTCATTGGGGTTCAACCAGTGTCTGTAACCGGGGGCGTTATGAGACAGGTACCATTTGGTGGAAATATATTTCTGAACAAATCCACTCACCTCAAGACCCGGGGTGGCGAGTCAATCAGTGAAGGCAAGAAAAAGATTCCACACAAGTTGCTCATAAGAGATAGACACAAGTACCGGACTACGGTCCTATTTACAATGAGACTCTATAAGCGTTGCTAGATACTAGGCAGCTAGGTGGCCCACTGTACTATTTTGCTATGTAGACAGACTACATTTTTGTAGAGATCGGCGGACCGACGTAAGTGGTTGAGTCAGAACACCTTAGGTTACTATCAGAGCTTCGAACTGAATTCATCTTTTATAATGCGATAATCTTAGACAAATTCGATAGTTTCGGTCAGCTGATATTCCCAGGAGTAGTTGATTTCCCCTGAAGCGGATCTCCAATGGTTCTCAGGTTCCCACGTTCCCACGTTCTGGATTCCACATCAGGTGAGCCCCCCCACCGCAAGCGTCGTCTTGGCGCTCGGAGCTCTCGACGTCGATTTCGGCCACCTTGTAAACTTCTCGAGTCCATTCCTTTCCGTAATACCCCCTATTCCTCTCTCTCACAATTCATTATGCTTCAAGTGCCAGTGCGGGGAGATCCCAACCAGTCCTCCACCAAGGCTGTGATCTTGGTAAGTGACGCAATGACCTTCCAGCCTGTGTTGTACTCAAAACTGACCAGATCAACAGGTCGGAGGGCCTTCCAGAGGTACTCGTTTCCGCCCATTGTCGCTCGATGTGCCCAAGGTACGTATACTACTTTTGACCCAATGCTATGCGCAATGGACGTGAGAGAAAAATCAGTCTAACCAGTCTGCCCCGCATCTAGCCCCTGTTCGAAGTCGCCGGCCACCCCATCATCAACCACTGCCTGAAGGCGGTCGCCAAGGTCCCTGATGTGCGCGAGGTTATTCTGATCGGATACTATGATGAGACCGTCTTCCGGGACTTTATCAAGGATGCGTCAAAGGAGTTCCCTCAGATCCGCATCCAGTACCTGCGGGAGTACACAGCGTTGGGCACCGCAGGTGGATTGTACCACTTCCGTGATGCGATCCTCAAGGGCAAGCCCGAGCGCCTGCTTGTGCTGAACGCCGATGTCTGCTGCTCGTTCCCTCTGGGTGAGATGCTGCGCTTGTTCGAGGAAAAGGATGCAGAGGCCGTGATTCTGGGTACTCGGGTAACGAACGAGGCTGCCTCCAACTTTGGCTGCATCGTGTCCGATTCCCACACCAAGCGTGTTCTGCACTACGTCGAGAAGCCCGAGTCCCACATCTCCAACCTCATCAACTGCGGCGTCTACCTGTTCGCCACCGAGTGCATCTTCCCCGCCATTCGCAGCGCCATTAAGCGCCGCACCACTCGTCCCCGCCTCCTCTCCTACCCTTCCTCCGATAACCTCGAGTCCTCCTTTGTCGCCGGAGACGATGAAGACAGCGAGAAGAGCGAAGTCCTCCGCCTCGAGCAGGACATTCTCTCCGACCTGGCCGACAGCAACCGCTTCTTTGTCCACGAAACTAAGGACTTCTGGCGACAGATCAAGACTGCTGGCTCTGCCGTGCCCGCCAACGCCCTCTACCTCCAGAAGGCCTTCCAGGCCCAGTCTGAGGAGCTCACCCCTCCCTCCGCTACCATCGTGCCCCCGGTCTACATCCACCCTACTGCTACCGTCGACCCCACCGCCAAGCTTGGCCCCAACGTCTCCATTGGCGCCCGAGTTGTGGTCGGTGCTGGTGCCCGTGTCAAGGACTCCATCGTCCTGGAAGACTCCGAGATCCGCCACGATGCTTGTGTGATGCACTCCATTATTGGTTGGAGCAGCCGCGTCGGCGCCTGGGCTCGTGTCGAGGGTACTCCCATTCCCATCGGCAGCCACTCCACCAGCATAATCAAACAGGGCGTCAAGGTGCAGAGCATCACCATTCTCGGCAAGGAGTGCGGCGTTGGTGACGAGGTCCGCGTGCAAAACTGCGTCTGCTTGCCGTACAAGGAGCTGAAGCGGGTAAGTCATGCCATCATCCCTTATCGTCGTTTCAACTGTTTACTAACAACCTGTTCTCTTCTCTAGGACGTCGCCAACGAGGTTATCATGTAAATGCCCGCGAATCGAATGTCTGATTTATTTGCTTCAAAAATACCACATCCATCTTGTCAATATCGAGCGTCATAATGTTGTCTTTGCCATTGGATGGTAATCTGGTTGATTTCGCTTTCTGTTCCCGTCATGCCCATCGCTAGAACGATGCCATGCGTATTACAGAGTCGTTAGAGAAAAAGAAATCTAGATGATCTACCAGCTGTCTCAACCCCCTTTTCATATCATGTCATCCGAGAAAATATGCCAAGTAACGCCGTCATGCCCATGCAATCAATATCAAAATCAGTTTGAAGCCAGTCAGATCACACGCAACCCAGGACGTAACATAGCCAAATCTATCATAAAAAGGTTCCTGCTTGAGTAGGACCGCCGAGGAGAGATATCACACATGATGCTCAAAACGAGCAAATCAATCCCCTCTCCTCACCGATAAGCCGCAGGATCATACCCCGTCTGCTCAGCGGGATGCTGATACCCCTGTCCAAAGCGCACCCTGGCAGCCCCCTTCCTCCCCTCTGCTGGCTGCGGCACCGAGTCATATCTCCCCCCAAGCCCCTCTGCACTCGAATCACGTCGCTCCGCCAACTTCACATCCCACGGATCCTCGCCCACCGCCGCCGAACTGCCCATCGGCCCATAAGCGCCCAGCCGAGTCTGTCTCCGCCTAACCACGACATCCAACCAAATCGCCGCGATATAAGCCGCAGTCCCGACGACGGTGAATGTGAAGAGAGCCTTGTACGAGCGGCAGACGGAGAGGGCGGTGGAGGTGGCCCAGTACGTCGTTGTGCATTTGGTGAGGATTGTGCCGGACATGCTGTAGGCGAGGAGGGCGAGAGAGAGGAGCCAGAGGAAGAGGAGGGGGATGTTGAGGGCGAGGGAGAATTTGGGGGAGAGACCGCAGCAGCAGTTTGAGAGGCTGGTGAGGAGGGTGGTGAGGAGGGAGAGAAGGGATGTAACTAGGAGCTGGTGTTGAGGAGGGGTTGTTAGTGGTTGCATTTGTGTTTGGGGTGATAGGGTGAGGACATACGACTAGGAAGGCGAAGGGCAATTTGTACCCGTCGGCGTGGAGATGGTAGATGAATATGGCGAGGATAATGGTGACGACGAACGAGGAGAGAAAGCTCACGAAGCGAATGCCGTGAAAGGGCAGCGTTGGATAGTCGGACGGTTTGACTGAGGCTCGCGACCGCATTGTGAGTTTCTGGATGGGTGTGTTTCCTATGGAGAGGGTTGAGCGTCCGAGAGATGTGTAGGAGGGGAAGAATGTATTAAGTTTCAAATCCACAAGTGTCCTGCCGTGCTTTGCCCCGGAGACGAGGCAGGCTGTAAAGTGTAAACACGCTATTTCGATCGGCGCTCCACTTGACACGTCGGGGCGTGCGTCATTCCCGCCTATTTTTATCTGCCGCACGTTGATTGGATTTTTTGGGGGCGCGGTCGTGTCTTTCTGCTGTGGCGATGTTTCGTGTAGAACTTAAAAAGCAAATGGATCTTGGTTCGGGACTTGGATGGCCTAGAGCATGGTGGGCGTTATTATTTGGTGATTTCATGGTATTCGTCTATGTTGAGGTTCTGAACAACGGTGTGGAAATACTCTGGCAGCGTACATAAAAGATGGATTGATTGCAAGTAGCAGTTCATCGATTGTAATAGATACAATCAACGTTATTGCCATTCAAATTGTAGTACTCCAAAATCTCAATCTCCATCAAGCCCCCAAGCCCGGGTTAAACTAATTGCCGAAGCTAGTCATTTGGGTTGCGGCTACGATCATCCTGGATGGGCCAGCCAGTTGACCCTCCAGGTTTTGCATTCAGTATTTGCACCTGTGAAATGCTATATATGCCATTCGTTTTGCCGTACCGGCCTAGCGCCACAATATGCTATCTTGTAACCTCTTCCTCTTTCTCTTAGCTCTTGACAAGATTGTTCGTTAAGGGTCTGCCCCTTTCCGCCGGCTTCGGGAAGAGTTCTGGGAATTCAGCCCGCCGCCATTTTTCTAGTCTCTTAAACTGCAGCTGTCGTGGCGTTTCGCCCCGCGAATTGGGCTGATCCATTATGTTATCTCCCCCTGCCTTCAGCAATATGTCACACATCTCACCCAGCGCTTCTCTCTGATTAACGAATGGGGATGACACGCATCCATGCCTGTCTAAAAGGGTTCCCACCCAGACACAATGATGTAAAGCTGTATTTCCTCTGGAGTCGGTAAGACTGACGTCTATGCCTCTACTTATCAAAACTTTGACTACCCGAACTTGCCGTAGATTCTTGGCCATGAGGTGTAGTGCAGTATTCCCGTTCTTGTCCTGTTGGTTGATTTTGACACCGCGTGACAGGAAGGAGATCGACTAGAGGGATGTCGATTGGATCTCTACCTTTACATTCGGCTGCAAGCTTGTGTAGCACAGTTTCGCCATTTTTGTCCACTATATCTGCTTCTGCTCCATTCTCTAGTAGGAATTTCACGACGGCATCAAAGTGTTTACTCCGAGTGTAACGCGTGTGCCCCCTTATTGCATGATGTAAGGTATTTTCCCCCTGATCGTCCCGGGCATTGATATCACTACCGGGTAGGAGAAGCTTCAGGGTGTCCATGATCCGATCTTTGACTTGAACATCAGAAAGCCAGCATTCATCCGAGCCAGGGCCCGCGGCTACGTAATGAAGTGGAAGGCGCCCCTTACTATCGCGATAGGACAGTGATCCTGAGATATCGCCCCCGTGGTGACCAAGAAGCGTGTGAAGGGCCTCCAAATTCCAACATATGCTGCTGATATGAATTGAAGTATCCAAGGCATTAGCCTATCAGACCACAAGCTAGATGAGCCGTGATGCTGGAACTGCTCTTTCGCGTGGATATTGGCCCCGTGGTCAATGAGTCGTTTGACTAGCGCAGGACTAGCTCTAGAAGAAGCTAAACCAAGAACTGTACCGAAAGATTGTAGTGCTTGACTTCCATTATCATTGTCTTCGACTGCAGAGCCACCACAGAGTATCCAACTCGCCCATTGAATCTCACTGGTGGGGAGATCAACCGCCTGGGCAGATGCACCGCCGTCCAGGAGCAAGTGTATTAATTCCTCGCCACGGGCGATTAGATCGCTCTTCCAGTGATCATGGTCGAAATCAACGAGTGTCTCAGATTTTCGAGCTTCAGGGAAAAGACTTTCAGGAGGAAGATTAGTAAGAGCCCCAGCAGCTGCCAGCAGCGCTTTATCACGGTCCGACTGGTTGAAATCGACCGAACCGGGTGTAGGCTGCATGTCCAAGATAAACCGTGCCGTCTCGAGATGCAGACCACTGCATGCCGCACTCAACAAGGAGTGTTTTCGTCGATGGAGTGGCTTTTTCGTCGAACTGCTCTTGTAGTAGTGATCCACGGGATCCGGAGAACATCGGTGCTCCCTGCCCATGCAGCGGCAGATAGTGGGTCATAGCAAAAATCCTCTTCAGGATCAAGATTCAGGAGTTTGTAGGCAGAGAGGTATTGCTTCAACCTAGGAACGTCGTTGACACGCATTATGCAGTCGAGAAGGCCGCTGTCCCAGGTCTCGTAGAGTCGGGTGCCATCTATGTCGTGGAGGGCGGTCTCTTCAGATCCTAGAATACATTCTCCGGGGTTGTGAATAGCACTGTATTGCATAGTCCAGAAATGTGTGAAGTGGGAAGAGAGTTATCCTCCTGTACGAGGATGCCCATCCCCACTAAATGCGGGTATTTAGCGTCAAAGATGGGCGGGACTGCCCGCACCCCGAAAACGGTAATATCAAAACATCTCCAGAGAGTTGTCAGTATGAGACGGGTAGAACGAGGATTTTGGGGGCAGAACACAAGCAGAATGCGATGGCAACAAAAATAATAAATAGCGATGCATCTGCGATTTGAACCGCTGTCTTCCAGCTACCATACAATACCGATCCTCAAGGCAGATCTACCTCCCCCAGATGCTCGCCTGCATTTGACTGCCTCGAACCTCCACTATGCCTGCGTATCCACATCAACTTCAACCTCGAAAAATACAACCAAAAGATAAAGCGAGATAACTTTTTTTTAAACCAAAAAAAAAGATTTTTTGTACTAAGCTGCTATGCTTAGTGGGGTGTGTTCCAAAGATTGTCCTTAAGAGACTGCTGGCTTAACAGTGCCCAGTAAGGGCCACCGGTACCTGTACGCGACCGGGGTGCCACGCCCGGTTTCAACCGTGGAAGGTTATATTACGCGCAGGTTCTTCGTACTCAGCAGACGCTCCCAAGTGCCCCCAAGAGGAATGCCGAAGGTACACGAGTCGTGGAAAGGGTCTTTGCCTCTCAGTGAATTTGCCGTTCACCCACTCGACCACCGGTGCTAGGTTGGTTTCTTCGCCCTTTTTTCCAATTATAACTTCTCTTTGCATATTTCATGTGGTGGTTCCCACTGACCCTCTTTAGTCCATATACACTCCCCTCGCCGTCCCCCGTCTCCCTCGACGCTCTACTGACCATTTCATTATTGATATCGTCTATTGAGAGCGATGACTACCCAATTTTCCAGATATTAATAACAACATTAATTCCCACAGACTTGACACCGCTTGCAGATCCACACCCCTCGTTGTTTCCCCGGTACCTTTTACCCAGCCATGCCAACACGGTCGAATCCATCGAGTTGAACATGCACGCAATTATGTACACAAAGGTGCAGGCCTGCACCAGATGCGTGGTATTTAAATACCAACACCTTTCAATTTCTTGGACTCGGTTTATGCATACTCCCTCCACATAGAGAACCCGTCTTGACCACATACTATCTCCAGAACCGCTCGGATATCTCATCACGCAGTCAAGGAAACCGCCCAGAGCAGCAGGCTTCCAACGCGGACGGATGGTGTCAAGTGTGACAGACAAGAGCCCTACCATCTACGCGTAGAGTTTCTATGACCGTGTGCTAACTTTTTGGAAATGCATCGTTTAGTTTCCTTGCTGTGCGCTATGATGAGCAACACCGGCATCGCAACCGCTGGAATCCGGGCAAGATCACAGTGAAGCAACTCTCGCTGACAAGAAGGTGCCTTAAGATTTGGAAACTTTACTCCCTCTTCATTCTCGTCCTTCCGGTCAACTATACCTTCGATCCAAGCTATTATCACCAGAATAACAAATAGCTCGTGATCCTTCTTAGTTTCCGGCTGCCTGGGCAGCTTCTGAGGCACGATCCAAGGCCTCTCCCAACGTTCGAAGTCTTCTCTGGAACTCGCGTACTAGACCTGGCGCTCTCTCAACCTCCGAAGCCTCCCCAGCAGGAACCACTACCGCTCGCAGATCTCGTGCAATCATTTCAATCTGCTCATGCAGCTTTTCTCTGAGGGTGCTCAGTGGTTCGTTCATGGCAGTAAGATACGAACTCTGCACAGACTCTGCATACTTCCTGTAAAGTTGCATGTTGGATAAGTGGTCGTGCATAATATCCTTGCGTCTTCGATCGCTGCCGGTTCCTGGATGAGAACAAATTTTAATTAGGGTTTGACTTTGCGGTAGAAATGTAGATCTGGGGAGTTTGTCAAGTACCCGCTTCTTGGTTGCATCTATTGTATGCCTCTCGCATTAGATCGGCAATTAGTGAACTGTTATTGTGGCCATTGAGAGTGTGGTCTCTGATAGATCTGGAGAGGTGTTAGAGAGATGGATAGTCTGACACTGGTTGACCAAGCTCACTCTGTGCTTTGAATAATATGCGTGTTCGCTGCAGTGAAAATATACTTGATGCACCTTTCTCTATAGTCCAAAACGTAGAGAAGGTTTCCGATCGCTTGTGGAGCAACCTGGAAATGCACTGTAGAATATCGTATGTTAGAATGCAAAATAAACGCAAAGAGACGAACTCCCCCCAAGGCGAACTTGATCAGGACCAAACATGCCTTGAAGTGTATTTGAGATGGTTTGGAAAGCCGTCGAGATGTCCTGATGAAGTACGTCCCTTTGAGACATCATCCATGTATATACTGCATCCCATCTTATACCTAAAGCTGGCCGTGCTTGTGCCATTAGCTCGTCATTCCAGCATTGTGCGCCCTTGGCCTTGGTCGTGTGGGTGCCGTTCTGTCGGCAGAATGCGGCGTAACTGGCCGAATGATACTGGAATAGAACTTTGTTAGGTTGGAAAGGATATACAGTATTAGATGAAACATACAGAATCATTCCAATTGTCACTAACTGCAACAAACTTCTTCTTTAGTTCTCTCTGGAAATAGGGGTCTTTTCATTTGCTTAGTTCAATCAGTCGTTTCGATTGAAGGTTTGGATAGGCTCACCGAGCTTTTGCATGACTTGGGTATCAAATGTAGTGAATACCTCGTTCTGAGTTCGAGCGAGACGCCCACGGGCTGACATAAAGTCCTGTTCATTATTAGACCAATTCTCTCCGCGCAGCCTTATTTCAAGTAACGGGCACACTTAGATATACCTGACGAAGATCCGCTTCCGCCTTTTCCAGTACTCTTCGAAGTTCACGAGCTCTAGCAGAATTCACAGCGTCCCGACCCGTCAGTGTCCACTGATGTATGGAAAGCATAAGAGCTGATACTTGGTTCCCGATGAAAGATGAAGCAGACGCCATTCTAGCCTCTGCAGGGACTGATCGGCAGTAAGAACGAAGCTCGCAAACTCCGCTCAGCTTTCTGTATTTTTCGGCCAGTTGGCGTGGGGGATTTCCGTATAGCTCATTGCTAACGCAGAATATCTTTATGTCCTTGTCTCTGTGCTCCTCCCTGTTATGGATTGTCCTCGCAAGCTCTCTTGTGGTTGAATTGTTTCGCTCCCTAATGATGAAGGCTTTTCGCCTAGTCTCAAATGTCAGCATCCTCGCCAGTATCGATTCGATGTATTAGGAACACGTACTCGTAGAGAAGTTCATGTATCCTGTCCCTACAGTATTGGTCAGTCAGTTGTTAATGATTTCGTGTAACCCGCTGACTTACTCTTTTGTGGATTCGAGAACAGCAAGCTCCGCTTTCCTGTGACCTCGTGCGTTTTGCCGTTGACGCCCGATGCGAGTTGAATCTTCTTCCAAGACTTTAATATCTGCGTTCATTTTTCTGACGCGGCGTGCAAATTGACTGTCACCGCGAGCAGACTCTTCGGCCGAAGTCTCCTGCTGACATAGGTTAGAATAATACCGGTCTCTGCGAAAAAGGGTAATCGTACTTCTGCTCTTGTGCAAACAATCCGTATGCGCTTACTCGCTCCACATTTGTTGACGATGTCATATATCGATTGATTCGAAACACATCGAGATATCCCCAGCACTATGAACACTTCATCGCAGGTGTTGGCAAGATATTTCTCCGTTGCTCGTACTCTTGCGTAATTCATGTCTCGCAGTCCTATTAGCTGTTAGCCATCTCATTGTGACCACTTGAGCATGGGGAGAGCATTACCTGGGAGGTCTGCAAGCACCAGACCGGTCTTCAACACGGGCAACTCGAGAAACACCCTATAAGCATGTCAGAACTATTATTATCCTCATGGTGGGAATGGATTCTCAAACCGAATTAATTTGATGAAAGGCCACAACGCATGCTCATTGTTGTCCTCTGAGTCACTAGTCAATCTGTCCAGTTCATCTTTGCATCTTTCCAAATCGCCGGCAACGACAGAGTAATTCAGTGAACTGAGTCCCCCGGGTCTGAACGTTAATCGATCCATAGCCAGCTGCTTCAGCTCTTGAAGGATCTCATCTTCCGCTCCACGCGCGAGATACTCAATGGTCAGGTCTGGCCGATCGCGAAAGATTGCTTGGATGGTTTCGTGAGACATTTTGCCTATGGCTTCATACTGTGGCCAATTTTCCTCTGCGATAATACTTCGTTCCGTAGGGACGGCAGCACGTCGGATACTTCTTAGAAGCTCCTCTAAGAGTTCATTGACTTCTGCTTCTTTCATGAATTCGGCTTCTATGGTGTAAGCATCGGGATGCGCTTCATCCACATAACGATACTCCATAGGCACCGAAGTACAGGCGGCACTTGCACCACTCTACATCGAATTTATCAGAAAGCTGTTCTCTTCCAAATACACAGGTTGGGGTATATTTACCGAGCGTGCGAGACCTCTTTGGTCGAGTATTGAGTTGATGACAGAGCTCTTGCCTGCCGACGATCAGGTCTGCCTATATCACGGTGGAACGATAAAGCACTTACCAACTCCCGTTTCGCCTATGAATCCGACAATACGCGTTTCTTGATCCTTGAATTCACTGAGCTTCTTGGCTTCTCGATAAATATGATGCAAACTGGTTTCTGGGTCTTGGGCCACTTCACAATTGTGGATTGTTTGGGAAAGCTCTCGGAGCTGGATCTTGACGGCGTTTAGACTGTCCTGAAGCCTCCGGTCGTCGATGGGGTCAGGAGAAAAGAGATCGTCACCAGCCTCATATGCTTCCTGTCCATCTTCATGCTCATTTTCATGCTCGTTCTCTCCCTCTACTTCAACCTCTCCCTCGTCTTCGCCTTCCACATTCTCATCCGCTGGTAATGTGCTTGAGCGAGGCGTCTCTTCTGGTAGATTTGTTTCCTGCATTGACGGGATTTCTCTGGCGCTCCCTGTGTCTACATGGGATGATATCGATGCATTTTCCGGTGTCCGGTTGCTGAAGATACCTGCAGATCTTTCAGTCAAAATGGGCAATGCGCGCGGCTCTTGCGTTATGGCCCTGTTTATATTCTGATCTGGGACACTTCCGGGCCGCAAAGTCGGAGCCCTGAATGCCAGATTCGACTCTGTAGATGGACCTGCAACTGGTGCAAAAGGATCTGAGAAAAAGTTTCTCCTTCGAGGGTCCTGTCCACCAAATGGTGGAGAAGCTGGGGATGAAAATCCGGATGAAGAAGGGGGCGTTTGAACATCGGGATGGGACCCAAAGACGCTACTGCTCTGGGAAGACGAAGGGGTGAAGAAATTCCTCTCCAACGATGGACCTGGTGAAAAAGTGAAATCAAAACTAGGTGATGAGTGTCTCATCTTGTACGGTGTTCTGTATGCTTCTGCTTTGATCGAGGATGGTTCATGGGTGGGACGGGCCGATCCGGCTTATAAGCAAGCCCAGCCCTACCTGCTCAAAAGAGCATGCTGGGGCGCAGCACTCGCTAGGGGAGGCCGGTGGAACTAGGAATGCATACTACTGTCTGGAAGTGGAATGCTAGTCTAGTCTGCCTTGTCACGCGCACTTGTCTCAATTTAGCATCGTAGACGCCGATGTTAGAAGCGCTTAGCTATTGGTTCCCCAGTACTCCGTCAAATAGTCGGCAATAGTGACAACCTGGTGATAGCCACTCCTATTGTCTCAAACGGCTCCTTCTCGTGCATGCATCCTGGTTATCTCTCCTGGTTTCTGACTCCTGGGAGTGGGAGGGGTTCTCGGACTCCATTGTGGCCCCCACCTTTGCAAACACGGGGGTGCACCGGCGTGCATCACGATCCCCCCTAGTGCCGTGCGATGGGTTTGGGACTATCTAGTGCCCAATCGTGTATATCACTAGAGCTGCACGTACCTTGGTCTATGAGATTGCCTCCTGGCTAGATTTTCTGCTAGAGTCGTTCACTTTCGTCATTAGGGCTGGCTTTCTCCCCACTCATGCGCTAGTTACGCCAGTCATAGGAAAGGCACAACAAAATTTCCAGTTGTATCGTGTCTCAGCTTTCAGCCTTGAATTTAGCGCGGCTAGCGTGTGCCAATAAATTTTGGCAAGGGCAGATATTATTAGAAAGTGACGTCTAAAATAAGAAGTCGTCACTTGAGAGTGAACTCCTACCTCGATTGTTTCGGTGCAGTTTACTAGAGCTGTTGATTTTGAATGCATTTCTATTGCTTCAGACGTAACCGTAAGTAGGTTCGTATTGAGTTGAGATATCATACTCTATTTATACAAAAGCATCTGACGAAGACGGACTGAAGAGTTTCGGTCCCAGTTGGGGTAACCGGCTCACTCCTTATTCTCCACCTTCCCCAATCCAGGAAGCTGATCCAAGGCGGAACATGCTTCAGACCAAGCAAGGTCTTCGGGATAAAGCGTACTGCGCAGGTACGCCCAAGTCATACGCTGAACCATAGCCAGTCGTTCGGGACTCTCATCATCCGCTGCCTCGGCCGTATCGAAACCCGAAACTCCACCAAGTCCATGCTTTCCATCTTTCACCGTAAGTAGTGACTTTGGACCTTTGCTGAAATGATATCCATCGGCATGGTACTCTGCGCCACGGGAGGTCAAAAATGGGAACCCGTCTTTGTCTCCAATGACGATGAGAGTGGGGGTCTTCATCTCTGCATGGCTGTGATATTTGAGGTCGGTGTTCACTGCAGCAGGGCCAAGGCCGTCTCCACCGCGGCCGTCGCCGGGACTTGCGAGGAGGATACCTGCTATGACGCGCGAGTCCGATAGATCTTCGTACGTTGGGTGCGATGGATCGTTTCCTCGGGCACCCAGAAGCCGACTAGCAGTATGACCACCTCCGGAATGACCAGCCACGGCGATACGGCTATGATCCAGGCGCCCTTGGATTTGTGGGAAGAGTGTTTCAATCTCATCGAGTTTGTCCAAGATAAGCTTGAAATCTAGCACGCGAGACCGCAGGAACCAGGGAGCTTCGGGGTACTGCTCCGGGCTGAGGCAGAGTGTCCGAGATGAGAGATGAGTGGGTTGGATAACAGCGAAGCCATGAGCGGCCCAAAAGTTGGCGATTGGACTGTAGCCATTCAGAGACGATAGATTGTTCGAGGGTCCTTGTCCATGCGAGAGGAGAATGATTGGGAGATTTTTCCCCGTTGCTGGTGCAGAGACGCGGAGGTGAATGTCCATGATGCGGTCCGGAGCTGGAAGAATCACTGGACTGATGGAAATGACAGGAGCCGCATCGTTGATAGGGATCTTTGCAGACTCTCCGATCAATGCATGATCTTGGAAACTGGGGATACGCTTAGAGCTTGTGTGAGTGGCGGCCATGGTGGTGAATCTGGTAAAACTTCGAAGATTGTTGTGTATGGATAGATTGTGTTCTTTTTGGATGGGTGGAAATAGCAATGAGAAAGGGGGATGTTGTAGTACTTATAGATGCTCACCGCGAAGTCTTTCTGCGCTATATCTCCGATTCTGTTGCCCTTAATGCCGCAAAGCACTAAGGACGTCCAGTAAGGCTGTCGTCGGGCGGGTATAGTAGATGTTCCAAAAGCCGATACACTGAGGTCGAGGTTAGCGGTGATTATTCAGACCCCACAAGTGTTTGAGTTCAATTACTGTTCATGGTTAGGTTAGACCTTGCAGGATCTGCCGAATTGAGAAGTATAAGCTCGAAGTGGGGAGACTCGGCGATAACAATGACTCTGCGGCGTTAGGGTTTTGGCACGGAACCAACTAGTGCTGTCAGATCGATCTCATCTCACGAGAAACATATTACATGACAATTGTACTCATAGTTCGGCAAAGGGTTAATAGCATAGTGTCTCTCAGATTTTGATATTTACTAACATAGTGCCCCTTATATACTAAAGTGTCGCCATATACCTTGAATTTGGAAGCTTCATACAATGTTCGATGGCCCGAAGGTATGAGGCAAACGTACAGCCCCCAATTCTTGGGGGCTACACTAAGCGTCCCACAGCTCAGCTTTGGAGTGACTAATACTTCGCATAAGTGGTCAATTTCTGATATGGTACGTTGTCAACTCTAGGAGCTGCCTGTTATTGAAAATTTCAGTGTTTCTTTCCAGGTCGTTGCCTGGGAACGAATGTCCAAGTGTGGCAGTCATCCATGGTTATAGCGTACAGTATTCCAGAAGACTCTCTACAGAGCCTGTGGGGCCAGACAATCCATCCATTCAAACATGGATAGTCATTCAAATATGAACGGGAATTTCGAGCTCAAGCAATCCTGAAAGAGCATTCGAGCAGTTGAACCAAATCCAAAGTTTGCCCTGGCTGCTCCGTTCCATACTTCAAGCACGAAGCTTCGCGGGATGTCGCCGCACGGCCCAATCATTCCCCGCGCCGCGTTATCGCTTTGCTGCCTCCGATCGACTCTGCGGCTACGTTGACCTTCATCCCACCGTCTCCTCCGACTTCACTCTTTTACTACCTGCTAAATTGCGCAATATCTTTCCACCCACTCATTACCAGTCCTTCAGTGTGCAACCAAGAAACAAGCCGGGTGTCACACAGCAAAAGGGGATCCTTCCCCCCCCACACCGTCTTCCTCATCTTTCCCTTCGCATCTTCCCCTCCCATTCCACCTCGGCCGAAGCGCGAGGACCTTTCCACAATGGCGACCTACGAGAGTAAGTATCTACCAATTTCGCCAATACTTTTCCATTACAGTATGAGCTAACCCGATATTTCAAAGGCGAGCACAACACCACCGACCCGGCCATTGACAACAACAGCCCTCGCCGCCGTCGCCCCGATCTGTCCACCTTCTTCGCAACCCTCTCCGAGATCACCCCAGCTCCCGATCACCGTCCCCATGCTGTCCCTGTCCCGGGTGATGTGAGCGCTGCCTTCTACTCGCTCGCAGAGGCCTTTGAGGTCATGCGCCGCCAGGCCGCTGATCTGGCCTCCGACCGCGGAGAAGGCGCCGATGGCGACGACCTCTTGAACCAAATGATTCAATCGCTCCTCAGCGAAGCCGACACTCCTCCCCGGGAAGTGGAGGGAGTCAGCGACGAATTTTGTGACAGTAAGCAGCCCTCCCTTATAATCATCGGCGTCTTGGACGCTGTAGCGGACAATTTGTTAATTAACTGCACGGCATAAACAGTGCTTGAACGTGTTCCCAAAGCATCCCTCGACGCCTCCCAAACCTGCCCTATCTGCAACAACCCCTTCCTCGATGATGAGTATCCGCTCGTCGTCCAGCTGCCCTGCCACCCAACCCACCTCTTCGACCTGGAATGTGTACGGCCCTGGCTCAGACTGCGGGGCACTTGCCCGCTAGATCGGACAGACTTTGCTAAGCAGCTGCGGGATAAGGCTGAAGAGCGCAAGAAGCTTGTCGAGGAGGATGAAGAGGAGGAGTGGGATGGCATGTACGGTTAAAATCGCCTCCTGGTGTAGAAGGTGGTTTGGCCTGGTCTAGCGTTCAGGCATGATATGATGATGCATTTCACGAGGGGCAATGAGCATATTCGATTGACGCCTATGAAGACGACACACTCCAATGAATGCATGATGATACCCAACCCAGTACGACTATTTCTGCTCCAGTTCTGGGAGACAATTGTACATTCCTTTGTAGAGAGTTTCATGTTCATGTTCAACTTAAAATGTAAATTTTGTAAATTACTCTAAACAACAAGCATTGTAGATGCTGTGCGCTATGCACTCGTATCACATTAGATGGCGTAGTGACGTCAACGAGAAGAATCCACGATAAGCCATTTAGGCCGAAGCATCCTTAGGCCGAATAGCAAGCTTGCCTGCCTGGTCAATCATAGCCTCATAACCGCTGCGCTCGAGAACGCCACCGTCATCCTTGACCACTTCACGCGCCTCAAGCTCTTCGACCAGACGCTGATTCTCCCGGTTACCCTCCAGCAGGAACTTGAGACACATGACGGCATGCTCCTTGATATAAGGGTTGTTTGAGTCGAATGAGGTGCACATCAAGATAGCCTCCACGCCGCCATAGCGCCGAATCTGCTCTTGGACCTCGGGGCATTTCCACACCAGGGATGAGAGGACCAGAACGACAAGCTTCTTGAGGTTGCGCCACTCAAACTCGGAGGGGTCTTCGGTAATGGGAGGAGACTCGGGCCGGGAGTCGACACTGCCAGCATGGCTGTCAAGCGGGTCTGCTGGATCGCTAGGATCATACGGCCGCTCGACGGCCACCGGCGTAGGCGAGGCAGGCTTGGAGTGGTCACCAGGCGAGGCACTGCGGGGTGGAGGGGGTGGGGGAGGCACTGAGCCGAAGGAGAGGGAGCTCAGTTGGCCCTTGGGGATGCTGGCTTCCAGTTCCTTGATGAGGGTGACCAGGTCATAGACAATCTCCCACTTCACAAGGATGTTCTTCCAGTCATTGTTCTCTGTAAGCACGGCGAAGAACTCGAGGAATTGATACACGCCTTCATAGACGCGCTCCATATCCCACAGGTTGAGTGGGAAGTCCTCGGGCAAGGCGCGCTCGGCGCGAATTTGACCCTGGAGGTAAATGAGAGCGCACGTTTCCGGGATGATGTTGCCGCGGAATATGGTGAAAATGTACCGCACTGTAAGAATGTCCACGCGGCTCAGAGGCGAGGGGGTCCGCGGGACGCTGCCTTGCATAGAGCCCGTCACGGAGGCGGGCGAGTACTTGGCACGGAAGATGTGCGTCAGGATTTTGATGACCACAGCCTGGGCTGGAGATATGATGTCCTTGGGTTGACCGAAATCAGAGTATGCGTGGGACATGAGGCCATTACGGAGAACCGCCTCCATGATTTGGACCATCATCTTGAAGTAAAGTTCGTCGTCCGGAAGATCCCAAGCAGCAATGAAGATCAAAAGTTCGCGGAGAAGGTTCCGGCCAGTCTCCTGCGTAAGAAGAATATGGCATCGGAGGGCTTGCATATTGCGCGAGCCATTTCGCTCACCACCCTTGAGTCCGAAACTGTCGACGATACCCGCCTGTATTATCATAGGTAGAGCCTCGATTTCAGCGGGTCCCAACACAAGAGGAATATCGGTCAGCAGGCCACGCTGTTGATCGCCAGGACGACCGCGATAGTCGTCATCATCTTCGTCGTCATCCACATCGCCACCATCATCACCCCGATCGATATCATCGTCATCCTCCTCTTCATCCTCATCGATACTCCCGTCCGCGTGGCCCTCCAAGCTGTGCGCGTCATCTTCACCCACAGTCCCTGAATCTCCATGATCGTATTCAGCACCTTCGTCACCAATCTGGGAAGCTTCTTGTAACCGAGCCATCAGTTCATCTTTGGCATCCTGTAGCGTATCGGCAGCTGTTTCGGATGATTGCGGTGTGCTAGTGTCCTCCTCTGTTACCGGCGCGTCTACCAACCAGGCTTTCACTTCCGGGAAGTCGGCCCAGCACAGTCGGGGGAAGCCAGCAGTCATGCTACGATCGATTGTGAGAATAGTCTTTTTTCTAGTAGCTTCGTGCTCCTCTTCCGGGAGAGCAGGGGGCAATTCGCGAGCCCTCTCCTGTAGATCAGACCACCCATCAACTTTAGCTCCCAGGATTGAAGTCAAAGCAGCACGGATGTACTTGACTTGCTCGGGATCCCGGCCCATCTCTTGGATATCGGTCAAGTCTCGCCCCAGGATCTTCTCCATGTGGTCCTTGATATTTGCGAGGAGAAGCATTGCCGCTTCCTCCTTAATGGTGGATGGCTCGCGTGGGAACTTCGCAATGGTCTCCAGAAGGAGGTCCTCGGCAGTCTGATCATAAAGTGCTCGAATGGGAGGATTAATGACTCGTTCTCCAACCTTCACAATGGGCGCAACTCCTTCAATCCGAGCCGTTGAGTCCAATGCTTCTTTGGGTTGGATAATGTTCGTATCGGCAGTCGAATGATACCCGAAAAGATCCAACCAGAGCACCATCTTTCGGTGTTCATTGTGCATGATGAAGTTGTGAAGGTATTGGAGACATGTAATGAGAAGTCGCTTGTATAGATTCACAACCTTTTGCCAGCGTTCCTCATTTCGTGGGTTCGTTTCGCCGTCGAATCCTCTTGCCGTGACTCGCACGCAAGTGTCAATTAGTGCGAGAATACGTTGGTCAAATCCCTTCTCAGCAGCCAGGTTTTGTGCCATTTTTGTTGTTGCAAGCAGGTTCCGCGCGATGGTGCACAGATCGTTGAGTCGCTCGATATCCTTCACCAACGAAAAATAGTTGTACGCAATGAGGTTGGAGGAAGAGTGCTCGAGTGCAGCCCTGGGACTCTTCCATGCGAAAGATTGGGATTCAAGGACCGGAATTGCCTTGGTGAGCACATCTGTGAGACCCGCCCAAATGTCTGGAGACATGCCGAGATTATTGCTTGAGTGGCAGGATATTAGCACATGATAAAAAGCAGGAGAAAACCAAGATTTTTGCCTACCGAACTTCACTTTCCTGGTGAGTCTTGTACAGGATCTGTTTTCCAGCAGCGAGCATGTGCTCTAGACGCTTGTCGTCGATCATCCCGCGGGATTCATAGTGGCTCAAGGTTCCTGCTAGGATCACTTTCAGCATGAGCTCCGCCGGAGTACATAGTGGCTTCTTGTCCGCCATTTTGCGTAGCGACAAGCTTCGGCCAGCGTAAAATGGTAACGGAAGTTGCGGGCTCTCAAGGTGGGATGGATTGAGAAATCGCGGCGGGCAAAAAGAGGTTTTACTGACATTTTGGTCACCGCCCGCGACTCACCGCCTACTCTATTCGGCTGTATACTCCCCAGAAATAGAAAGGGTTGGGCTAAACAGCTTGTCTAAAACTTAACGTCCACCTTTTAGAATCATCTGATCCACAAATAAAGCTTATATATACTCTGTGACTATGGTTGAGATCATAGGGGTTGCCTCAATATGTCACCCTGTGAGCAAATACGCACCGGATGTAGGACCAAGCAATGTCTCGACACCGTCGAATTTTGTAAACTAGTATGCATTCATTTGCCATAAGAGTCGACAAACAGCTATATACACGCTTTCTGTCGGACTGGGAGTTCAAATGCATCCGCCAAATTTCTTCGAAACCCCATGTCGTAGATGTTGTCAAGGTCTCTTATATTGTGAATTCCCACCCACTGCGGGTCGACCGGTCTGGCCCGATTCGCATCACCATGGTAAGAGACTCGATTGGAGGTATCATCGAGAATGTAGCCTTCCAACGGCGGTTGTCCATCTGTGACCAATAGTTGATCACTTTGCACCGGCCAAGGCTGGTCGCTGAGATCCACATATGGCGGGGCACCCTGAATCTGACCTCGTCTAGCCCTGAAAACGAATCCATCCAAAACATCTTCCTTCCAGTCAGCCCACTTGGCGCTCTCGTTGGTTGTCATACCTGCCCAAATGAGGTACGTGTGATAGACCAGGAAAGCAACCGCCAACGGGGCAGTCATGAGCATCAGCATTGTGACCGTTCCGATTTTGGGATCCCTGGTGATCACGATGGACCAGACGTGGAGGTACATGGACCAACCCTTCATAGCAGCCTGTACGTCCGGCGGAACAATTTCTCGCAGAGTTTGATAGAGAAGGGAGTAGCCGAGCAAGGTGCCGTAGATCAATAGTATTGACACCGCGAGAAGAAGCAACAAGAAGTACTTGTAATTGTTGGCTCCAATGCAATTCATCAGCCATACACAATGATGGTCATGTCGAGAGACACATGCTTGGCAAATACTGCAATGCTTACTACGTGCAGGCTTGAGAAAATCGCAGGTCGAGCAAAGATGTCCAGGGTGAAAGAGGACGCGGTCATATGGGTACCGTTTCATCTCTTCCGCGTGATTCTCTAGAGTGATGAATGATTTGGTGACCACACACTTGTAAATCAGAACATAGGGTACGATGACAATGCCAGGGACCCAGAAGTGATGAGTACTAGACATCCGAGGCCATGCCACCGGGAGGAAGAAGCACTCGCCTATGGCAAGCAGGCCGATAAAGAATAGCTGGCATTTGTTAGATGAAGCCACAGTCTACCAAGATAGTTCATGGGGCTTACAAGGACCAAAGGATGGTTCTCATGCAGAATGTAGCTGCCGGAGCGGCTCCATGCTCTGACTAGCCGCCCACCAAATAGGCGGGAGTCGATCCAGGCTACTCCATTAGGAAAGTAAACCCACAGTAATCGGTAGAGAAAAGCAATGGGAGTTTTTCTGGCTGTTGTGAGTTGGATCCTAACAATACTCGAGAGGTATCTCACCTAAAAACGGGCAACCGGCCGAAAAGTGCGACAAAAACGAATGCTGAAATGCTCAAGATGACAAGAGCAACCGTTCGGAGGGTCCCCATGGTGGCATGTGGGGGTTAAGCCCGTTCCCTTCTGTATTCTTCTCAATACTTACCGTAATAAATTCGAATAAATCTCTCAGGCTGGATCTGTAGTTTCCATTTTCCTCAGCGGCTGTTTCCGTCTCCCTTGAAATGTTGTTGACTAGTCAGCGCTCCAGGCGGGCTTGTCATCAAACAGTCACGTGTCTTCGACCTTGACGCGCGAGTTTACTCTTCCTTTGTGCTTCGGCTGGACTCAACGCACCAGTTCCTCGTGGAGGTTTAATCTGTTTTGCAGCCTTTATGAACTTCAATCTCACATAACTTCTTTCAAAAGGTCCTGTGATGTGCAATTTGCGCCAGAACGGCCGATGAAACACGCAGACACGTGATCACGCGTCACGAAGAGCGATATCACTGAAATCGTTGCACTCTATACACAGGTAGCTGATTTGTCTCGAGGATTATCGCTTCATTGCAACATCAGAACCTCCAGCAGTAGCGCGAGACATGTCGAATATCTTCGGAGGTGGAAGATTCTTCTTATCACGCGCTATCCCACAACGGACGCAGCTGAAGGAGACGATCGAGGTTCGTTTCATTAACGAGAGATATCAAGGCTGGGATGCTGACAGTCAGCTAGAAACATGGCGGCAGCGTTGTCTTGCTAGAAAAGGATGCCGACATAATTCTGGTGGATCATTTGAGGAAAACCCAAACCATCCCTCCCAACGCGTACATTCGCCCCGTGTCCACCTCATGTTCGGGCGACCAACTTACTGACGTTCTCTGCAGATTATCTTATCGATATGTCGAAAAGTCTGTTCGTCAAGGAAAGTTAGAAGATCCTGCGTCCCACCGGGTCGGCCCAGCTGCGCCCCGTCCGATGGGCGCATCTAACATTCCTATCAAGAGCACCAGGAGAAGCTACACCTTGGAAGATGATCGGATAGTTTTCGATTGGTTGTACCCCTGGGAACAGGCAAGAGGCGCGCCAACGCACGGCAACAATATTTACAAGAATCTAGCTGAACGAGTACGTTTTTCTCCGATAACACTCTAAAATGAAGGTAATCCTGCATACGACTTACTAAAATTGCGCTACAGTTCCCACATCATACGTGGCAATCCTGGAGAACTCGATATTTGAAAACATTACGCGGAAAACCACGCCCAGGAGGAGGTGACCCGAGACCTGACCTCATATATGGGGGTCCTGAAGCAGTGCCCCGTTGTGGACAACCATCGCCCGCTCCTCAAACGCCTCTGGGGTTGCCGGGTCCGGCTGCACCTCCTGCACAGCATACTTCGAGGCCTAACTATCAACACAGCCCTCCAGCAAGTTCCAGTAGGAAACGTGGGCCACCTGCCAAATCCCCCCAGCCCTCTGATACAGCGAACACCGCAAAGAGAAGGCTGGTAGATGTGCAGAAAATATCGCCTTCTGCCGCCCAAAGCTCTCAAAATCGATCTCCGGACGCCGCAACGAGGCCACTCGGAATAGCCCCACGGGAACCATCCGGTCAACCTAGGGACATATCCGTTCCTGTTCCAGAGCACCCCCGCCCTCGAAATCCATCAATATCAGCACAAACTATCCCCGCAGAAACTGATGAAGCTCCCAAAGAAACAGTGGATCCCTTCTTCCAACATCTACCGTTCTTCCCGTCAACCCCAGAACCAGAAACTGAAGACGATGATGATGGCAGTGATCCAGAAGACTATCCGGACGTAAACAGCTGGGTTCAAGCCCAAGTGGCGAGAGGCGCCGACGTATCAACCGTTCTAGACGCTCTACGCTATACAAGCATGGAACCATCGTTGGCAAGAAAATTACTTAATGTCCTAGTGGCTGGTAATCCAGTCCCCGACAATATGCGTGGAGTGTGGACGGAGGAAGACGATCGATGCTTGGAAAGCCCGAATGCCCGCGACATCGAGCGAGTGACTAAGAAGCATGGAAAAAGGCTATTCCAAGCCCGATGGGAGTACCTCGAGATGGCTCGGGAAAGGGGGTTAGTTGAATAAGAGTCGACCCACGCTTTACACAACATTCATTCTTCCTGTAGAGTAAAATCTACGAAAAGCGCCGACAATTCTGATCACAGATCAAGATGACAGCTTGCAAGTACAGTAGGCCCAACGGATGCCCTGGTGCTCGCATTGTGGGTTCTCAGCAGATTGAAGAAGAAACAGAGAAAAAAATTCATTGGCATATAAACGCCTAGCCTACATTGGAAGATCTGACCTGGAAATATGGAAGAAAAGACCCAAACTCCGGTATGCTCCAAGGGAAAGATGATATTCACTAGATCCTTGAGAGAATCTATCCATAAACCTCTTCAGAGGCATTCTGCTCTGCATGAGCTACGAGACAGCTTGGCAAGCTCAAGTCTCCTTGAAGACCCTGCAAGACAGTTAGCATTGATCAATGGCTGGAAAAATTGCTGGAGAGGGCTTACAAATGGTTCTCGTAGAATTGAAGCATCTGGAACCAAGGATTAGTCTTCTGCTCGTGGGAGTATATTGGACCCATAAATTTACCTGCTTCGGGCATCGGTCATAGCATGTCTCTAGCGCAACGCGAGACCGCTTTCCATTCTTCCAGAGCAAGAAGGCAAATAGCTGCTTGCTATCTTGATCTCTGATGATAGTGTCGACTTTCTCGAGCTGGGAACCCCAGTCCTTGCCCTTGGGCGTCCAGCTCAGGTCATCCTCTTCGCTCTCAGCAGCCGTCTCCGCGGGCGTCTCCTCTGTCGCAGGTGCAGAGGATTTCCGTCGTCGTTTCTGCTCAGTGGGTTCGGCGGAAGCCGAAGTCTCCTTGGCCTCACCCATCGACTTGCGCTTGCGACCCGGTCCAGGCTTGGGTCCAGGCTTGGATCCAGGTTTGGTGGCAGGCTTCGCAGCGTTCTTCCTGGGGCGTCCTCCGATCTTCTTGTAGTAAGCGTCCAAGATCGCCTTGGCGCCAGTCCTGTAAACAAGCGTAAGTAGAGGCGCAATTTCACACTATTATTTGCAAGCTATACACACTTTAGAGATGCTTCGGGCTCCCACGTAAGGTCTTCTGGCTTTTCCCACCCCATCCACTTTACTTGTAGCCTGAATGATCCCTGCGAGAGTGTTTAGCATGTGCAAGCAAAACAAACGATTGCGAGACCACGTCAACTCACATCGTCCAACCAAGCGTGGTCGACTATCTTCTCGACAACAAAGCTGGTTTATATTAGATCTTCAAATCCCAAAAATAGCTCGTCGATGTGCGCGACTAACACGTTCTCTTCCTCTTCTTCGTCATCGTCCTCCTCGTTTTCGTCGTCCCCCTGATCGGGTTCTTTCGCATCTTCTGTGGTTCCATTCTTGTCATCAAAGGGGATGTCGCCAGACTCCTCGTCGGAAATATCCTCAATGGGAGCTGTAGGGCGAAAGGTTAGCTCAAGCGCGCGTGCGCAAACAAAGATCAGCGCGGCGCATTCACTCACGCGGCATGTTGGATCGGAAAGGAGAGGCAAGGTTGAGCAGTTTTGAAAACAGCTTGGCGGTAGGAGGTTGTCACCTCATGCAATTGCGATTGAAGACCTTGAAAGCGAGGGCGGCAGCTCGAGAGATTGCAAGCTGATCGAGGGCTCCGAGGTGGAGAGCGCGCGAAGCTGGAAAGGCGGAACGGACAACGCTATACCGCTTTCGGGGGCCAGAATTTAATTTGCTGTGATGCCCGGAGCTTCACCCCTCTGCATCGCTGCTGTGGGAACAAGGACCTTTGCCAACTTTGTTCACCTTTCGTTCCCTTTGTTTTCTCTCAGTTCTTACTTGGCATTTTAATCTTCCTGCCAGGTGGTAGTCCACCGTCGAAATGGCGATGCGTACGTACTGCCTGATTCCACTCCGGATGCCCCTCAATGAATCCCCCTCCGACTAGTGACTGACCGTGACTTGAATACAGAGCTTGATCTTTCTCAAGGTGATTAGGAACTGACGACTCTTATATTCGACTCTTTACGGCCGTTAACATATTGGTATAGCCTCGGTGTTGAAGGATGAACAGGGTCGCCCGTTTATCGTTGTTCGCGAGTACGTTCACCGACACCCCGTCTCGATCCGCCTATTCGTCATCAAGTTGGGCCGTTTTGAGGGTTTAAAGCATGAGGCTGACCGGTGGAATTTCTGTTGTACAGTCAAGGAAAGAAGAAGAGACAGCATGGTACTGAGGCTGTGAAGGCGCACATCGTCGCCGCCAAGACGGTGGCCAGCATTGTCAAGACTTCTCTGGTGCGTTCTCCAATACCGGGTGGATTGATTAGTGTCTAATCAGTTACAATAGGGTCCCCGCGGCTTGGACAAGATTCTTATTTCCCCCGACGGCGATATCACGGTCACCAACGATGGTGCAACCATTCTCGGCCAGGTTCGACTTGACCCCTTTTTGCAATAATGACGACCGGTCCAAAGACGCTAATTCATGGACGGAAATAGATGGAAATTACCAACAACGTTGCGAAATTGCTCGTCGAGCTCTCCAAGTCACAGGATGAGGAAATTGGTGATGGAACAACGGGTGTTGTGGTTTTGGCTGCCGCCATGCTGGAGCAAGCCGCAGATTTGATTGACAAGGGCATTCACCCCATTCGGATAGCCGACGGTTATGATCAGGCCTGCGAGATTGCCATCGCAGAGCTTGACAAGATCAGTGATGAGATCCCCTTCTCACGCGAGGATACCAGCAACCTGCTCAAGGTTGCCAAGACCAGTCTCGGCAGCAAGATGTATGGCGATAATTCAAGTTTCCCCAACCTTCACATTCATTCCATCTAACCTTGAAATATAGTGTCTCCAAGTCTCATGATCAATTCGCCAACATCGCCATCGATGCTGTGCTCTCCGTGGCTGATCTGGAGCGCAAGGATGTTGACTTTGAGTTGATCAAGGTGGATGGCAAGGTTGGCGGTGCTCTCGAGGACTCCCTTCTTGTTAAGGGTGTGATTGTCGACAAGGACTTCTCTCACCCCCAGATGCCTGACGAGGTTCAGGACGCCAAGATTGCTATCCTCACCTGCCCCTTCGAGCCCCCGAAGCCCAAGACCAAGCACAAGCTTGATATTACTTCCGTTGAGGAGTTCAAAAAGCTCCAGGACTACGAGCAGGAAAAGTTCGCCGAGATGATTCAGAAGCTTAAGGACTCCGGTGCCAACCTGGTTATCTGCCAGTGGGGTTTCGACGATGAGGCCAACCACTTGCTCCTCCAGAACAAGCTGCCCGCTGTCCGGTGGGTTGGTGGTCCCGAGATTGAGTTGATTGCCATTGCCACGAATGGCCGCATTGTGCCGCGCTTCGAGGACTTGTCGGCCGAGAAGCTGGGTAGCGCTGGTCGTGTTCGTGAGATGACATTCGGTACCACGCGAGAGAAGATGTTGATCATTGAGGAGTGCGCCAACAGCCGGGCTGTCACTATCTTCGTCCGCGGTAGTAACAAGATGGTATGTAGTCCATGTTCTTGATATGTGATCTGAAGTTTCTATGGCTCCAAACTAACCGGACTTGCAGATTATCGACGAGGCCAAGCGGTCACTACACGATGCCCTCTGTGTGGTTCGCAACCTGGTCCGCGACAACCGCGTTGTGTACGGTGGTGGTGCCGCTGAGATTGCCTGCTCCCTGGCCGTGGAGGATGCCGCTGTCAAGGTTCGTTCATTATTACTGCTACACCTCGGGATCATTGGACTAATCATCTCTACTCTTTTCAGAGCCCTGGTATTGAGCAGTATGCCATGCGCGCCTTCGCCGATGCGTTGGACGCTGTTCCATTGGCCCTTGCTGAGAACTCCGGTTTGAGCCCCATCGAGACTCTGGCTTCCATCAAGTCGCGCCAGGTCAAGGAGAAGAACACTCGCCTTGGTGTTGACTGCATGCTGACTGGCAGCAACGGTAAGCACTTCCTAATTCCTGTGATTTCGATGTTCGTCAACTAATCTACTTCATCTATAGACATGCGCGAGCACTTTGCTATTGACCCCTTGATTGGCAAGCGCCAGCAGCTTCTGCTCGCCACCCAGCTTTGCCGCATGGTTCTCAAGGTACAGTCATCGATGTGTTTAACTGAGATAAAGCATGCACTAACGTTCAACTAGATCAACAACGTCATCATCTCTGGAGATGACAGTTCCGAGTTTTAGGTTACCTGCACATATTTCTAATGCCCTCTAGACGGCACTGGAGTGACCGGTCCGGTGCGTCGGCTACAAAACATCTGATGATCCTGATTGGACTCCTATGTAAAACATGGCCCCTTACATAGAATTTACCGAGTTGCAATGAGAAAAGGGGTTTACGATCTGACTTACTGTTCTCGCGGGTTGGTCACTTAGTCGCTAGTATTGTGTCTGATTGTAGGTATCCATGGCCCGGTATGCTCCGGTTGACTTTGACCGTAAGTTGGTCAAGTCCTCGTGTCGATCTCGAAAGATCAAGTGGAGCACATGCTTCCCCGGTAGGCATGCGTATGCACGAGTGGTTCCCCTAACATCCGAATGACACACGATGATCGCCTAGTCTTGGCAGATCAAGCCCAAGCACGTTTCACTCCCCTGATCGGCACATGGAAATATTCATAGGTACTACTCGCAGGCAAGCAGCAGAGAAACCCTTCGCTTGAGCAGAGTTAATCGGGTACCTGGCTATGACATGTCCATGTCATTCGACATTCCCTCGGTGATCTCGATGTTCAGGAGAACTCGTGCTCACCATAAACAGACATTTACGAGTACCTCCTCTCGCAAGGGTTAATGCTGAGGAACAGAGGAAATATACCAACATCTCCATTCGATCATCCCATGTCTGCTCTTCCTGCCTCGGCCAGCTATACAAGCATAGCAATAAACTCGAGCTATTCAGTCTGGAGAATATCTTGCGTCTCTTGATGTCGAAGAGTACGTAGCCCGAGAGCCTCGTGAGAGTTTTCGCCGCCGTTGTACTACGTTGATACCAGAGCGCAGATCACTTGGAAACTTGCTCCAGCTCATCACCGCCCAAAAAACGTATCTTCGAGGATCCTCAATTCTCATTAATCAGCCTTTTACAGACTTCACATGTCGCAGTTTTCGGTAGTCCCGTCATCCTTGTCCGTCGTAGAACCCCGTGGGGTCACCTGCGAATATTA